TAGTCCACATTTCTGATCGGAATGCCGTCACAGTTTCTAAAGTCGACTCCGATTGGCTGGCGCGTGGGGTTCGCATACAATTTGCATGTACGTATATTAGACATTCGTTCGTGTGGTTCCACACACGTGAATGTCTGACTCCTCAGACGAACCTATACACGACTAGAAGACAACAAAAACTTCCACTAAAATTTGGCGATCTCCGGACGAATGTTACACTCTAAAAAATCCGAGTCAGATTGACATAGAATCCATTTTGGCTCAACCCTTTTCCGGGTATGATAACACTTTACCGGGTCGAAAGGACACTTTTCCGGGATATTTTGAACCGGAAAAGTGTTATATATGACCCGGAAATTGTCAGTTGTGACCCGGAAAAATGTCATTTGTGACCCGGAAAAGGATCGAGCTAAATATAACCCGGATTCCGAGGTCCATCTGACCCATATTTAGAGAGTTACTTTAAAATCGTAAAAAGTACCTTTCAGTTAAATTAAAACGTACATATAGCGAGACCTAAATAGACGTTCAAGATACAATAAACCTTAAAAATCCATTCATATCTTGTTCATCCCTGTCACAACGCGACTCCCTGATACGCTTTCTGGGTCAGGTGAAACCACTTGATATGAAAGATCAAGTTTGGGCTTGCCGTACGTCTACAGATTAAATAGCAACATATCCCTTGAAGTGTTCCTTTGTGATATTATGATTTGGCACAATCTCTGCGGGTCGCGATAAAGTGTCAAGTGGCTGCATGCAGTATAGCAAAATGTTGATGACGTCACGCGCACGCAAGTCCGTAATCGATGTATCTATGTCGATACCGAGATTACCTCAATGGGATATTTTAGTGTCTTCATCTTTTGTAAGTCATAGGTGATAATGAGTTTGCATCAGACCATATATGGACATTGTGTGTCATCAATAATGACGTGAATTCAGTGCCATCTTTCGGCTGGCACTTATTGTTAAATTTCATATGGTGAATTTGAGTCATATATATTGCCCTATTTCTGGTGCACCATTTGCCTTATAGGCCAACTTTTTCTCAGACACGTATACGTTCCTCTCATTTGCAGTATTTAATATCAGGATACATGTAGGCTAATATCAAAAGCAATTCGAAAGAATAAACTTTGGTGGAATTCGCAAGTTTATAAATGAACCAGCGAAGATTGACCTTGAAATCTTCCAGGCTTTAAGTGCCGTCTACCTTTTCCTACAAAGTCCATTATGTCAAATTATGTTCAAGTTCAACATCAAGCGTATTACCTTTCAACCACGTGTGTTGCGGTCGATGATTTTTATCTTAAAGCAAAATCTTTGAAACTCAAAAGTTATGGCAATTCAAGGACCACAAGAGAGCAATAAACAGCGTTGCTCGAGGATTGACACGAGTGGTTGCTCAACACATGTGTTGTAAAATACGATCGTTGAATGGGTTTGAGTTCCCGGGCCCTGTGGAATACCCCAGGGTACACATAATAAATCAATAAAAACTATTTTATGTGGCGTATCGAAGATATGCTAATACGACCCCCAAAAAATACAAATTTAAATTCGCCTCGTGAACTTCTACATTCGTGCCGATCATCGCCAGCATTTAAGTTGGTATAAACAGAAAGGGGAAAGTTTGTAACACTTCGGCAGAAACCAATGAGTTGCGGATTATTGTTATTAGATGCATCTTTATAAGTTTATCGCACTCAAAATATTCAATCCTGGAGGATCGTGAAATTCAATCGCAACAAAAAAATATTTATTTAATAAATTTCAAATGTTTAATTTAATTTGTTTTTATTTTTGATTTTGATGGAATATTGCATTGGGAGATTTAAATTGTAAAACTAAATTTTGCTCTTCACACTACCGTGACTTCAAAAGCATTGCTCTGTATATGTGCTTGTTGAGAGCTTGTATATGAATTGGAGTAAGTACTCTATTCAATTGATTCAAAATGGCTATTCACTGGCGGCCGGATTTAGCCCATTCATTGGTGTTAAAGTGAAATCCTATACAATAGCACTGCCCGGATCACAAGTGGCAGTTAGTCAGCGAGTCAGTCAGTAAGTCAGATAGGTTTAAAGAGGACACTACAGGGTGAGTAAAAAAAACCGAAACCCAAATGTCGGGACTATTGTTTTAGTTAAGTTCTGCATGTAGCACTTTCAAAATCTAGGATATGAAAGCCCAATTCATAAGCTTTCTGTTAATACAAGAATCATTCAAATCACTTATGTAATTTCTAAGTTACGGAATTTTAAACACAACCACCGTTTTAAAGTTCTGTCCACGGATCACCAAAAAGGTGTGTGTTCTTTCAGCAAAACGAAAACAATTCACGAAAACAATTCACACACATCCCTATGTGATAACTTGAAAAGTACATGAGTGATTTGAATGATTCTTGTACTACAACAAGGTTTATGAATTGGGCTTTCATATGCCACATTTTGAAAGTGCTACATGCAGAACTTCACTAAAACAATAGTCCCGACATTTGGGTTTCGTTTTTTTTACTCACCCTGTATAGGCTGGCTGGCCTTTTAGGACCAGCAAAAAAAAAAGGAAAAAAAAGCTAGCTTGGTACTCAATTTTACTCGATATTGTGGTCTTGCTTTCCAGTCACGTGAGGCGGCAACCCAATTCCAGAAGCCGAATGGAAAATTTTTACCAGGATCCTCTAACCTAAGTTTACGCAAAAATAGGAAAGATTGCATTGAATGAAAACTGATAAATCAGTTAATTGCCAAGTGTGTATACCCGAATAATCTATAAGTTACAAAGTTCAAGACGCGGATCGTTAGTTAGCGCATGCAAGGTCACCCGGGTGCATTTCCCAAAGCGGTATATTCAATTAAAAGTTGAATCCGATCAAAAGAGAACGAATCATACTGCTCCCGTTATACAAACTGCAAACAGTCGTGCACATTGCACGGGTCCTTATCCGAGGACACACAGAGATAACCGTCGAATCAAATGGCCTAATGGTACCCCCAGAAAAATGCTAATCTTCTTTTGAATAGTTTTGAGGCAATTAAATGGCCCAAGTTGTCTCGTTCTGTGGACGCTGCAACTGAAAGCAAGATATGGTTTTGAAAGAGGGTTGGACGGGTTCAACTAAAAATAAAAGGAATTAGTAATTCGATATTAATTTTGAAAGTTTATGTCATTTGCTTTTCTACTTCAACACACAGACTGAAAGGGCTATGTAATGTAACTTTTTAATGTAGTCCTTGTGTAAATGCATCTTTGTGTCCCATTTAACAATATTTAACATTTTCGTTCATTTTGGTGCCTATTTGGTTTTTTAGGCTAATGAAAATTTGCATATTCATAAGCAAAAAATGTGTTGTCATTTCAGGCAGAAGCCTCAATGTTACAGCTATTTCAGAACCTAAATTTTCTCACAAGAGTTTTCTCACCCATGTTTTCAATGAGCATATTTTGTGTTTTTACAATTTTGAACAGAAAACTCCTAAACCGAACAGTGTCTTCCTCAAACGACATCACAACTTCTGCCCTCATTTGTCAGGAATATCATGGGAAATATAAAATGTATAAAGAAGAGCATCTTTCAATAAGATTAACCAATAAGGGATGTCATATAGTTTTTTTTATACATTTTAGAGGAGTAGAAAGTTGCATAAAAATATGTTCCTATAAGTAAAATTCATGACATGGGTCCTTTAAATATCTTTTTCCAAACTATCATGCAAAGAAGATGACAGTTCTGTGTTCCGTTGTATTGGTCTGTAAGAAGGAAGAGTGGCCAAAGTTCAATTAGGCCTATAGGCCTATGTGAAAAAGAAGAAGCCAGGACATTTGAAGTGGATGGCGCGAAACCGGGTTTATGAAACTCTGTAAATTCATGAATTTCTAGCCTTTTCTTTTAAATTCTCAATAAAAATTTGGTGTTAAGCCTAAATCTCAACGCTATCATTATGTGCCTTTTCTCGTGTGTTTTCTTTTAATGAAATTAATTCATTTTGTGGTAATTTTTCATACAAACTATGGCAAAATATATGCTTACATGTATTCCACTTAATACAGAACGAGCCTTACTTTTTTTTATTTTGAAGGACAGTAATTCAGTAGTATTATGCCTAATTAGAGTATTAACAATCTCTCTCTTTTTTTTAAACTATAACCTATACATGTAGGCATAGGTACTTCGTACAGTTTCCTTCAGTTACAAATAGAAGTCTTCAAACAACAGTGTTAGTTTTTTGCGAAGCAGCCACGGTACATCCGGGATTTGCACAACCGATACCGGTTGCACAACAGATAATAGATGCATAGTTGTTTAAAAAACCAAATACAAAATCAGTATCGTAGAGTCTGTTTGGTGCCCTGACACGTACTATCTACAACCTCTCGTTAGTGGATTCAAGGCCACAGACTCATATGAGGAGCTGTGTTTCCACGCTATTAAAACATGAATACACGGTACATCATTTCCTCGTTACATAATTCTTTTATTTCCTTATCATATCGTGCTTGAAAGGCGCTTTATCTTACAGTTACAGCCAATTCATTCCGCACATAATACAAAATCAAATAGAAAAGCAGAGATAAGGGCTAGGAGATATTAAATGTGGAGGTAGGCCACCAGTTGTTAACAAAATGAGAAGAGGAAACGACATGCGGTAAAGTAAGCAACTGACTGATGTAACCTCGGGACATCTGCCCCTATTAACCTCTCCTTGCCCTTTGATGCCTCAATCCATTGAGTACAGAATTTACTAAGGCCGGAAAGGTTTTCGAGGATCAGACATTGAATTTCACGTGTGCAAAGCAACACTTAACGTCTGATACATCCTAGCATGCACATTTTATGCGACCCCGCGTGCCGAAGCAAATTGGAGTCGACTTTAGAAAGTGTGACGCCATTTCGATCAGAAATGTGAACAATGCTGTTGATTGGTCAATTTGGCTGTCAAGTTTTTGTAATACAACAACGGGTTACGAAAGACCCGATACAAGGCGCCCGCTGAACGGCCAGAATCTTGATGTCAAGACGCAGTCTTGTTTTGCATAATCGCCGAATCTGCGCGATAGTAATAGACGCCTGTCTGCAAGCGGCTATTCCATAGACTAGCACTTTTTTATTCGTGGATCGCAGAAACAAAGTGCTTGAGGAAAATTTCAATTTTCAAAATTTTCAAAATGGCCGCAATTTCTGAAGATGGCCGCTTTCCTTTCCGCCAATTGCAAGACATGTTTATAATATTTTTACCAGCAAAATGACCGTCATCTTTCCCGGTCGCGCAATATGTGGAGTTTTCTGTAATGTATCCCATTTCCATCACTGATATATACGGTTTATGTAGGGACTTGCCACCGATGTGGAAAAAGGCTGGGACGGTAAACATGTTTTCTTTTACTTTACATTTAGAAGAAAACTAGTTTGCGGCAAATTTTTGGGTTTTGGTCTTGTTGTCGGGTCACGTGCACTTCATTCATTATCACCTTTATGATGAGTCCACTGCCTCTTTAAACTTGCTAGAGTTCAGAAGGCTTCAGCCTTTACAAATGGTTGAGCCATTATTTCTGCTGTTTGTTTGGTTTTTTTTTTTTGCAATGTCCAAATATCTGTTTCACATAATACCAAATGATGTTATCAAATGCACGGGCGTACAGGAAATAATTTAGACAAAAAAGGGGTATAAACAAAAGTTTTAGCTAAATCTAATACAGACGTCTTCAAAAGAGACATTTTTACTCAATAATTCTACATCTTTAACAGTTACTTTCTATAATGCGGAAGCAGCAAGGGCGGGTCGAGGTTTTAACAGGAATTTAAAAAAGGGCAACTTGTCCCTCAGATGTTCCCTGCATTTTGTTTGACGAGAATACAAGCTGCTTTCCAAAAAAAAAAAAAAAAAAAAGAGCAATTTTCATATAATGTACACTTTAATCTTTCCCGTTCTAGACCTCGATCCTCGCCCAAAATTCGAATCCACTTGCTGTACCTAAGCCTATCTACAAAGCAGTTACATGTTTGACTTGCGTTTATATTGGCCTTCGTATTTCAGTCAATACCTTTTTTTTTACATAAAGTCAACAGGTAGTTTTGGGAAGAATAAACACAAGCTGTTCTCGGCGGCATGGCTTTGTAATAAGCATACTGTTCGTGTGACCTCTGCAGTGTATAATGGGAAAATACAACCCGCTAACTAACGGTATTTTTGGTAATACTTTTGACATTTTTCACTATGCAAAAAAATATATATACAAATTGCTCACAGCATAATACCCAGTTGTCTACCCAGTCAGCCCAAACGTCATCATGACGTCAGGGAATTCTAAGAATATAATAAACAGATGGGAAAAAATTGTATACAAGTTGACGTAAAATATTTTTGTCTTCTTGAACGAAAAAAACACAAGGTCAAGCAGCAAGGAAATTCGCCCAACAACCTCTTATTTTAAGCATCGAAAATACCTGCAGGTTGCTGTCAAGTTTGGCAACTGAAAAGTACTGTTCGTATGATGCAGCATAATTTTCATGCAAAATATGTAGCCTTTTATGAACCAAGTTCAGTTCAAATATCCCAGTTAAGAGGGAAAGCAAATATCCCAGTTAAGAGGGAAAGCGAATATCCGTCTTCTATATACTTCATCATTTTCTTACATGCATCATCTGGAGACCATCATGTTGCTATTGGTTGTTTTCACACCTCGGGTGACACCATTCATGTGCACCTTGATGTGCTTGGATAGATGGTCCGAGCGGGAAAACCTCTTTTCACAGATGGTGCACTGGTAGGGTTTGACTCCGGAGTGAGAGCGCTTGTGACGGGCCAGCTCATCCGATCGAGAGAAGCGCCACTTGCAGCCCTCCCAGGTGCACACGAAAGGTTTCTCACCGGTGTGACGGCGCAGGTGGGCCTTAAGATGAGAGCTCTTAGAGTACATCTTACCGCAGTTAGGGTAAGTGCACTTGTGGATTTTGAGTTCGTCCGCCACTTTTCCGGTGCCTCTGCTTCTGGATGGTTTGCGGACAGCGGTCGTGGGCTCTGCTGGTGATGTGTTCCCCACTGCTCCCGTGGGTGTGGTGACGGGGATGTGAGTGATGCGTACACCGGAGGCTGGCAAGAGGGCCATTCTCTGACTGGTCAGGTTTTGAGGGGACACGGGCTCGTTTTTGACCGGTGTCGAGACTTGGATAACCGTCTCACTGACGGACAACCCTTTGGTTACCGAACGAGACAAAGGAACCGCAGGGGGAGAGTGAGAAGCCATCACACCCCGGGGAATCGGTGGCTTGCCGGGTTGGCGTGGACTGTCCAAAGTTGGAAGATTGACGCCACCTTGACACTGCTGCCATGGAGGATGCAAGTAGTTACCATTCATCGAGTCGGTGCTCATGATGTACGGCAGAGGCTTAAAATAATCATCGCAGGCGATTTTGGGAGGTTCGACCAGGTTGTAGCTGTGGTGCAGCAAAGGGTCCGGTGGGTAGATTGGTGTCGGCTGGGGTGTGTAGTAGACAGGCTCTCCATCGGGGTAAACGCTGTCCGCGACAGCATCAAAGTCAAGTTTATTATGATCAATGCGAACACTGAACAAGGCGTCACGGATTGTGTTACTCATTTCGGTGTCTGCCAGACCCTGTGAGAAGAGATACTCCAGGAAAAGATCGTCTTCGCTTGGGCTGAGGGAGCTGTTGCTGTCAGACATGCACGAGATCTCATCGGAGGAGGAACTATTGGCGTCACTCTCTTCCTCGAGGTCTCCGGCCGAGTTGAGTCTCTGTAGAGTCCAACTCTCCCGTTCAAGGCTGGAGCGTGTACGGTACACGTCGACCATATTAGCAGCCGATCGAAGAGAAAGTAACCGAAACTGGAGCAAGTTAATGGTCTGAAGTGGTGCGCTATCAATGATGACAATGATGCTGATGATGAAGATGAAGATGAGGGTACCCTTTGCTGGCTTTGGCGTTGGTCGGGTTCGAGATGTGACAAGCCACCGACTGCAGCTCACAGCTGATGTGCTGGTGGGTATTATACCCCCTTGAGTGGTACCAAACTTTTTTGTAGCCCAGGGTAGCGTATTAAACCCTTATCAGTCAGCTACCATGGACTAATAATAGCACTGGGTAACACGGGAATGTCACGGTAGAACAATCTAATACAAGACATCCAAATGGCAGTCAACAGGCACTGATTTGCCGGCCAGAGTTCCGAATCGAAGCATTGAGCCCCTCTCCAGTGTTTACACGTTCAGATTTGTTGACCTTATCAGTTAAATGACCACTTGGGGTATGTGTGTACCTTGTTCGAGGGTACCAAGCGGGTTATTTATCACGGCAATGGGACGGCGGATTATACGGTACCCTAGTCGATTGGCGATAAGTTCTCAGGACCCTGGACCCAGCTAGCTGAATGCACTCACGGGGACATGGCGCGTGAAGTTCCAAGCAAGTTTGAAGGTCGAGACCTAGCGCATATACTGGGGAATCGTTCGTAGTTACGGCTACTTGTTAGTCAATACTTGCAATAGTTATTGATTATGATGAGTGTACATGTATGCTTGTCCGGGCAAGCGTGTTGGTACTCCACTCAGGTACTGCAAGCAATGACCTATAGGCATACTTGCACAAACTCTCCCGTGTTCGTTCGGAGAACCAATCCGTTGGTCTCGGCACTTCCACATAATCATCATCACATGCACACAGAAATGATCCGTACGTTCGGAGAAATTTTCTAAGTGAAACTTTCGACGTGCCCTGGTGGTACTGATTGATTCAACAGGGAGGAGGGTATTAATTCTGGGCGGTTGACGTCACAAAGTTCGCCGAAATATCTGTTTTTTCTATATACGAGAGAGCTATAATGAGAACGCCATATATGGATACCGGACTCAAGGGCGGATCCAGAAGACAATTGTTTGGGCCCCAAAAAGTGGGTCCAGAAAATTACGGCGTGGGGTTCGGGGCCCGCTTGGCCCCAAAATTTTGTTGGATTCTAGATGCTATGTGGTGCGATCCGAGGACAATTTCTGACCACTTTGACCAACTTGTTTTGAGGAAAAGATGGGGGTGTACGCAGTGTCTGCCTTTATTGCGGCGTCACTTAAAAAAAAAAGAGGGGGTTTCGGTGGGTTTTTTTTTTGGGGGGGGGCATGGCGCCCGTTGCCCCCCCCCCCCCCGATCCGCCCTTGACTGGACTTCTCTCTCAGTACAGCGGTTTGGTACGATAACATGCAGTCATGGGCGTCGCGAGGGGGGGCACTTGCCCCCCCCCCCCCCCCCCCCTGGAAAAGCAAAAAAAAAAAAAAAAAAAAAAAAGGAAGAAAAAGAAAAGAAAAAAAAGAAAAGAAAAAGAGGAGCGAAGACAAAGTGGTGTAAATTTAATGAGTTGGGGGGGGGGGGCAAAATGTCCCTGCCCCCCTCTAAAACTGATAAATCGAGAATGTGTTGAGAAATACAAGCATTTTTTGGCAAAATTTTTTTTGCCCCCCTCTACAAAAAATCCTGGCGACGCCCATGCATGCAGTGACTAAAAGCCAAACTTTCCGGGAAAATATAACAACAGACATATAGTACATGTTAGTTGTAACCATGAAGGTTACCAATGAATAAATATACAGGCCTTAGCCTACTTTAAAAGTACGTGAGACGTATTTTGTTGAGTTATGAAATGTGCTCACATAATACCAGGTGACCCTATATCGATCGTTGCGCATTAACTTTCTGTTTTTGTTTTTGCAGTTTGGTACGTGGATTTTATTTTCAATTGATTATTCCGAAGTGTATATTACTCACATAGTTTTGGTGGAATGTCATATACCGTACGTGCTGGACAAAAGGATTAAACTCCTTGGCCCACTTCATGGGGAAAACATATGACGACCAAATCCGTGTATACTATACGCAACTATAGGAGCAAAAACCAGCTGCGATCCAGTCGAAATCAATAAACCACGTTGCCGACATTTTCGGCTGGTATAACATATCTAACTGTTTTTGCTAAGTGACTGGTTTTTACGTTTAGCAAATGGGCTTAGCACCTCCACGAAGCTATAATCCTATACTCAGTCTCAAGCTCTCATAAATCATCATTATTGGTAGTCGGGAACGTTTTAGTGAGCTCTTAAATCTTACAGGTGGCTGCCTGGTCATGCACTGCAAAACGAAAGTGGCACAGTCAGACAGCAAAAGCGGAGCATGCACCTATGTAAGATCTGTGATCCTGCGGCGCAGGTACGAGGTGAAAGATGTGCCGTACGTTCGGGGTAATTTCCAGTTAATAAATAACGAGCAAACCACCACCACCACCAGTGCCCGTTATTCTCATCAAAATCAGTTATAATCGGATCCTATTAAAGGCTTAGGGTCAGAGCCTCACATCGCGATGGGCATAGCGCTGTATAGATTTGGGAATCCTTAGAGCACACAAGACCAAAACCATGTGCAAACAGGATGGTAGCATCATGAAGACGGACACTGATTCACGGTGGTTGTTGATACCACTTCTCATGTCAGAGCGCGTGGACTCGGACTCGTATTTACATTTAGGACCTACATGTATACGATTACTACTAGACATTTAATAACAGGGTGTTGTCAACTTGAAGTTATTGGTGCACCGCTCGAAGAATTTTCAAAGTTGGTTTGGTTAGGCAGGTGAAAAAAATAGCAGACCCAATATTCGTATTTTATTATACATATAGAAGTCCAAGTTACGATTTCTGAATTAAGTTGTTTAAAAATGAAGTGAATCTATATATGTTCTATTGCTCATAATAAATAGGCCTTCAAGTACATCCGAGTTGAAACCGTTCGATTGACGTTACTCAATGTGGTTGGCCCTATAGTGAAAGAAAATGAGTAATATATTCAATGTGGCCCGATCCTTCATTCTTAAATAAGGGGAAACATCGAAACGATTTCCTTTCATAAATCGTGGGAAATGACACACAAGAAGTCAAGTACATGGGCCCACTGTTTGCCAAGCGCTTAGTCTGTGGACTTGCTAGTCTCTTATAGAGGTCAATTGCAGATCGTAAAAAAAAAATCCACAGTTGGACAATGGCGATCGAGCTGTCCGAGCTGTCGAACAAAAACGCAATCCACTTGATTTATTTCGTAACCTTGTATAGCGCAGTACACATGTTTACGGTACAAGATCATACACGATATTACGATCATGAATTTAATGTGAGCAACAAATACCGGAAAAGGTCAACTCGGAGTTGCCACGTGGAAGTCGTTAAAGGTCATCACGATAAAAGGTGATTCGATATCGAGGTAAGGGTTAAATAGCGCCCTCGTGCGACTTTTGCTTGTTTTTAAGAAAGCACTAGCTGCCACTGTGACTTCGGTGAAATTATTTAAATAAATGTAATCTTTTTTAGGGGGGGGAACTTCGGTTTTGAATGCGGTCGGCATACGCAGCAGCAAAATGCAGGTTTTAAAGAGGATATTTTTTCATCTCAAACAATTTGACCATAGAAATGACCGGCCTGCCCCCCCTAAAAAAAATCATTTTCATAATTTCGCCTTCCATCATACAAAATAAAACCAAGTGGCTCCAAGAAAAAATTCCCCCGTTTCTGATTTTTTGGACAAGCCCTGTAAAACTTTTGGTGTTTTTTCTAACCCGGACTCGCTTCAAACAAGATGTTTAAAGAAAGGCACAATAACAACATTATTTTTCTACAATTCCATGGAACTTTATATTTATCATAAGAGCACAGTTATTCATCTAAAATAAGGCAGATGGGACGGATTATTGTGAAACGGCACTTTGCAGGAAGCTAAACCGATTAAAATCATTTATGCTAAAAATAACATCATGCTTGCCTTTTCAATAGACATGTATCTTTATAATACAAAAAGACCTGGACAGATCACAGTAAAATAGGAGCTACCTGACCTGAATGCACCAATGTACATCCAATGAAACATTTGAATAACTACTATCAAAAGGCTTGGAGGAAGAACAGGACTATAATATGACCAAAACATATAAAAATCCGGTAAAAAAAAGCAAAGTGAATTTCTGAGGGTTACATGTGTCTACCAGAGGAAACTTGATGCATTATATTGGTTTATGCATGGCACTTTCCAGCTTTTGCAAGGTTTACCCTTGGATTTCCTACAACCATATCATGTATTTTAAACAAAAATGTGTCATAATTCTTTTCTGTCATTAAACAAAGGGTTCTTCAAAAAGTGCAAAGGTTATGTAGTTCAGTGGTTTGACGAAATCAAGAGAGAGACGACAGTGAGATCTGTACAATCTAGACAATGTGCTTACATCTTAAAAATTATAAGGCCCATTTTGACATCCGAAATATATATTCACTCCTTAGGGGTGAAAGCACTAAACTTCGGAACCCTCCCCCCAACCTATAGCCTTTCCAAAATTCCTTGATCCGTTTCTGGTTAGAAAGTGTTAGTTTCAGGCACCGTCATCATCTAGGTGAAGAAATAGGCCATTTCCTCTTCCTCTTTGTCGGCTTTCTGCTTGGACTTGTCCACTTTGCGCTTTGTCTGCGGCGGCTCCGAGCGGAAAACCAACTTGCGACCAGTCTGTGATCAGAACAAAAAAAGGAAGGAAGTTTTATTGATTGATAATTATTACTTCATTGATTAATCCAAACCCACCAAAATCCTTCAAAATCCACCGGGTTGGAGTGGGCTTTAATTGATTTAAGAAAGTGTGGCCCTGCCATTGTTCACTTTACACAGGACTTGATGCTTCTTGAAGGCAAAGTGCAAAAAAAAAATTATATGATGGCTTCTCAGCCTAGTCTCATGGCTTCTCACACAACCAGTAATTTATTCTGACATGCCGCTTGTTTTTGTGTTTTTGTTTTGATTTTGAATATAATAGGGCTGCAAAGGCATTGCAAACATTTGGGGCTTGATGTTCCCACTTTTTCTTTGCACATGTGACATTTTGGAGACTTCAACAACGTTCGAAGAAAAGAAAGTGCCTTGAAGGTTGGAACAGAAACGTCTTAGAAGCTACACCAGTATTTGATGTCAGACTTTTGCTGAATTACAATACACAATATTGAATCTCATTCCACTTTAGGCAGTCAAGTCAGGCGGTAACAGAGTTGGAGGTAAAATGGAAGGCCCTGGGAAATTAAACAACCATTTTTTTTTCAATTCTTACCTTCTTTTTTGGGTCTGCCTGGGCTCTCTCCAAGGCTCGCTTGACCCTCTCCTCCTGGTGGATCCTCTGGGCCTCAATCTTCTCCTCCCGTTGTCGCAGACGCCGCTCTTTCTCCTTTGCCTAGAGTAAAAAGGGAGTTATCAAGTAAAAGTCAAGTCCGTCTTTAGCTAATATGGCTCAGAAGGCCAGTTTTCATCTCTGGTGTCCTTGAGAAAACAATGACTGTCATTGTTTCTATTCCCCCTCTCCTCGGTGGGAAGCTGGTCCATCTCAGGGTGCCTCTCAGCTAATGCCAATACGTGTTTATACTTGTGGGTGAATACTGGCAAATGGGAGTAAAGTGGCTTGCCTAAGGACACAACATATGGCCAGCAGGTGGATTTAAACCTCTAACCCTCCATAACGAATCACCAACCCCTAAAGCACTTGGCCACACTACCATCCAGAAATCAGGGAAGTGAGGAATTTTTTTTACTATTCTACCCTTTTAGGTTTGTGATGGAAAAAAAAAATCCATTTTTATAAGTCTTTTTTTCCATTTTTTTTTTTACAAGTAAGCTGCACAATTTTCAGAAACATTTGAATGAGTCACAATTAGCACTAAAGGTAGTGCAATGTTGACTTTTTAAACAGATTTGTATTTCTTTATTTTCACAAACTGCAAATAAAGCAATAAGAACATAGCCCTTTTGTCATCTCCACTGTCAAATTCCTTTGAAACTTTCTTTAAAATTGTGCAGGATGCTAAAAGCTGGAGAGTTTTAAAGTTGTCCTAACTCATTTACACAGGTATATAAATTCCATTTCAACTATTTATGTTGCCAGCTTTCAAATAATTACTTCCATTTATCATAATTGTATTTATCAAATCAAAAACTGTATCAGGGGTAAAAAAATAAGACCAACGGAAATTGTCACATCGTTAAAAGTCTTTCAAGTGCCCTTACCTTTTCTGCTGCTTCCACTTTCTCTGGTGGCATGGTCTCTATACTCTCAAACAACTCCTCAAGACGATTCTCAATGTTGGTCAGCATCTGCAATGTGCTGCATAAAACAAAGCAGAGAGAAAGAAAATCGTAACAAACTCAAAACCCTCCTTTGAATGAAATCGCTCTGTTCAGGCTTTTGATTTATTAATTAAAAAAAATGTAACACCCTGATCAGTGACAATTCTCATCCGGTAAAGTTCAACACACCATCTCTTCAAAGGAGCTACAAATTATCAGTGTGATAAGTTGGGTTTTTTTTGTGGACATGACTTTCAGACTTTTTTCTCAGAAAATCTTGAAAAGAGGAATATGTCTTTTTTCCGCTAATAAAAATCTCATGTTTCAGAAGGGAACTTTGGGAATTGGAGCTGTATAAGGCCAAAAAAAAAAGTCTCCGGTTTCTGGTATGGAGCTCAAGGGCGGATCGGGGGGGGGGGGGGGGGGGGGAGGGGGGAGGGGGGAGGGGGGGGCAAAGGCCAAAGGGGGCCATGGCCCCCCCCCCAAAAAAAAAAACCGAATCAAATTTATTTTTTTTTTTAAATGACTTTGCAATAAAGTCAGGCAATGAGTAAACCACCATCTTTTCCTCAAAAAAATTGGTAAAAGTGGTCAGAAATTGCCTCAGATCGCACCACAGAGCATCTAGAATCCACCCCCCCCCCAAAAAAAATTTGTGTTCTGGATCCGCCCTTGATGGAGTTTGCCCCAAAAAGTGGTGCGGCGATATGAATGCGTTTTTGTTTTTTTCCACTTATTTTTTCTTCAAATGTCGGCTGATGACTGCAAATGATGCCCAACTAAATTTAGTGCAAAATATATGGGAGTCCAGAGAGGCCACATAAAGCTTATACTCGATCGTAACCCCATCTAAAAACACATTAAAATTGTGCAGCAGCAGGATTCCAGTCAAACCAGTGAGTTTGGCAGTTTATAAACATCATCTTACATTGAAAAAAAACCTTTTTCATTTTGCTGACTCGCATGGCTACGGCGAAGCGCACGCATACTAGAAACTTTTTTTTGGCCTAAACGCCCGACAACACCCCATGAAGCTGCGGCCCAACTGCAGACCTGCTGTAGCCTTAGTCATGTACATGAGGTAAAAGTCTGTTCTTAATGCACAACTTCTCACGTGGTCGTGACTGTCAATTGAACAGGATTCCCATTATTTTGTTGAACGTCAGCTGGTGCATGGAGCGTTTTATAGCATGTGGAACACCCAATTTGTGTGCAGTACAGTGCTAGCCCCAATGCGAAAAATGAGTGACATCGTGACCCAGTTTTGTTGCGAGGGCCAAAGGGGCAAAGGTGTTTGATTGCCAAAAAAGGCATTTGCTGAAGTTTGTTACTAACCAACGGAGAGACAGCATCATTTCTTGAGCTGCTTTCTGCAGCTAACAATATACAATCACTGATGTTTATAAAAGCAAGTATTTGTAACATACCTAATGTTTGCTTCATTGTCACCAATGCAATTCCCATAGACTTCTTCCACTTTTCTGTTCAGGGTGTCCAGCATAGCTTCCTGAGTATAATTGAAATTATAAAAAAAATATTATTTAAAGGGAAAATACAACATTTGCAAACATCAAAAAACAAAATTACCAAATCATTTTGAAATACCTCGCTGGACTGTTAGTGAATGACAGTGTAAAGCATCCTGTAAAATCATGGCACCTGGTATGCTGTCATTTTCAAGAAAAGTGGTATTTTTGTATCAATTTCCAACGCTGGTCGGCCGACCAGCGTTGGAAAAAACTGGCTTTTTTTCAAATACTGGCCCCAATTGACCATCGCACTTGTTTGCAATCGATTACACACCTATGAACGGGTACAAGCCAACTAGACTGGTTCCCTGACCTTACAATTCCACAATGTATGTAAACTGCTCTGTTTCTTCTTAAATGGAGTCAGGGAACCAGACTACAGGAAAATGATTGTTTTTCTTGGTTTTTATAGCATTTTCGAACCCAAAACCTCAAAGAAGTCAGTGTAACTATATTTGCTATATATTTCCAACCCCCCAATTCCATCCATTTTTGAAAATTACAGCAAAAGCAAATGATGTATATTCCCTTTAAGATAACATAATGGATTTTGCAAACTACAAAACGCTTGTTTCTGGTGGCTTTGATGATCAAAGACAGTACATGTCAGATTATGAAATGCACACAAGCGTGACTCAGACTAGGATAGGTTTTATGTTGGATTTTGCCCTTCGCCGTAGCATTGTTTGAGGAGGTCATGGGTTCGAGTCCCACCAGAGTAAACTTGTTAATTTTTTCTCGCAAGCCCTCAGACAACACAGAGTATACAGTGTCCATAAACTGCATCGGTAAAGGGCAAAACGTATTTATTATATTAAGTGTATTTTTATGAATTTTAACATGAAAAGCGCATTTTAACATATTTTATCATGGAATTTGTGTTATACAACAGTATACAACAGTATAAATTATTATTGTTAAAACATATATTTTACATCTCCTGACACAAATTCCATCTTATAAAAACTATAGATGATAGAGCAGCACTGAACAAATGGACCAATAGTTCAATGGTGTAACATACGTAGAATAAAACATTCAGACAAATTACAGGAACTTAAAAAAGCTTATCTGTTTAGAACAAGTCTATGTAGTCACCTGTCAAGCAGTGTAGTTTTTGGGCCAAGGTGTGACTTAAGCAAGTCTAATTTACAAGTGTCAGTCAGCGAGTCAGTCAGTGAGTCGGGTACAAAAGAGTACTATGGGCTCCGTGCGCCAACAAAGAAGGCGCTTTTTTACCACTTCTGAGAGTCCCGTTTTTACATTTGTTACACTCTAGCATGAACACAGATTTGGATAATCGATATGCCTCACCTGATCCTCAGCCTTGAATTCACCAAAGGAAAACATCCTGAAAATCAACAACAAAAATATTTTATTACAAACTTGTGAAAAGAGCTTTTACTGACATCTAACAAAGGGTTTACAAAATACATCAGCAATAAACCCTCAGAGAAGAAAATAAGAAGCAACAAAAGTCAAACTGTTTTTCAACATTAGTTTTCCTTGTTTCAGCTTAATAAAGTGACAGGTTTCAAATTTTGGTACAGATTTTGAAATTATGCAAGAACGCTGAAAACTCTACACACAATTTTGCAGTACTGCCTTTTCAAGACCTGTGTTAGTGATTCCTATTATTAGTTTTAGTAACCTTCACAAATCTGCCAAGATCTCACAGTGCGCCTTTTTAATCCAACCGCACATTGTTTTGAAATCCACACTTGAATGAAATTGAAACACCAAGCCCAATGAATTGTTGGCTAGACCCAAACGTCCAGCATCCGTCATATCCTTCAACACCAGGCACTGCATTTTGGAGGTTTTGGGGCGAGTTAGACTTCAGCTAAAACATTCAGTATTTGGAGTTTAAAATTGTTCAATGCAAAGCTTTGCTTCTGACGAGGGCTTTCAGGCTTTCGTAGAGTGAGGAAGAACGTTGATAAAAAGCCTCCTGGCTTAGGAAGAAGGAAATTCAAGGAGAGGAAATATAGACCGAAGGAGAACGAATGCCCCTCTAAAGTGGACACAGATGAATACCGCGAAAGAAGTAGAATTTGTACGAGGAAAACAAACACAAAACAAATGTACACACTCCAAAATAAATATGGGGTCCTTAAATTACAAATTTGAACGCTACGGAGTGTACCAAAAACATTGCAACATTCAGAAAACAAATAATTGAAACTATATTTTTCCTTTTATGAAATTATAAATACATTAAGCCTGACTAATTCTGAATCCACTCCTTTTTACCCCATTGCATTTCGGTCCCTAGATCCAGAAATACAATCAATTAAGTGAAAGGGTGTACATTTTGCTTGGGCCTCTCACCTGTGATGTCACCAACGTCAATGCCTATTCAAGGCTTAATCAATGCTTAATCCAGATTCAGCATGTCCAGGGGCCAATTTCATAGAGCTGCTTAAGCACAAAATTTGCTTAAGCACAAAAACGTCTTGCTTAATACAATCAGGTTACCGGCCAAAACTCCATGCGATTATCATGCTAACTAAACAACAGCTAAATACCAGTCACAAGCAATGTACATCACATGGAGTTTTGGCCGGTAACCTAATTTTACTAAGCAATGTTTTTTCGTGCTTCAGCAAATTTTCTGCTTAAGCAGCTCTATGAAATTGGGCCCAGGTTTTATTTATTTGTTGTTCTGAATGTTGCACTTTTTTGGCACACTCTGCATTTACAATAGTTTAGTCTGTTCTGAATGAGAATCAGATATGAAAATAAAACAGAAATAAATACAGAATCTATAAGTGCTATAGCTGTGGAAAAAATACAAAGTGTGTTAAAATGGAAAATACTGGAGGGATATATTGCAGGCAGAACTATAGATAAGGCAACTGGCTTTAAGTGCTGAAATTCAAAGTATTGCGTGCATTTTGCTGCAAAGAAATACCACCATCCCATGTAACCTTTACAGCACAAAGGGATAACACTTTTTTAAATGGCAGACACAGAATTTTGAAAGAGACCTTAGTTCGCAAATAAAATTGTACAGCTTGTCAGCAGGGGCGGAGCTAATTCAAGGGAAAAAAGAGGAGGTACACACAACTTCAAAAACTTTTCAGAAGCTCACCAACTCACAAAAGAGATTTGTCACATGGTGCTACCGTAAGTTCTTTATCTTAGTGCTACCTTCACCACGCAAACCTTTAAATCTTATCTCACATTTTAGTTTAGCTTTTCACAATTTGTTACTGATGACAAAATAACCGTCTGCGGTAAAAACAATCTGAGGCTAATTTCACAGCACAAAATTTAATTTTTCATAATCGTTTTGGCATTTGTCTTTCCAAGTTTCAACGGTAATATATGCGAGGATTTGTTAAAGTTGTGAAAAACTTCAAATTTGTCTTGGCCTACTGATCGCAAATCGTTTTCAGGAGAGATACGTAAGGCCGAAAAAAAAAAATAGTTCTGCTTCCCATTACATGCCTTTCAAAAAAAGGGTCGGTCGGAAATTTTTTGTTTTCCATTTTTTTAATGCAGATTGAATAGGGCATTCAATTATATGCGAAGTTTTAGCCTGAACTATTTCCATTGCACTACGAAAGCTATACAAAAAATGGTCACAAAAAGTGAATAAAACCTACCATAATTATCGTCAATATATTTAAGTTCCATAATTCTTAAAAAATAATGGAAAATTCAGGTCGTTTGCACCATATGCACAACACTAGTCAAAACGGGAAACTGGCCAAAACTCTGAAGTGTGTGATGCACTGTGCATGTGTGGCGTGCGGCCGACAGACCTCATTTTTACGTTCGAAAATTTTGGGAAACACGCTGCATGTTTTACTCCAAATACGAGTAGTGCAATCCCAAAATGAACTCTTGTACACGGAAAATACATAAACAGACAAGCTAGATCAATTCTGTGAATTAACTTGCAAAAATGTTCTTTTTCAATCAGTGGTTTCTTGGCATTTTTACGATGTCGAATCAGACCAGTTGACAGTGCACCGGCCTGCAATGCATAGCCATGCTAGCATAGCTCTATGCACAGACTGGTTACCGCATTTTTATCATGTCTTCTAGACTGGCCCCTGCACGGCGTGGTGGGAACCAGTCATCACTGCATTGAGCTAGCATTACGCACGTGATTATCGTCACCGTGACATCGAATTGCAAAGTAGTTATATCCCGGCCGAAGCGAATTTGTAAAAATAACGGAGGTTTCTTTTGAAAAAAAATAGCGGATGTAAGTAAGAAAACAATAAATACAAGCATTTTTGATACAAAAGGGTTGTTGAGAGGTATTTTGTGAAGACAGAAAAGACAACAAGATTTTATTTTTATTTATTCAATCATTAATTTTTTTTTTTTTTGAATTGCCGATAAATTTTTTCAGGGTCGGTCGGCCTTAAAATAGGGTCGGTCAGGTAACCGAAAGCGGAAGTTTTTTTTTTTTTGCCTAAGCTTGCATGGCATGATTACAGACGAGTTAAAACCAATATACGAACCCGTCAACAACTGAACTGCACCTTTAACAATTCAACAGAGGAAAAGGTGAATGGATTAGTAACTACATGTACTGAAAACCAACTCGTTTACAAAATATGAGTACCAGACAAATCCAGGCACATGATCATTGTATGCACTCACGAGGCCCCCATCAATGGAGAAACCATTGTGCACGCTATTGTAGTGTGTACAAAGCAACTGCTCTGGACGGATTATCTGAACAATAGCTAGCACAATGCTTTCTGTATTTCCTGTATTATTGTAATTAATTGACCTCCTTCCTTGTAATGTATGGATATACAGTAGTATATATGTATATTCATACGAATGTGAATATTTGCTGTATAATTTAATTTCTTTTCAATTCAATTAGTATAGATGTATTCCATTCAGCCTATTGTATGTGCATATTAATTTATTAGGGGTTCCAGGTCTTGTACAAGCATATGCTTTTTACCTGAATCCCTCGTATCATTTCTGTCATTCTTTATATATATTCTTGTTAGTTATGTTTTTGTGATATGATATGAAAAAAATAAACCATAAACCATAAACCGTAAACAATGCTTTCACCATAGAAGAGGGCCTTCGTAATAGAATTCATAATGTGCTCACATTGGTCTATAGATTTGCGGGTTATGTTCTGAGAAGTTTTTTTTTTTTAAAACAAATCAACTAAGCCTGTCAACCCCAAAAGCAATAACCATTTTCACAGTAAAATGCACCATCTTGCTTACAAGGCAAATGTCTTCTCTTCCAAAAGAACAAGCCTTGCTTGTTGTGAGCGCACATTGACCTGGAAGCGCAAAAGTTTTTAATTGACTGTGTGTACATAGAAACGCATGTACATTTAATAGCCCCACGAGCAAGATGCCACATATTACCATGAACATGATGAAAGAGCTTATTGTTAAACAACATGCGTTGCGTATCGTTTCGATTTGCGGTAACACCATGTGGTAATAACTACTGCTTAGAAGAAATTTAGTTCTGAAAAGAACTTGTCCTGCTTATTATCAACTTTTCCTAAGTAGTTTAGTTCTGATAAGAACAGCCCTGCTTTAAGTTCTAAAAGTTCTTTTCAGAACTAAATATCTTCTAAGCAGTAGTTATTACCACATGGTGTTACCGCAAACCGAAACGATATCGATACTCCACCATGCAAAGCCTAAAGTCTTATATGTGTTGCATAGTTTTATGAAATGAACCCAAATCCTGGAAAATGGTTGACAGTGATGTTTTATAACACCACTGTAAAGAGCACCATGTGATTGATTGAAACAACTCAGTTTCCAGTACAGCTAGTGTGAAAAAGGAGATGTTATGTAGGGAGAGGAGGGAATGTTATACAGGGTACATTTATGAGAAACAAAAGACAATCTTCAGAACAGAATGGAGAACGATTTTAAAAGGGGAAGAGGGGGGGATGCAATTTGAACAAATTGTTAATGTCCTCATTTTAGGGTATGGCACCAAGTAAAATGAAATGTGGGTCACTCCATAAATGTGGGGTCCACTATTGTCCTGTCACTGTTACATCTGACAGCTATGATTTTATATTTGAAGAGAAAATGAAAGAGGAAGAAGAAGAGAAATTTGCCTTCTTACTTTGATTTATGCTCCAAGTCTCTGGCCTTTTCCTCTTCTCGCTCTATCTGGCCATTCAGGGTGTCAATCTGCTGCGTCAGGGTCGCTGTCTCAAGATCCCTGCGAAGGAAGAAAAGCGGAAAGGACATCCTTGGTCAATGCAAAAACACAGATAATTTGCTAATTCATAAATAACGAGACAGTTTACCATCCTTTCGGTCGAGAGCCCGTCACGTGGTTAGTCTTAAACATGTTAACTGCCGTAAGTTTGCTTAGAAATTGTTTTCTTTTAGCTAAACAGCTAAAAACTGCCACGTCTTACATCTTTCCCTCCGTCGCCATGATGTTCTGTCTGATCTCCTCAAGTGTCTCCTCCGTCTCTTGACTGTTCTGGATCAGTGACAGGTTCTGCTCCTCCAGCTCTGCAAAGATGTCAAGGAGCTGCTGGGGGTCTGCGAAGTACAGCTCGGGCTCCTACGTGACACAGAGAGATGAAGTGAAAGTTTCAACACATTTCAATAGCAAAAACAAATAAGTCTCAACCATAGGAGTGGTGGAAGTTGCTGGAGCTGCTTCTCGGATTTAAACATTTTTATTTATACAGGTCCTTAAACAAATCTTGTATAATAGACCTTCTACATGTATTCCTTGTAACTTTGGTCATTTGTGTACATGTATTTGTTGATGTTTCTCGAGAAATAACATAGTAGAAGTATAGTACATACAGCAGCACTCTTCGATGTGTTTCTTTGCTGTGAATGTAATTTAGTATTTTGTAAATGGGTGTTTACATAAATGTGGAGGCCAGTGTGTGACATTAGGGTCAAATTTTCAAAATAACCAAATTAAATTCAGCTTCACATGGTTTTGCAGTCTAGGGTCTATATTTTGTCAAAAACAAAACCATTTTTCTGTAACATGACCCTTTTTAGAGTAGCAACATGATAAACTAGCATATGGGACACAAATTTCACCTGTAACAGTCACACCAAATTGTTAATTTCTTTTAGAGCTCTCACCAGGTTATTGTTCAGGTATGGTAAAGACATGTTGCTTTTTAAGCAATTATTTGCAACACATATAAGTTAAAAAAAATTTAACACTATCCTTGTTCAACATTTGTTGAAAATCAAATATCAAGTTTCAGGAAATTTGACATATTATGATGATTACAAAAATGTAGCTCTCACTTGACATAAAATTATATTATTTTAAGACAAACACTCACTTGTTCTCTAAAAGCAAGTTTGACAGCCAAAACTGCAACTATGAAGAACAATGAAGATTTACAAACACCACTAGAAAACGGTAAGTAAAGCCTTGTGTTAACCAACATTTGACCTGTAACGCTGACACCAAATAGTCACTGTTACAGAGTGACAATCCTACAACTAACTAATAATAATAGTAATAAATGGTATCAAACCATTTAAACCTTTCTATTTAGTGATAAGCTTGATGGTTTCTACATCAGATACTTGTTTCTGAGACTGGAAGTTTAGTTTGTTATAATAATCATTTCACCTGTAATGCTGACACCAACACCAAAACACTTTTATCACTTTTCTTCACTGTAGTTCTACTTTAACCTGTCCTATGCCAATGTTTTCATTGTATTAAAAAACTTAGTCATTATTTTAGCTAAAAACTCAATCATCAATCAAACAGGTGCTTTTGCTTCATTGTTTCAGCTGAAAAGAGGTATTTCACCTGTAACGGAGTCAGTGTTAACACCAAACCTTTATTGCCTCTTATTTCAAATTCTCAGAGAAGGATTCAAAGTGTAATGACATCTATATTCCAAGCCAATCTCCAGGATATATTTTTAGTTAAACTTGTTGACAAATACAGTTTGACAAATTCAGAGTGCAGCTGCAAAGTATCACCCTGTAACGTTTTTTGATGACACCAAATTGATCTGCCAATATTTAAAATAGTATTTCTTGTACTTCTTTGAATTTCACTTTTGGTCTTCTTTAGTCTCTTTATTTAATAAAAGACTTCAATAATCACTTAAAACTTAGAATAGTTGACAGTTTCTACAAATATTATAATCAATGGTAAAGTTCACCCTGTAACAGGATTTGCTGACACCAAATGTTACAGAGTGATGGTATTTTAGCGTGCATGTCAAAATGATACAAAGTTGCCGATGCACAAACATTGTGTTTAATATTAAGTTTTGGGTTATCATCAATCATTTAGAATTAAAAAGGACCAAATTTATCAATTGAAAGAATGAAAACTGTGCACCATTGGACAAGCTGTAACAATGTCACGCAATTTTACCTAAAAATGTCATAATTCTGGCTAATTTTTGATCAAAATTATACAAATGCATTGTGGTGATTTAAATTTTTTTTATTTCAGTGGGTACATAGTGATATGGGCAATAAAGTAAAAACACAAATATTAGCAAGCTGGTTATTTTAACATGGAAATGCCCCATGAAAGGAAAGAACATGTGAATTATACCACTGGCCTCCACATTTATGTAAACACCCAAATGTACAAACGGTCTAACCATGCACATCCCTATGGAATATGAACACAAAGATGGCTGAATTACTCCAAAGGACCAATAGAAATTACCAAGAACTGTTCACGTTTGAACTCGCAGTAGTCAGAAAGTCATCCACAATAATCTCTCAAATTTGAGAGATAAGCATGGCTTACTCAAATGCACAGAAAATGACAAATTCAAAACCTGTCGTGGCTTTGAAGAGGTCCAGTTACCACTGCAATCTTTGAAACGATGTAAGAAATCGTGGGAATGATCAATAAAATCTTGTGTACAATTTAGTAAATCAAATTAGGTTTTGCCCTTCACCGACGTATAAACACTGTATACTCAGTGTGTTACCTCCCGAGTGAAAGTTGGAAAAATCACTCGGGTGGGACTCGAACCCATGACCTCCTGCTTTCTAGTGCACATGTCTTACCACTCGACCACCGAGCTAACAGTATCGGTTGGCTGGTTCGAATCTAATGCACATAAAAACCTAAAATGATTTACATCAACCTGATACAAAATTCCATCTTATGAATACAATTTAGTACTCAGGATAATTTGTTTTTCATTACCGTCCTTTCCAGGTTTAGTAATAAATAACTGCCTGCCATCAAAACAAACAGGCATTCTTACCTCATCACTCTCATAGTCAGAGTCCACATCTCCTGATTTCATACTGTCAGTTTCTTGCTTGGTGGGAGTCTGGGCCAAAGACCTGCAATCAAAAAAAAATACAATCATTTATTGGTCTTAGTGATCAACTGCCTTCTTGAGGTATAAGTGACAGCTCTCCCTCCCTCCCCTTCACAAAAAAAAAAATAGGAAACACTCCATCCAGTCCATGAATGCCCATTAAATTTGAGTGAGTCTTTACACAATTACTTTATAAATTCACGCTAAATTTGAAATTACCCAAAAAAACTGAAGGTTATCAAATATGGATTGCCTTCTAATATCCATTCCTGAGCCATGTCTTGGTTTTTACCTCTTAGTTGCTGAGCCTGTCTTGCTAGGGACCTGCTTAGCCGAAGCCCTGGAGACACTGCCGCGAGAACCCGATCTGGCCTCAGTGCTTGGAGTTCCTGCTATGGTGTAGAGACAAATAAATCTACCATTGAAAATACATCAATCAAAAATGCTCATTTGGCCAAGTTGTAAGACATTATCACGAGTAAGCAGGACAAGGTTGGAGCTCAAACCAATTTAGAAGCTGGGTGAAATTGGCCCCTAGTTTTAGGAACAGCTTTCCAACTGACCTTTTCTGCGGGTGGCCGAGGTGATCTTTGACAGCGAGTCTCCGCCCTTCTCCCTCTGTTTCTCCCGCCTGCGCTCCTGCCTCCGAGACCGTCGGTCCTCCCTCCACTCCACGGGAGTCAAGGAATCCAAGAACTTCTTGTATAGCTGGTATTCCTTCAGAAGGTCCTCATTCTTGGAAATCTCACTAGATTGAAAAAAATTTGGGTGTGAACAATTTTTATGGTTTTTTTTTTTTCCAATGAGAGTCGTCCATGTCTTTCTCTCAGATTCAAAAAGTCTGAATTCTGACAAAATCTGAAAAAAAATCTCATGCCTGACTTAGATCAAAAGATAGCAAAATATATATTACTTCCACTGTGAGTATGATATATATATATGCATATTTTTACATTATCAATGAAGAGCCTTCATGACTATAAATATGAGATCCCTCCCACTCCCACCCGCCAACCCCCCCCCCCCCAACCTGTGAGTGTAAGTGTGCGTTCAACCTGTGAAAACAACACCATTGAATCGCGTGGGTTGTTTGCACAAGCAGTTCTCAAAAACTCTGCAAGTATGCAACCTATACCAGCGGCCAAGCAATTTGCACTTCCCGAACATGCACATTTTAGACGGGCACTGCACTAGTTTAAATAAAGGAGCAAACGTAGCAATGAAACAACTACACATAAACATGCCATTATTAAAGGGAATGTACAACATTTGCAATTTTCTGAAATAAATGGATTTGGAGGATTAGTATGTCATAGCAAATATTGTTAAAATGACTTGCTTCACGATTTGGGCTTGTAGATGCTGGAAAAACCAAGAAAACCAATGATGTTCTTGTAGTCTGGTTCCCTGACCCCACTTAAGATGAAACAGAGCAATTTATAGACTTTGGGGAAATTGTAAAGTCAGAGAATCAGTCTAGCAGGCTTGTACCCCTTCACAGGTGTGTAATCAATTGCAAAGAAAACGTGGAGTGACTAATAATTAACAATTAGGAGCACTTTTTGAAAAAAAGCCAGTTTTCTCCAACGCTGGTCGGCCGACCAGTGTTGGAAAAATCCCATTTTACTTGAAAATGTCAGCACACCAGAGGCCATGATTTTACAGGATGCTTAGACTGTCATTCCCTAACCATCCAGTCAGGTATTTCGTGATAATTTGATCATTTCGATCATGTTTGCAAATAATGTATCTTCCCTTTAACAATTAAAAACCATTAGATTCAAAAATCTTTTAAAACATTTGTAAGTTTTGTCTTTACCTCCTGATGAGCATGATCTGTGCATTGATCTTCTTTATCTCGGCCACTTTCTCAAGCTTGGCTTTGGTCTCGGCTTCAGCTCTGGAAAGGGATAAACAAACTTAACAATATGAAATTACACAAAATACGATCACACAAATCACCACACATATATATAAAAGAGGTACGATGGCCACTTCTTCATCTTCAAATTGGAGCTCTACAAACTTAGCAGAGCACTGGAACAACGCTCAAGAGGTTGCAGGTATTCGTTTCATTCTTGTCAATTTCTTTGTCCCAATGTATATTCAGATACAACATTCTCAGTGATGTCTGAATGAAATAAACCATATTCCAACCTTGAAGTGTCTGTCCGGAATACTTGGAATGAATAAAAACTAAGAGAAGGCTTTTTTAAACCAAATTAAAAGTTCATTTAATGCAGTTTGGGACTTCAATTTTGCAGTGAATCAGTCAGTCAGTGAGTGAGTCACTCAGAGGATAGTAGGCTCACTTCCGGGTCTCAGAGATGTAGTCAAGTCACTCAAAGTCCAGTCGCATGTCCAGTCGCAAGTCCAGTCACAAGTCCAGTCGCAAGTCCAGTCACAAGTCCAGTCACAAGTCCAGTCACAAGTCCAGTCACAAGTCCAGTCACAAGTTCAGTCACAAGTCCAGTCACAAGTCCAGTCACAAGTCCAGTCACAAGTCCAGTCACAAGTCCAGTCACAAGTTCAGTCACAAGTCCAGCCACAAGTCCAGTCGCATGTCCAGTCGCAAGTCCAGTCGCAAGTCCAGTCGCAAGTCCAGTCGCAAGTCCATCAGAAGTCCAGTCACAAGTCCAGTCACAAGTCCAGTCACAAGTTCAGTCACAAGTCCAGTCACAAGTCCAGTCACAAGTTCAGTCACAAGTCCAGTCACAAGTCCAGTCGCAAGTCCAGTCACAAGTCCAGTCACAAGTCCAGCCACAAGTCCAGTCACAAGTCCAGTCACAAGTCCAGTCACAAGTCCAGTCACAAGTTCAGTCACAAGTCCAGCCACAAGTCCAGTCGCATGTCCAGTCGCAAGTCCAGTCGCAAGTCCAGTCACAAGTCCAGTCACAAGTCCAGTCACAAGTTCAGTCACAAGTCCAGCCACAAGTCCAGTCGCATGTCCAGTCGCAAGTCCAGTCGCAAGTCCTGTCACAAGTCCAGTCACAAGTTCAGTCACAAGTCCAGTCACAAGTCCAGTCGCAAGTCCAGTCACAAGTTCAGTCACAAGTCCAGTCACAAGTCCAGTCACAAGTTCAGTCACAAGTCCAGTCACAAGTCCAGTCACAAGTCCAGTCACAAGTCCAGTCGCAAGTCCAGTCGCAAGTCCAGTCACAAGTCCAGTCACAAGTTCAGTCACAAGTCCAGTCACAAGTCCAGTCACAAGTTCAGTCACAAGTCCAGTCACAAGTCCAGTCGCAAGTCCAGTCACAAGTCCAGTCACAAGTCCAGCCACAAGTCCAGTCACAAGTCCAGTCACAAGTCCAGTCACAAGTCCAGTCACAAGTTCAGTCACAAGTCCAGCCACAAGTTCAGTCACAAGTCCAGTCACAAGTCCAGTCACAAGTCCAGTCACAAGTCCAGTCACAAGTCCAGTCACAAGTTCAGTCACAAGTCCAGCCACAAGTCAAGTCGCATGTCCAGTCGCAAGTCCAGTCGCAAGTCCAGTCGCAAGTCCAGTCGCAAGTCCATCAGAAGTCCAGTCACAAGTCCAGTCACAAGTCCAGTCACAAGTCCAGTCACAAGTCCAGTCACAAGTCCAGTCACAAGTTCAGTCACAAGTCCAGTCACAAGTCCAGTCGCAAGTCCAGTCACAAGTCCAGTCACAAGTCCAGCCACAAGTCCAGTCACAAGTCCAGTCACAAGTCCAGTCACAAGTCCAGTCACAAGTCCAGTCACAAGTCCAGTCACAAGTCCAGTCGCAAGTCCAGTCACAAGTCCAGCCACAAGTCCAGTCACAAGTCCAGTCACAAGTTCAGTCACAAGTCCAGTCACAAGTCCAGTCACAAGTCCAGTCACAAGTCCAGTCGCAAGTCCAGTCACAAGTCCAGCCACAAGTCCAGTCGCAAGTCCAGTCGCAAGTCCTGTCACAAGCACCAGGGGTTGCACAACAACAAAGGAATGCCTTTGTCAACGTTGATTTGAATAGCTTGTGAATTGAATTGAGACTGGAGGACTTGTGATGGCTTTGCAGGGACTTGTGATGGACTCGGCGACTACCTCCCTGATGGGACCACCAAAAAAATGTTGGGGAAAAGCGAAGGAATTGAAACTCCACCTACACTTTGATTGCCTCCACCGAGTTCTTATCATTCTCCTTGAGGAACTCATCAAACATGGCGGCGTCTTCCTCCAAGTACTGCTCGGCTAGCTCCAGTTTCCTCTCCTCGGCCTGCGCAATCTCCTCCAGCTTCCGCATCTCGTCTCGCTTGACTCCCAGGGAGTACTGCACCAGGAACATCTCACGCTTCTTGGCGATGTAGTCCGTCAGGCTCTCCTTCTCAATGTGACGATCTTTAGGAGAATTTGTTTGGATTTGATTTAAATTTTGTTAAGTTTTTTTTTAAGCTGAACAAACAAAATGACTGGAGCGGGTTTGGACCTGCAACTTCAAGATTGCCGTTCCAGTGCTCAACCAATAGCCTTATGTCAGCCCTTCCCCATTTTGTCAATGTCTTTGTTTGAGGGACGCCAGTCAGTAGCCAAGTAATTTTGGACGCAGGCTCATTCTCACCTCTTGTTACAGCCAGGGTAAAGCTAGGATCGTCTTTCACGGCCACCGCCTTGTCGTCAACCTCCTCCCCTTTCTCCTCCTCTGCATCCAAGTCAGCCAGGGGTTTACGCATGGACGACCTCATGGCGTTGACCCGGGACGTGTAAGTCGTCTTCTCGTGGACCTTCAGCCCACGCTGCTTAATGCGCTCCTGAATTGGACCACATTTTAAAATAAATAAAAACTAAAGATTAAAACAAGTTCTAGACAGGCCTTTTAGGTATTTATTTGAGCTTGCCAAAACTTTCTCCAAATTTTCTTTTTTTGACCTTTTGAAGGAGCTGATGGATCTTCTAGCATAAACAGTAAGTTGATGAAGACCTACAGTTTTAACTTTTTTCCAGCTTGAACAATTAAAAAATTATCAATGATGGACCAGACTTACGGCTTTCTTGCGCTGTCTTTCCTTGTCCCGCAGCATGAAGATGTCGTTGTCAGCCGGCATAGTGAATGGGTTGTGATCTGGTGGAAGCTCTTCATTTTCTGGTTGGAGAGGGAATGTACAATAGTCAGAAATAAAAAAAATTGGAATAAATTTTCTGAAATAACTGTGAACATTTCAATAAATTTAATTCAGAAAGAAAAGTACACATTATTTTTTTTTATCCAATCTGTGAAAGTTTTTTTTTATAGGGCATCAGGTATTTCCTATTTACATCAATGTTAACTATGAAAAAGTAGAGCAATTTTTGTTCCAATTATTTACATGTTAGACAAAAGGAATTTTGAGGCAGTGTGATTGTTTTTGGTTGACACATTTTACCTGAAACAATGGATTGCTCTGAAGCAGACTTGACTGAATGTGGAAAAGTGACTCTGCCGGACTGACGAGAGGTGTTCTCATCTCCTACAAAATAAAATATCAATGTATATGAGAATAAAGACAAATATTACAAATAAATTAATTTCTAACATGATAGAGATATCAACCTTTTTATGATATGTAGAATTGCTGTAAGCAAACTAATGGACAGGAGTTTTAAACTCACAGTTCCACACAAGATGCACAACAGGTTTGTGTGATGTTTCCCCTGGGAGGCTTTACAAAAAATATTGTACGTTTATGTTGAATGCCTGCTTTTTTCTTTTTTTGGGGGTTGAAATATTTCAAATTGCAAGTTCTTCCTCTGAGGTTCATAACCCAATGTCCTCTAATAACATGGAATTTAATAATAATAATAATAATAATAGTGGTATTTATAAAGGGAACGTATCCACCAGGACATGTGCTCAAGGCGTTATATCATTATTACCCCTGCTCATTGGGCCCATGAAACATTCCAAATACCATCTCAACTCCCTGGGAAGTATACAGCTCGATGCTGCCTGTTAGGCGCAAGGAAGCTAATTCAATCACAATAACCATCTCTGCCCTCACAGGTACCCATTTACTCCTGGGTGGAGTGAAGCGAAGCAATGAGTGACAAAGTGTGTTGCCCAAGGGCACATGCACCATAGCTGCAGGCTGGACTCAAACCCACAACCTGTAGCTTTACTCGCAGACCACGAATCCAATGCCCTTAACCACAAGGCCACAGCTAGGTATAATTCAAGAGCCTTATATTATTCTAATAATAATAATAATAATAGTGGATATTTATAAAGCGCACGTATCCACCAGGACTGGTGCTCAAGGCGCTACATCATTATTACCCCTGCTCATTGGGCACATGAAACATTCCAAATACCATCTCAGCTCCCTGGGGAGTATACAGCTCAATGCAGCCTGTTAGGCGCAAGGAAGCTAATTCAATCACAATAACCATCTCTGCCCTCACAGGTACCCATTTACTCCTGGGTGGAGAGAAGCAATGAGTGACAAAGTGCCTTGCCCAAGGGCACACGCACCATGACCCCGCCAGGACTCGAACCCACAACCTGCAGCTTTACCCGCAGACCACGAATCAGTGCCTTTAACCACGAGGCCACAGTACTCCACTGTCTAGGACAGATTATCTGCAGCAAGAAACATTTCCACAAAACGTACAAAGGCACTCAATATTAACATTTGAAATAAAATATATACAGTGAATGAATAAATAAAACAATATTAAATAATTTACTTGACTTCTTGTCAGCTGAAGTCACAGAAACAGCAGAGGAGGCAGACTGGGTGGGAGATCCTGCACCAGACATGGCGATAAACTACTGGGGAAGAAATGAAATCAGAAAATAAATGATCATTCAATCCAGAAAATTTAATTTCCCCATTAAATAACAAGCAACCTGAGATGAAACGAAGAGTCGTTTTAGGACCATTAAAGGAGACAACCTAGCCCTGATAAAAAAAACACCTTGTAGACACTATAAACAAGGCAATATCCCCTTTCCTGACAACAACTTTAAAACAAAATTAAAGGGTATTTTAATGAGCAAACAAATAACCGATCCCCATCCTCAAGAAAACACAAGCTGACAAGGAAAATGTACAGAAAAAAAGGAACAAGTTTGTAAAAGCAACATATTACTTCAAACAATGCCAAGGACACTGTACAAGAGACCAGAACTGAAATGGGTACATGCAAAGGTACATGCAAAGATGATACAAGCTTCCTTAAAGCCAGAGTCCATCATTTGCAGCCATCCAAAAAAGTAACTGGCGTATTATTGTTGAGAAACATACTTGGTTGAAAGATAGTAAGTGGACTAAACTCCCTGTGAAATTAATCTTTCTGGCAAGCTATCATTTTGGAGTAATCAACGAAAGAAGGCCTTTCCAACAGTGCGTCTTAAGACGAAAATTTAAATTAGTAGTTTGTTTTGTTATTCGGCGCAGCGCGCGCAAGCATTGGAACGACGCACAGGCGCGCGCGGTTGCTATAATTCGTCGGATCAGTGCGCGACATCGCGTATAGCTGCAATTCAAATCAATTCAAAACATGATTCAGCAACTTTTGATTTGAAATTGAGATCCTAGAATGCTGTTTTTCTCGGAATATGCAGCTGAAGCTGAGCTGAAATTTCATCAGGTTAGTTGTTCAGTATCCTTCATTAGATTTTGAACACTTTTGTTGCTTCAAACGAACAAAATGCACAAATTACAAATGATGGACTATATCTTTAAATAGTATGGGCTTTTGGCGCGGGGTACATTTCAGTACAGAAAACAGTCGTTGATTAAGCGCGACTTGTTTTTCTTCAATAGGGATGTCACACACATGCTTGATGATCGATATATCAGTCATGTCAGTGAAATGGACTGCACAACTCAGCAGACATTTGATTGTGAGTGGTAAGTTCAGAATATTTCGTTCTTTTTTCAAAATTACCATTTGTTTGGAACAATTTAAGGGGTCTTCTTTTTGCGTTATTTTAACAGGGCCCTATTTCTGATGAACAATACAGTCGTTTTCCTAGTTCCGGATAGCAAACATCATTCAGGCTGATTTCGGCTCAACTACTCCACGAATTCAAGTGACATTGATTAAAAAGTTTACCTTGAGTGATGGAGAGACCTACTCCTAGAACTATGAGGCTCCACGTAATGGAGCCTCATAGATTAAGAACCCCGCAAAATTGTTTTCAGCACAAAACACTAATTAAGTACAAAAACGTCCATCAAAATGGAGACATTTCCCACAGAACCGCTGCACAGTTTGCCCCCAAACTCTGTACTACACCTCATGACATACTCACAAAATATGCGCAGAACAAACATCGCTGGATTTTGTCGGTTTTTTGGCTAAAATGATGAAAAATATGCCCTTTCCGCACTGAGCCAACCTAACACTTGAAACGTGCACGCATATGATCGAGCGATGATTTTCGGTTCGTTCGGAGCGCGCCGCGGGGGGTACGGTACAAGCACTTGTACGCATGCGCATACTATCATTTCGCTTGTATATTAAATTCCGTTCCCCCCGCGGCGCGCTCAGAGCGAACCGACATTCATCGCTCGATCATATGCGTGCACGTTTCAAGTGTCAGGTTGGCTCAGTGCGGAAAGGGCATATTTTTCATCATTTTAGCCAAAAAACCGACAAAATCCAGCGATGTTTGTTCTGCGTATATTTTGTGAGTATGTCAATGACATACTCACAAAATATACGCAGAACAAACATGACATTGTCATGAGGTGTAGTACGGAGTTTGGGGGCAAACTGTGCAGCGGTTCTGTGGGAAATTTCTGCATTTTGATGGAAATTTTTGTACTTAATTAGTGTTTTGTGCTGAAAACAATTTTGCGGGGTTCTTAATCTATGAGGCTCCACTACATAGTTCTAGGAGTAGGAGAGACCATCGAAATAATTTTCAAAATTTAAGCTCTTTTCATTTTGATTTTACGACGTCAAAAGTGCCGATGTCACTTTTCCTAGTTCCAGATCGGTTCAATCAGTTCTGAATCGATCAAAACTGCTTCATGCAAAAAAAAATCACACGAGAAAATCCATTTCTTCAGCCAGAACCAACCGAATCAAACATATTTTCTGATAAAGTATTATTTCATTATCCAAAAATAGTTCATGCAAGAGAATGCCAGCAAATTTTAAAAAGAGAAAAACGTAAATGATTTTGAAAATTTTTTTAGGAAAAATCCGGAACTAGGATTAGGAAAACGACTGTAGCAATGACTGTGTGTGCAGGTGTGCACGCAATAACCGTGTCCGGAAACTGGACACGAGGGTTCGGTCCACAATCCTGGTTAGAGACCGAGTGAACAAAAAGACGTCCCGTTTCAAATTTTCTTCAGTTTGTAAACCCATCAAAAACCCACAAAATTTATTATTATTTATTCTTAATCTCTACTCACCTTGAATTTATTTACAATTTTCAATAAGAAATTTTCCCAGCGACAGTCTTCCGGTAACAAACGTAAACATAGCAACTGTTTGTTTGTTGGCAGGTAAACGCAGCGCACTTAACTCGAGTAATTTTAGACTGGTATTCTGTCCTTTTTCTGTGTAGCTCCTAAAACAGTGAATCCGTGTCTGTAGTTTCTCCCGCTAAAACCGTTGTGATCCTAACTTTTTCTCCCGCCCAGACAGTGCCACCCATAACGAAACACCGTGGTGGGGAAAGCGTCATGCTTCTCCCGTATTATATATTTGTTAGTCCAACCATAGAGCTAAATACTTTTTAATTTTGAAACTCAGAAATTAAAAACAAAATATCTTTTTGTTGGTCATATATAAAGCTGTTTAATTATTAGGCCCCCCCAAAAAATAAGTCGGTCTCTGGTCAGCGCGCGCGTTGATTTTAATCGTGCGCGTTGATCTTTTTTTTTCCCCAAATGTTCCGCGGTAGCTCCAACAGCGCCCTCTATTTCCGCACCTCCTCATTTTTTTTTACCAAAGAGCATCAAGGAATGGGAAATTGCACCAAGGCAAATGATCGAAAGCACCAAGGCAAATTATGGAGGACACCAATGTACATGAGGACACCAAAAAAACAAAATAGTACCCACCTTGTCTGTACAATCCAAGCTTAGCTTGAAGAAAGAAAAAAAAAAAAAAAAAAAAAAAAAGAAGCTGCGTGGCCGCGTCAATTCCGGAACTTTGGTCTGACCAGAGACCGAATATTTTTTTTTTTTGGCCTTACGTGTATTTACTCTGTCCACAGTTTGTCAGATTGGCACTTTACTTCACCCATCCAGAGAGAAAAGTCTCCCTGTTCCCAACATATGTCACTTACAAGGCCAAAATTCTTGCCAATCTGAGTACTCAGAAGACTGGGCATTTCGATCAAGCTATGAGATTTCATCTCTATAAAAGATGTGTAATAAAATAACAGCTAATTGGAAAAACCATTAACGATGAAACCTACCAGGGTCGATTTTAGGACAAGAAGAGTGAGACATACATCAAATCTTTTTTGTCAACTTGATCCAAATATGAACAATAACTTTATTGAGGCACTTTAATTGAGGTACAAATATCAGTAAGTCAAGTCAGTATTGTAGTTGAGGTCCTTTAAAATCATACAAGAACTTTTCTTTTTGCAACCCCAAATTACTCCATCAGTTCTCAATTTCCCTACCCTAAAATTAAGATGCATAAATAATAATAACATAAGCCCACACTATTAATGCCTGAACTAATAATGCTAGCTTTTTTAGATGAGAAATGCTTTTTCGTTTGCTTCATGTGTATCATATTAATGCTATAGAGGAAGAATTTATACAAACTGTTTTTTTGTTTTTTTGTTTTTTAGAGTAAATCGGTCACACTTGTTGTATTTACATTAGATGGCATATGTACCCTGTCTATTTAACAAATACACACGTTTACAAATTAATTCAAACAAAATATACACTAAATGTACAAACAATACTATGGATGAATAAATTTTACGTCAAATTTAGGCAATAACGTACAAAAAAGTTATCAAAAATTTTAACAACTTCTTTTTTTTTCAAATGGAATTACAGATTTTTGTGCCTAAATATATTGGACGGAATAAACTGAAATGATGATTTCAAAACATTACAAAATAAATATCATTCTGTACATCAACAATACATAATGCAGGTCAAAGTATAATATTCACAAAATGCCATTTTCAATAAGCAAACCTCCCGTAAAAAATGCGTACTTGGAAATATAATAAAAATGTGTACTTGAAAGTTTAAAGTACAAGAGGTAAAATGCAACGGAATGTTTCTTATGGTATTTAAAATGGGGTCATATTCAAATGAAGGGGAAATGTGGTTGTGCAATGTGCACAGTGCCAAAATAACTTCGTGAAACCCCCCCCCCCCCCAACAAAAAAAAGCAAAAATAAAATGTTTAGGCAAAAAATTGATAGTCTGTTCATGATTTGCAGTTTTCCCCCGAAGTTTCTTTCTGGATCCATGGTGAACCCTCATCCTCCAGATCCACTCCCAACCAGATAAATTTATTAGCTGAAAGGGAACGCAATAGGACAGAACCTTAGCCAAGATTTTTTAGGGGGCAACCTTCTTAAGGCTGGAACATGCAGTCAAGGGCGTCAATTGCTTCTCAAAAGTAGAGGGACATACCTTGATCAGAACTAATGCGAGCGCGAAGCCTTAACGGCGTGGGGTTCGGCGTGGGGTGTGGCGTTCGGTGCGATCTGAGGCAATTTCTGACTACTTGAACCAATTTGTTTGAGCGAAAGATCATCATTTAAACATCGTTTTCAAATTTGGAGTCACTGAATCAGCTATTCTGAGCTATTATAGAATATAAAATCAAATATTGGCTACAAGTTTAATTTGGGGACGAAAAAAGTGTGTGGGGGGGGGGGGTTAACAGATATGATATTTCCCCCTCCCCGATTGACGCCAATGCAGAGTGACTTTGGAGAGGAGTATGTGTTAATTGCCTACGTAGGCAGTGGGCGGGGCCTGGTAGATTGGTCTATTTTGGTGGCGGAAGCATGCTCCCCAAGTCAACTCCCCAACTAGCTGCACCATGGAGAGGTAAAATACAAAACAAGCCAATAAATAAAGCTAAACATTGAATCTCCTATCGACAACCCTTTTACGTTGGATTGAACATCACAGCATATTATTATAATTCCATCAATAAAATATAAAGCAACTGAATCAAAATGAGCAAAGAATTATGCCAAATCGGTCTGCATCACCATCCTCCGATTGGTGACGTCTCGCTGGCAGGGCGTGCTCCAAAACTGCTCCCTGTTGGGGTAGTAGAACTCCGTCCGCAGCGGCTTGGCTTTGACGCTCGGTGACGGCTGTCGGAAGCACTCGTTGCCCGGACGCAGCTTCTGGGTGGAGCTAGCTGAGGCTTCTGCGGCGGTGTCCACAGCTGCCACGGTGCGGAACAGGTGACTGTTCTTATCCTCCTTGGTGAGGGGTTGGATGAAGCGTTTGTGGAGTGCTCCCCGATCTTTGTGGTATAACCTAGAATAATGACAAAAGAAGATGTTTGATGGAAATCTTTTTCTTTAATCAATTCATTAACGTAACTTATGCATTTGTTGTAACAGCCAGTGGAGTGCAGAATGCATATCGTCATGTCAACACAACAAGGTCATATCTCCTAAAATGGGCCATGAGTGAAACGCGACTTTCAGAAGGTCAAAAGGTCGTATCTCACTTAAAATAACCTGGATGTACACACAAAGTCACTGGGCGTCGAGATACAACCTTGTTGCACGGAGCGTATTGGCGCAAGATACTTTTGTTGCAGAATGGAGTTATGATCTTGTTGCACTGACGCGACGATGTATCAAACATTCCAACTTTTTACCATATTTGACCAAACCAAACATGGATGTGCTCATTGCTTTTCTGTGCTGGAAATGAAGTTATTAAAGGAATTTGACATTTTTTAAGGAATTTGCCGTTTCAAACCTGTAGTCCATTTTACCTGAACAGCCAAATACAATGGACTGTTGTAAAAGAATAAAGAGAAGAAAGGAGATTTTATAAACAAGGAGCTACAGTCCACACTCACAGTTGAAAAAAAACAGAGGCTCGTTATGAATACTTACTTGAAGTCATATTTCTTCAGTTCAGAAAATTTGGCATGCTCCATGTCGCGTATGGGAATCCTGTTTCCCTCCATCTGCCAACCCTTTTCGTCCTGTGGCCCCGGCATGAACCCACAATGCCTTTCTACTTCCTGCGGTTCAACTGCCGGCACAACGGGGATGCCAGCCTCCCTAGCCGCTGTGTCTACGCTGGGGTCATTCACGACGGCCAGCGCGGGAATCTCACTGATCCCCGCCTGTCGGAGCGCCAGTTTCTTAGGTGGGTCCTTCAGGAGACCCTTGAGCCTTGCCACCTGGTTGCTGGCCCTGGGTCCACGGTAGTACAGCTCCGTGTCCGTCGCGCAACGGTGAAACCTCATGGCCGTGTCCTCCACGACGATCTTGGAGCGCCAGTCGTCTAGTTCCCCGTCCTGCGCTGCCCGCCTCTCACCGTTGAGAGTATCACCGGCAAGGTGGATAGTGATTGGGGGAACAGGCTGGAAGGTTTTTGGAGGACGCTTCCAAACATCCATGTCTTTGTTGCGATCGGACCATTTGTACCCTTCCCTCTCCTCAAGGGTTGGCTTCAGGACATTTGCATGAAGGGTATTCTCCCTCCAAGGCTAATTGGAAAAAATATTAAAAATCTCTTTTAAAATTTCATTTTACATTTTCCCGTTGCGACCAGAACCCACCAAATGAGTCTTAAGGACATTCTAAGTTTTGGTACAAATAGAATGAGAATATTGTGATGTTCATTTTTCGTTTATTACTCTTTTTTGACTTCTTAATATATGATGATATTATGTCAGCAAAAATGTTGACTCTTCCTTTTGATATCCATTATACAAGGTCCATCACTCAAAAAAAGCTCTGGTTCCATGTGACCCATTTTGCTGAGTTGGGTCGCATTTTACTTCAGATTCCAACTTAAGCTTACCTTATTGAAAGAAAAAATGTGGATCCTAATTTTTAATACAGGTTTCTTTAATTGTATTACAATCTTTGTGTCAAAACCCTCCATTCAAGTGTCTCCACGTTGCACATTGCTGAGAGTTGTCAGCCATTTTAAGACCCTGGAGCCATGGGATAAAAAAATGAAAGTTTACAGCTACAAACATAGTAATACCTGTGTGAGTTCATCTCTCCTCGCCACGTCAGGCTGTCGGGAATGTGTGTTATCGTCTAGGGCTGTCTCCATCCCAGGATAGATGAAACCGTTCTGGGTCTGCCAGGCGTCCACGGACTCCTGCTGCTCCTGTTTCCTGACGGCGTCCACGTTGACTGGCACCACCGTGGCCGAGTTATACTCCGGGCAGTATGTGAAACGACGGCCTGGCTCCTGCAGGTGCAAAGAAGATAGGGATGAAATTGGCAATTTCAGAAAAAAGGTCTGAAAAGAAGACGAGGTTTAATGCTTGGTCTGAATGTCATTCTATGCAAAAACATACATAGGTTTTAGATTAACATGTCTGAAGTACAGGAACGTAATTGTACTAATATTCTAAATTCCATGTGTGTAAAAGTAATAGTGGACAGGATTTTCTTCTACAATCCTGCAAAATCTTTGTAAACCTCCAGCTGGATTTGGAAGAATCTGAGAGGGTATGGCTTAACATCCGTTTCAGACTAGCATGGAAAGTAAGGCCAAACCAAAAAATTGCTTAAAAGCAATGTGAACGTTCTTTTTGATGTTTTGCTGTATAGGGTGAGTAAAAAAAAAAAACGAAACCCAAATGTCGGGACTATTGTTTTAGTGAAGTTCTGCACGTAGCACTCTCAAAATCTAGGATATGAAAGCCCAATTCATAAGCTTTGTTTTAGTACAAGAATCATTCAAATCACTCATGTACTTTCCAAGTTACAGAATTTTAAACACAACCACCATTTTAAGGTTCTGTCCACGGATCACAAAAAAAGGTGTGCATTCTTTCAGCAAAACCAAAACAATTCACACACATCTCTATGTGATTTCTTTTGTTTTGCTGAAAGAACACTGAACAATTTTGTGATCTGTGGACAGAACCTTAAAACGGTGGTTGTGTTTAAAATTCCGTAACTTGAAAAGTACATAAGTGATTTGAATGATTCTTGTACTAAAAGAAAGCTTATGAATTGGGCTTTCATACCCTAGATTTTGAAAGTGCTACATGCAGAACTTTAATAAAACAATAGTCCAGACATTTGGGTTCCTTTTTTTTTTTACTCACCCTGTATATTTAATCCCAACAGAGAAACAGAATTTTCTGTTCATACAGCCAGTGAACCTTTGGTCTCCCGCACAGTTTTGCTGGAAGCGAATTACACTTTCAACGTTGGATAATTTTATCACTTGTTGAGCAATTACTTTGTTCTAAGGTCACTTGGGTCATAAAACCAGCATTTTTCAAAGTCACACGATCATTATTTTCACAGGGTGCAGGATGTATTTTGCGTAGAGGAAAAATGTTAGGACTCTGACATCTGAGATTTTCAGAGGAGAGGGAAAAGCTTTGTGAGCGTCAATGATATCGGAGAATCGGTTTTGCAAATTGCCAGGAAGGATTGCCTGTCTGGAACATAAACCTCTTTTGTCACTATTTGGTTTAACTCTAAAAGGGCCGGGTTATTTTGACCATCTCTCAGCCGGGGGAGGGGGGGGATTCTGCCCCCCCCCCAAGATCTCGGCCATCGAGTGACGCAAAATTTTGAAACTCGGTACATGCATAGAGCAACTCTTCATGAACACACCCAAGAAATTTCATGACTATTGGTCCAAAGGTTTTGGAATTACGGCTAATTAATTATATATATACGAATGGTAATTCTGCTCTGTGTACGTGACGTATATGGGAAAATTCAGTTTTCACAGCGCGTAGCGTGGAATTTTTTTTAATGTTTTTGGTATCAAAAGATGCGCAAGGCTTGAGGCTAAATAGTCATAACAGCTCGGGTCACGGAAAAACAAATTGCAAGGCTATCGCAGAAAAAGTTGCCTCACGAAAGCAACTCTTAACCCTAAAAGGGCCGCTTTCGTGAGCCAAAGCACTCATAGTCTGACCTTTGCTAGTTCCCGGCGTAGTAGTTCTTTAGCCTGTTCGGTGGAGTTGAGCGTCTGCGTGCTGTAATTATGAGCCACGCCGTTGACTGGCTCAGCTCGGATTGTTGCTGGCTTGACTTTCTTGCTCTTGTTTCTGTTGCTGACTTCATGGACCGCATCCTTTCAAATAGATTGCAAAAAGATAGAAAGATATTCAATTGCTTTGCAAGAATGTCTTGACTACAAAGCACCATGTGAAGCCCTTTTGCTGAGGATTATTAACCCTAACCGCCCTGAATCCTTCAAAATCCTCTTTGCCAAAGTGGAGGAATTTGGAGGATTGAGGTTACATGGCAAAAGTGCATTACTGAATTAGTAGGATGCACTTTGTCAAGGTCTTGGGCCGGACCTTGTGTTGTTTTTACTGTTTGTTGCACTTCCATTGGACATTCAGTTGACACGTTATGACTGTTTAAAGTTTGTATTTATCAAAATGTCAAAAAAAGGTAAGGCAACGCCGAGAACCAAGCCTTTAAAGTTTTGAGTTTTGTAGTCGTGAAAGTTAAAGATGCCATCATTTTTTCTTAAAAACACTTGTATTCCACAATTTTTATACTATTTCTTTAAAACATGTGTAGTAGACATGTCAAAGATAACAAAATCAATAAATCTGAAACTGAAAAAAAATCACCCCCATTCATTTTTTTTTTGCATTTTCCTCCACTACGGCCTGAGCCCAGTTCTGTCTCATTTTCCCAGAACACCTCACAATACACTTTAGATATTTCACCTTTTTTTAATACTTGAGATTTGAAGGTTTGCATGGTGAAAAGATACTAACACAAGATAAGTTTGCGGTAGCACCATGTGAATAAATCTCTTTTGTGAGTATGTGTGGTTCTTAAAAGAACCGGAGGGACTCAACATATCAAACAGTATGCTCTGCCCGTCGTCAGGAGAATGAGGGATTCCAATGATGATGTTTTAATACTTACAATGTTGTTCTTGATATGGTCACTCTGCTCAGCGTACAGCCTTCTCTCCTCCAGTAAGTCCAGGTACCTGTCATTGTACAGGTCCAGGGGGGTCCACTCCCTGTGCTTGTGCTGGGCAGGGGCCGTCTGGGCTCTCCATATGTCCACATTCCCGTTCTGATCTAGGGGTGGCTCCCCTCGAGATTCAGACAATTCTGCGACAGAGAACAGTTGCGAAGTTTGTCTTTATCATAGATAAAATGTTTTGTTTGTTGAAAATGCTCTGTTGAAAAATTTACAGTGATGGACTTTCCCCGACTGATGGATTATAAAAACACAATTCTGTTTTTGAATAAAGCAAACCACTTAACTACCGTAATTTTCGGAATATAAGCCGCGGCTTATACGTTGAATTTGCCCATGAAAATGTTTACTGCGGCTTATACACAGGGCGGCTTATACGCCGAGCCTTGAAGAATAAAAATAAGATTCACATGTGTATTTAATGTACTGGTACAAGAAGAGATGTGTTGCTGAAATGAATTATAAATTAAGAAAGTCATTCACAAACCGAAACCACGTCTCACGTAAAGGTACCGAGCGGTAAAAAGTACGGTGATGAAAGCTGTCTTCGACACTTGCGACCAGCCGTACGTGATACTTGTACAGTGCAGTGTGCAGCAGCGATATGCAGCATGCTTTCCCCCGGCGGACCACACTATTCGTGGTAATAAAGGGGTGTTCTTTCTTGGGAACAATAATTACCAATATTTCCGCTGTTTAAAAAAAAAGAAAAAAGACGACTAAAATGTTTATGGCGTTCGAAACATTTTTTTTTATTACATAATCAGTTGTTTAACGTCACAATATATTTTGTTTTCTTGAAATGTATTTAAGAAACGATGTAAAACTCAAAAGAGGGACTAAATCACCCCTTACAAAATTAATGGAATCGTCTATTAAAATGTCCGCTTCGTTTTGACTATTTTTGACGAAAGTTACGATCGAAACTTGAATTTTTATCGCAACTACTCGTTAGTAATTCGCAATAATTTGATAAGTTTTGAGGTAAAAACGGACCTGTTTATTCTGTGGACAAAACAAATCATCATCTGTTGCCACAAAGCAAGATTTGTAGCGCTCCAGTCAGACAACACTCGGTGGGTTTCATACTCGCTCACGTGCTGTGGGAAAATGTTGTCATTCACCGGCGTGCATGGCGCAGGCTGCCGGGCTATGACGGGGCAGCCGGCAGCAGTTCCCGGTGTTTATTTCTCATCAATTCCCATATTTGTTTGTAAAAGTATCGATTGTAAATGATTTGATATAACTTTTGTGGCCCTTTTAAAAGCTTCTGTAGTGTAAATGGAACTGGTTCAGAGCATTTTGACTAGAATTTGGAGGCCTTACAAAATTGAAACCGCAGCGGTCGGTGCGGCTTATACGCCGGTGCGGCTTATATGCCGACTAATCAAATCTTAATTTGCAGATTTTTGCGTGCTGCGGCTTATACGCCGCGCGGCTTATATTCCGAAAATTACGGTACACCTTGCACTCCATGGGCTCTGTGCGCAAACAAGAGAGAGCGCTTTTTACCACTTCCGAGAGCTTAGTGCGCAGGACACACCACCTGCGCATACTAGTTCCCGCCCGTAAAATGCGCAGTATGTACAACTTATTATATTTTCAATGTGCACAAATTTTAGCGTCTTTGTGTGAACAGCTGGCGTTGTCGGAACTGTGTTTGAATGTCTCTCCCTGAGGTCTCCCCCAACTCTTCCTTCTCACAGTTGAGGGGTACGTGTGCAAGGAGTCTATCTGGCCTTGAACAAATATTGTTTTTATTTTGTGTTTAATAAAGGGAATATACATCATTGGCTTTTGCTGTAATTTTCAGAAATGAACTATTTGAGGGGTTAGTATAATAGATCAAATATTGTTACACTGACATGTTTAAAGTTTTGTGCTCGAAAATGCTGGAAAAACCAAGATAAACAAAAATGTTCAAGTAGTCTGGTTCCCTGACTCCACTAAACATAAAATGGATCAATTTATAGATGCCGGAAAATTGTAAGGTAAAAGGGAACCAGTCTAGCTGGCCTGCACCCGTTCATGAACATGTAACCAATAGCAAACAAAATTTGGACTAAAAAAAAATTGGTAAATTTGGAGCAGTAGTTGAAAAATAGTTAGGTTTTTCCAACGGTGGTCGGCTGACCATCGTTGGAAATTTTTACAAAAATACCACTTTTCTTGAAAATGACTCTACACCAGGTACCATTAAGAAAGGAACCATTAAGGAGGCACGTTAATATCGTAATTTCTTCGCACAATGGGAGACATCGGTCATTAGGCATGTTAGGGAGACATTTTCATGTCTCCCTAATGTCACAGCCCCCAAGTTAGCTTGTAACGGTCCAACTTTTGGTGTGATGTCGCATTTGGTGAAAGCATAGTGCTTAGAAAAATCACTATTCAGTTTAAACATGCGGGGGTTTTTTTGGAATGAGTCAATAAAATTTACCTTCGAAATCAGCGGCAGTCAGCGGCACCCCAAACTCCTTGCTGAGCGAGACGATCATGTCTGCTGAAGGGAAGAGATCGTTACGAGTGGCGTTTCTCAAGATGTCCTGACTGACCAGCTACAAATGAGAGAAAAATGAGAAATACAGTAGTAAATGTCATGGTTAAAGGGAAAATACAACATTTGCAAACATCAAAAAATAAAACTACCAAATCATTTTGAAATACCTTGCTGGACTGTTGGTGAATGACAGTGTAAAGCATCCTGTAAAATCATGGCACCTGGTATACTGTCATTTCAAGAAAAGTGGTATTTTTGTATCAATTTCCAACGCTGATCGGCCGACCAGCGTTGGAAAAAACTGTCTTTTTTTCAAATACTGGCCCCAATTGACCATCGCACTTGTTTGCAATCGATTACACACCTATGAACGGGTACAAGCCAGCTAGACTGGGTCCCTGACCTTACAATTCCCCAATGTATGTAAACTGCTCTGTTTCTTCTTATATGGAGTCAGGGAACCAGACTACAGGAAAAAGATTGTTTTTCTTGGTTTTTATAGCATTTTCGAACCCAAAACCTCAAAAAAAGCAGTGTAACTATATTTGCTTTATATTTCCAACCCCTCCATCCATTTCTGAAAATTACAGCAAAAGCAAATGATGTATATTCCCTTTAAGAATTTAATGTGAGATACTGATATGCAAGCAAAATGATTAAAACCTAGTATATTGCCTCAACTGGGAGAGTGTGGCCTGGTGGTTAGGGTTCGTGGCTCATGATCAGAGGGTCAGGGGTTCGATCTCTGTGTGACACAGTTACTTTAATACTTTGTATCCCTTCACCTGAAACTGACCTGCAGGTTTTAAAATGGTAATATACATTTTCAAATTAGGTTTTTTCCCTTCACCGACGTATAAACACTGTATACTCAGTGTGTTACCTCCCAAGTGAAAGTTGGCAAAAATCACTCGGGTGGGGCTCGAACCCACAACCTCCTGCTTTCTAGTGCAGATGTCTTACCACTCGACCACCGAGCTGACGGGATCGGTTGGCCGGTTCGAATCTGATGTACATAGCAGCGGGTACCGGATTAACTATTCATAAGATGGAATTTTTTGCGTCGGGGTGATGTAAATCAAATTAGGTTTTTGCCCTTCACCGACGTATTAACACTGTATACTCAGTGTGTTACCTCCTGAGTGAAAGTTGGAAAAAATCACTCGGGTGGGACTCGAACCCACGACCCCCTGAGACAACCGGCCAACCAATCCCGTTATTAGCTCGGTGGTCGAGTGGTAAGACATCTGCACTAGAACATGTAGAAAGCAGGAGGTCGTGGGTTCGAGTCCCACCCGAATGATTTTTTCCAACTTTCACTCGGGAGGTAACACACTGAGTACACAGTGTTTATACGTCGGTGTAGGGCAAAACCTAATTTACATCAACCCGACGCAAAAATTCCATCTTATGAATAACACACATTTTGCTCTGAATATTGCATCTCCACTATTAAATCCTATGTGCTTTACCATGTCTAGCTTGGTGATAGCATCAAGGCACAGCTTGGGCACCATGTCCCTGACATACAGCAGCGGTTGCTGGACTATGGAGGAGAGGGGCTCGTGCAGGCGAATGCGGCACAGATCCACGTCCAGGCTGCCGTAGCGACGCTCGCTGAACATCATGTTGGAATTGTACAGCACCCGGAAGGTCACGTTCTCTGCAAGTAGAAACCAGATTTGGTAGGTTTCCTAGCTGAACAAAATTTCACTTTTTTTATTAAAGGTATAGTCCATCATTTGTAATTTGTGCATTTTGTTCGTTTAAAGCAACAAAAGTGCTCAAAATCTAAAGAAGGGTGCTGAACAACCAACCTGATGAAGTTTCAGCTCAGCTTTAGCTGTATATTTCAAGGGAAAAAACATTCTAGCATCTCGATTTCAAATCAAAAGTTGCTGAATCATGTTTTGAATTGGGCCTGAATTCAGCGTCCGAGACACATTCTCACTGAGCCGATTGCGGCTACGAGATGTCACGCACCGATCTGACGAATTATAGCAACCGGTGCATGTGTTCGTCGTGTCAACGCTTGTGCGCGTTTTGCCGAATAAAAAAACGAACTACTAACGGAAATTTCAAACGGTGCTTCTTAATACGCACTGGTGGAAAGGCCTTCTTTCGCTGATTTCTTCAAAATGGCAGCTTGCCAGAAGGAATAATTTCACAGGGAGTTTATAGTCCCCTTACTATCTTTCAACCAAGTATGTTTTGCATTAATAATTGCGCCAGTTACTTTTTGATAGCTGCAAATGATGGACTCTTGCTTTAAGATTTTATTTCTGAAACATGATAAACCGTTTTGTTAACTTTTAGAATCCCACGTTCCCTGGCTGCCCAAAGTCAGTTTCGACAGCTGTTTTGTAGTTAAATACAATTTGAGAATACAATTAAGTGAAACATGAAGTTTAGCAACAGCTTTTATATCGTTTTCATTCTTCAAAGTTTCATAACTGTGCAAATTTCCCCCTTTTTTCAAATGGATCTATTGGTTTTTGGAAATAAACACTTCAAATGCAAATGAATGCTGTGATTTAATTTATGACATGATTCAAGAATATCAGACTGATGTTGGGGGAAATAAACATGCAGACATTTACACAACAATCTTATACATGGATGCAGATACGTTGACACTGATGGAGCGACAATTCCGCACCAAATCAATAAACCACAGACATTCTTGAAACCGTGAAACTTCACTGAATGGGATGCTTTCCATATGGTCCAATGTGTCAACAAATGTGATGCGATCAAGCTAAATGAGTTGTTTGTCGGGAATTTTTATGTGGAGTTACAGGCCAAAATAGGGCCACTTCATCACATCACTTCGTCACATCTCTTGGTGTTCCGACTTCCATTATATTTGAACTAAATATGGTATCAGCATGCGGTTTTCACAGCAGTAATGCTGAGATTGTGCTCTTTTGAAATCTGTAATAAAATTTGTTTTGACCAGGGTCGACTAACGACTCACGTAGCTTGATTGCATCACAAATACTGCTCAAGTACCTTTGGCCTTTGGTCTTGGCAGGGTCTCCCAAATGAGTTGAACGGCCTTCTCTCTCAGACCTTCTAGGACAAAGATATGCTTCTCTCCATCCATGACCTGAAAGCCGGTCACGATGTCCAACACTCGACTCTCCTGCTGCGCTCTGGAAAATGAAGAAGAAACAATACGTGGCATGTGAGAACAAGGACATATTTCAAATTAGATTTTGCCCTTCACCGACGTTTAAACACTGTATACTCAGTGTGTTACCAGTGTGAAAGTTGGAAAAATTCACTCGTGTGGGACTCGAACCCACGACCTCCTGCTGGCTCTGCTTAAACCCCCCCCCCCCCTACCTACAGCAGAGAAGACAGCACTAACGGTAAGCATAATTTTTATGGGTTACAAACTTTTATTTTGTATAAATACACGCAACCTGTAACTAAGGACTCTTTGATTATGGGGTTACCTCAGAATTTCTGTACTAAAAGTGTCATATTAAAAGTGCAAAATGGTGATCTTAAGCACAGTAATTCATCGCAAACAGAGCCATGAAATTGGGCACAGAGTGATTGAACAGATCATATTTAGATCTTTAAAAAGATTTTCTCATTTGTAGACAAATTGATTGACTACAAATAGAAGAAATTACAGAAATAGTGTCCATCAGATGCCAATGTCACACAATTTGTTAAGTTTGCGGCAAGCACACACTGAGGCAACTCAACTGGGACCAATTCAATAGAGCTACTAGGTTCAGAATTTTGTTAAGCCCAAATCATATTTACTCAGCCAATATGGGTTAGGGGAGAATGCACGATTCAACTAGCGGTAAATCGAGGTTTACCTTAAGGTTTTATGAGGTTTTATGGGGTTAATGAGGTTTTGTGAGGTTTAAGGGATTTTATGAGGTTTTATGGGGTTTTGTGGGGATTTATGGGATTTTATGAGGTTTTATGAGGTTTTATGGGGTTAATGAGGTTTTACGAGGTTTAAGGGATTTTATGAGGTTTTATGGGGTTTTATGGGGATTTATGGGATTTTATGGGGTTTTATGAGGTTCTATGGGGTTTTATGAGGTTTTATGGGATTTTACGGGTTACCTCAAGGTTCAACCTTGAGTTACCGCTGGTTTAATTTTGCATTCTTCCCTTACCAACCAAATGTAATATGATGTCAATTGCTCGTGACTCACTGAGCAGTGAGCAATCTATTTTCAGCCAAGACAAAACTCTACTTTTGAAAACAAAAAACAAAAACATGGTAAATATAGAGTTGGTGATGGATGCCAACGATGCATACTCTGAGAGTTTGTAGGTTGATAATGCTGCTTCAATGATATGCTGTGGCATCTTGTCCAGGTTTAGGGCCGTGGCGTTGATCTCCGTAACCAGTCTCAACAGCCTGTGCAGAAACTCGGTATTCTTGTACTCAAAGATGTACACGATCCTTGCAAATGGACACTGTTTAAACAACAACAACAACAACAACATCAACAAAATCTAAAATTTAACAGAAAGTTCCAGAATGTCACAAAATGCATTCAACATGACACACTTATCAATCAAAAAGGCAAGCTTACAATTCACGAAACATGTAACAAAAGAGATGTGAGATGTTCACCTCAGAAGGCGTTTCAACTTCTGCCTTGAGTTTGACCTCCTGTGAGGTCGTCAGTGGGTATGCCACCTCCACACGGATCTTAAGCTGGCTATGACTCTCCAAGTAATGGCCCATTGCTAAAGGCTCATCCTCTGAGGAAAAAAAATATCAATCAATCAATCAAAGAAATGTAAGCTGAGAGAATACAAAGAGACTAATTAAAGAGTTAAGAGAATAAAAAGCGATACTGTTGTGCATGTGAATATTTTTTAGATATTGTTGAAAATAAATTTCATGGTCACATAACCCTGACATCCGCTTGGCGAAAGTTTCAGGGTACAAAACTATGGGCGTCAGAGAATAAAAGATTAAATTCCATAACTTGAAAAGTACAAAGGTGTTTTGAATGATTCTTGTACTAAAAGAAAGCTTATGAATTGGGCTTTTATATCCTAGATTTCGAAAGTGCTACATGCAGAACTTCACTAAAAAAAATGGTCCCAACATTTGGGTTTTTTTTTTTTTTACTCACCCTGTATTGAACCTGTATATATTTTTTAAAACAAATTCCCTAACTTACTTGGTCCGTCAGCCGAGTTTGAATACCCAATCAGTCTGGTGTCCGTCCTGTTACGACCAATCACGTCGGGTATCGGACAGCTGTGTATGGGGGAGGTCAGGTTCAATACTCGCTCACCAAGCAGGAGGTCGGACAGGTCAAACTTGGCCATGCCGTAGGGGTCCCACGGCTTGATGTGAGTCACAAACGGGTTGTGCAGGGTGCGCTTGGCTAGAGAGAAACAAAATCTCGGCAAAATTTACTTGTAGTTTCTGACACAGTGGAAGAAAAGTCGATTATATTGGATGGTTACAGGATGTTTGTTTTGATCACAGAAACAATTTGTGTTGGTATTCCTGTTGCCAAGAGCGACATTTGGACTTCATGCATAATTCTGCTTGAAGTGGTTAAAAAAGAAATGCGAAACTTAATGGCTTCTGAGAAACATTTGCGCACCATTAACCACGCTCAAACGCATTAAAATTTTCCCATTGACACCTTAAAACCCCCCCCCCCCCCCAAGATCTCGGCCACTGAGTGACGAACATTTGTTAAACTCGGTACATGCATAGAGCAACTCTTAATGAACATACCCAAGAAATTTTATGACTATATGTCAAAGGGTTTTGGAATTATGGCTAATTAATTATGCATAGGTACGAATGGTAATTCTGCTCTGTGTACACGACGTATATGCGAAAATTCAGTTTTCACGGCGCCGGAAAATTTTTCGCTGCGAGGCAACCCATGGTCTGATTTTTATGTTTTTGGTATCAAAAGATGCGCAAGGCTCGAGGCTAAAAAGTCATAACAGCTCAAATTTCAAGGCTATCGCGGAAAAAGTTGAGGGGGGCGGTTCACAAGTATTAAATGCATTCCGGGAATCAGACCAAAATGGCTTTCTTGTGAATAAGGTCCATAAATAGAGGCGCCATGAAATTGGGCTCTGGTTTAAAGTAATGCCAAAGAAAAAAGAAAAAAAAGAAAAGACAGTGACTCTTTACCTGTCACCATGCCCACATTGCTGATCTTGTCATCTTCAATATCCTCTCCGAACAGCGTGGGTTTCTGCTTGATCTCCTCTGGGCGTCGATCTCGGTCATGCACCTCAATCTCCAAGTGGGGGCCCTGCAAGTACTCCACCAGCTCTCCCTTTGGTATCGTGCCTATAAAAAAAACAAGAAAAACAAAGGTAGTGGATATTTAGCCGGAGACAGCAAACCTTTAGTAAAGGTTAGCTTGCCGGATATGCACTGAACATGCGCAGTTACTGTTTTTTTGTACTTGGACATTTTCTGGTGACAAATTTTAGTCTGGCTCCATGCCAACATTATCGTTGTAACTTCGTATTCACAAGATGGGAATTAGACCATATTACAATTTCGGACTTTATTTCCCTTTAAAAAAAGATCCTCCAGAGCCACCAATCTGAAAAAAAAATATGTAATACTCTGCAATAAAATGTTTGAGATATGTCAAAATAATAAAAGAAGAATATTCTTATTTTTGGGGGATGGGGAAAAAAAACCTCAAAAATTTCGCCAGCGGGGATCGAGCCCGGATCTTCCCGCTCATGAGATCTGTTGCTTATCCACTAGGCCACAGGTGCTACACAACCGTTGGTGGTAATTTAAGATATCTTATAATTCAGCCCTATCTTAGAGAGTACAGCACCCTCTGTTGATAGGGATTGCCGCCGGCAATATATCCACTATCAAAAACAAACAGGAACATTAATGAAGAACTTACATTTTCAGCAGTAATGGAAAGCGAACAAAACGGAAGTTAGCACAAGTGATACCTTCCTTTCCTTCCATCTTTGGGTTTTCATTTTTTTTCTCTGGAGATACTGTAGCACTTTTACTTCTGTACATCAAGATAATTTAGTTTTGATCTGGTGTCCTTTCTTTGTGAGGTTTTCACAGAAAAATGAGAGCAAAAAAAGCTAGACCACTCTGTCAATGTCAGCTGAATTCTTATTTATCAATCCTGCGTGGTTCACACAGCTCAAGCTCAAGCAATCAGAAGTTCACATGATTTGGTAACAACCTGATTTTTTTTTTTAATCAGTCAGTCACAACTTGATCACAATTCAACAGTAGGCCACTAACCCCTGGCCGTGATGTACACATAAATGATGCTGACTGCGCGCGCATTTCGAAGATTGCGCTCGCGTGCTTTGCACCAGGGGTGTGAGTAACCACTGATAAAAGTAGCTGAAAACAGCTGAAAAAGGTGTAAAAACGCTGAAATTTGGAAATCTCCAAAGTTTTGTATACAGCAAGTGAGGAAAAAAAAGCTGAAATCCAAAACAAAAAAAGCTGAAATTAGCTTTAAAGCTGAGATTTCACACCCCTGTTGCACGTCACGTCACGTACAAATTTTTTTTGTTATTCAAAACTTGCCATGCCTGTACGATGTGGATTATGGCAGCCTCGTTTTTCGCTAAAAAAACTTGTATCTCCGGTTGTTAAGGGACGAAAGGGGTACGTACATTTAATATGAATTTTTGCTAAATAACACAACATCCAAACCTTATGTTTGAAAGAATTGATTCTTGGAAATCACAACTTTCAACATTTAAAAGATGGCGTCGGCACGTAAAACGGATAAACTGTAGCCCAATTATCATGTGCCATATTTTGCCACATTTAAATGAGACAAATCCAGGGGTTGAGATCATGCAAGGCATGATGGGAAACAACATGGCGCAGCAAGATCTCGTACCCATGGGAACGAAGTTGGTATACAACTCTGACTTGAACTAACCTAGTAATTCCACGTTGATGTCCTCCCAGTATATGTTCTTGCCGTGGGGCTTTCGGCAGCTCTCGTAGGTGGGCTCTCGGAAGAACCTGTAGGCCGTGTAGACGGGCTGGCACCTCCTGGCCAGCTCCCTGTACGTCAGCGGGCTGGAGGGCATGGAGGTGCCTGAACTGACCTTGATGATGAGAGGGTTCAGCTCCCTGCGTAGACTCTCTGACATGAGGGGCCCATCCAGGGAGAGGGTCAGGAAGACGTCTTCAAGACCGCGCACCGGCGTGGTCAAGCGATTCGTGACGGACCTCAATCCTGTGTTGGGAAATGGTGACAATTATGCATCAGTGTACATGTTGTGGATTCCGTTTCCGGATATGACAACTTTACTCAATCACAGCTGAGCCTGAGAACTAAACGGTATGGTTTTAGAACTTGGTTTTAAATGAGTATTGTGACATAAATGTTTGCTAGATATGTCCAAATATTTGCCAAAAAACTCAGACTCCAGTCTCAGTTAGACAAGTCAATATGAACAAGATTAAAATTGCCTTCAAAATACCGGGTAACATTACATTTACAGTATCACTTTTTCTGTGTTGAAGTCAAGACCTTTCCAAGCCCGAATGAGACCTCATTTTTCCAGATCAATTAATGAAATATTACAGACAAGAGTCCAATCATGAGGCTACATACAGGCTGAGTTAAAAAAAAAACGGAACCCAAACCTCATTCACAATGGACTGACTTGAATCTGATGTTCCATTATACAGGCATAAGCATCTGTGTGTGCGTGCTCTCAGAAAAGAATTTCCCTACCACACTGTTATGTAACATTCAGGCACCTACCTGCAAACAGAAGCTTCATGCGTATGGGGATGCAGGCGTTACCGTACTGCTTGATGTACATGGCCAAGGCCGCTGCGGCATGCTCCGCCTTGTGGGATTTCCGTCGGGCCTCCCTCTGTTGGGGCGACTCCTTGAACCCTCTGCGTCCTAAATAAAAAAAAATACAGGGAAACAAATTACATTTCACTATAAACACAAAATTCTGTCAAAAACTTTCAGTTCATGAGTTATGCAGGAGTTGATCACACACAAAACGGGTGTTTGCCTGCAAAGTGGGCGACATGCTGACAAAGCAGTCAACAGGCGACAATAACCTCTTCCCTCACGAAGCCAGCGAGGTGAAGCCAGTGGTGTATCTAGGGGTTAAACTTCTAGGGGGCACCTGGGGGTGCACCTGTCTTTCAAAGGGGGTATTGAAGGCAACTGATTTTTCCTTGTTTTAGTGCAATTCAAGATTATAAATGTGGGGGGCACGGACCTCCGCACAGCCCCCCCCCCCCCCCACACCTCTCCCCCCCCCCCCCCCCTCTCCAGTTACGCCACTGGGTGAAGCTATTAATTAACAGGTGATGAACAGTACGCCACATCTGAATCCTTCATTTGGAGCTCATTGCCTACGCTTTCTGTGATTGCAACTCCATAGTCAATTGTTGACAACAGACATAGGCACAGCTCTAGACACTCTTTTTGGACATGGCTGTAATTGTTGAAAATGACATGCACAAACAAAAAAAAGGAATTGCTATTTATCCCATTACTTGTCACTGTTACTCCCTGTACTGCAATAAACTGCCCCAGCACTTTATGGATGCATCAAGGAATAAATCCAATGTAAAACAATGTAGTTCAGGTGCTGCATAACAGGTTACACGAAGTCATCCAAACAAACCAAACTAAACCCATACCTGGTGTTGGAGCCGAGTTGGAGCCCGTCCGGCTGTCCCCACCCCTACCCTGAGAGGAGTCCCTCCCTTTGCCTGCCGGGTCGGCCTGCCTCTTGGCCCCGTCCCCTTCCTTCTGGGACAGGGCAACGATCTTCTCCTTCTTGAGCTTCTTCTTGATCTCCTTGAGTTCCTCGGGAGGAGGGAGTCCTGCCAAGTGGCCTAGATGGGCGTAGGACCTGGTCGGCAAACGAACAAGAATTTTATTACAGACCGACTAACAAATATTTGTTGGTCAAAACATGCATTTACTAGTTTGATATTCCCTAGGTGATATCACACCAGGACCAAATTCTGAGTATTTGAAAAAAAGGTATGCTCACATAGTTGAAAATGTCTTGGAAGCCTATAGAAAGATGCCAGCCCATATGAGTCAATCCATAACTTTTGGGTCCAATAGCGTGAATTTTTTTGTGTCTCTGTTAATACACTTGACCTGTGTAATTTGTCGTGCAAGTATCATTAAAATTGCCCTACACTATTTCTTATTGGATGGCATTGCCTTACATAATCACTCTTGGAGTGTCATGGCCTAGCGGTTAAGAGCACTGCACTGGACTCAAGCTCTGGTATTTAAGAGGCAGCAGAATGTGGGTTCGAGCCCGGGTCTAGACACTTGTGCCCTTAAGCAAGACACTTAACCATTATTGCTTCGCCTTCGGCAAAGCCGTAGGTCCTGTGTGTTGTGTAATGCAATGCATGTAAAAGAATCCAGTGGCAATTATTGCTAAGAGAAGGGGTTTGCCCCGGTGTTTCTGGCCTTCAGTTTAAACCCCCCTGCGGAATCCTTAGGAGAAGAACCAACCAAGTACCAAGTAAGGCATTAAAAATGTATCCTGAATTTACAAATATATCAGATGTAACGGAGACTCGACCAAAATTGGACACCAAATGGATGGCATGACCTTTATAGATATACTCAATTCCAAAAGTCAACGGCCTTGCTGCTTATGGTTGATTCCCAAAGTACTACCACTACCATTTAGTATGTGTGCAGGGACTTGGAAAAGAATTCAATTGCAAGCAAGGAAATGTAGCCAGTTTCTCAGAGTTATAAGTCAATGAATCAGATGTCATGCACAAGTCAACTTATGATTCAGTTCCAAAGTAAACTGGGGACGAACAATGGAATGCGGATGTCTTTAATTGTCATGGTTCATTTCAATAGCTTTTCCTTTTGCATGCAAGACTGAATGACTTTTGAACGACTCATGAGTGACCGGTGATGGTTTCTTTACGACTTGTGACTGCTTACGATTGACTTGAGACAGAATTGAGGCTGACAATGAGATGACTTGTGATGACATGTCGTCACCGTTTTCACGAACAGCCACATATGTCCAAAATTACCATTTTCTTTTCAATTTTAATTGTTTTCACTATTTTGCTTTAAAACATTGTACCTAACCATTTTGACATGTTTTTGTAAGCATTACAGCATTAATTTTCAAATAACATTAATGATGCAAGGAGCAGATATCTCGAAAACTGAGTTTTACGTTTTCGCGAAGAGCCACATACATTTTGGTCCCTTGAATGCTTACAAAACCTATTGAGCAAAAAGGGCCAATATGTAGGAAACTAGAATTTTCGTTTTCACGAAGAGCCACATATCTTTGTTACATTCTCAGCAGCGCGCGCGTACACACGCGCACCCCTTCCATACGGAAAAACCCATATTTTTTTAAGCATTACATCATTAATTTTCAAATAACATTAATGATGCAAGGAGCAGATATCTCGAAAACTGAGTTTTAGGTTTTCACGAAGAGCCACATACATGTTGGTCCCTTGAATGCGTACAAAACCTATTGAGCAGAAAGGGCCAATATGTAGGAAACTAGAATTTTCACTTTCACCAAGAGCCACATATCTTTACTAATTAATTTTCACTAATTGACTAATTAATACATTAGTATTAATTCTAATTACTGGATTCACGTAAAAATTCAGCTCTCGTAGAATCATGTGAAGTTTTTTTTACTGCACAAAGTTGTTGCAAAGTAGTATTTCTTGCAGTGTTCAAATATGAGAAACTTCTTTTGCGATTATCTCGAAAACACTTTTCTTCCAAAATCAACATAATATATATAGTATGTGACGATGTGTTGACCTTTTATTGCAAAGTTGATCTTATGTCTCACTCACTTCATCTCTTCCGACTGCACCTCAGCGCCAGAGGGCACAGCCGAAAATATGTCCAATTTGGACTCTTTGGATGCATCTTGTCCTTCCTCCCTTTCCTCCCCACTGTGTCTCTTCTCCACCTTGATGACTTCTGAGGGGGGGGATTGGCCGGGAGTCTTGGCGTTCTCTGGTGAAGGAGGAACTGGTCTTCCCTTCGCATCTTTGGAAAATTTGGAAAAAAAACACACTCAACAGAAGTTCCAGAAAAGGGGCCTTCCTACTACCACGACCCCTCAATGATGGAGAAATTATTCTTGGATAGGTCCATAAAGACATAAACAAAGAAGGAAAATGTAGACAGTTGTAAAATATTGCAGTAGGTCTGAGTCACGCATGAGTCTCTTGCCTTAAAATGAATATTTGTTCAACAAATGTTTAAGCTTGAAGTCTGACAACAATTTTAAGAAGACTCATATTTTGAGCATAGGTTTATGCCAGCTTTCTGTTGTTGCAAAGTTGCCAAGTAAATTTACAATTTGCTTGTTTATATTTGTTGGAACCTCTTTTTCTGATATTTAGAAGCAGCGGATATGAAATATTTTACAAGCCAACAATTTACCGAGTGAGGCGGGCGTCCAAATAACTTGACTACGGCCAGCAATAACACCCTTGCCTGTGGAGAGTGGCTTCAGCCGATCCCATAGGCGCATGTATAACTCCAAGCTTTAGCCATGTAATTTCGACGCGGCCTTACTTGTTACTTGTTTGTCAGCCATGTTTTTTTCTGTCAGGGGGAAAGTCCAAGTTCCAGTAACATCGGAACTTTGAAACCCACCTTTCCTTCCAAAATTCTTCATTCCTTTCAGCTCAGCGGGGCCATGCTGGGGCACGGGCCGGTCAATGAAGGACTTGCGCGGCTGCAGGGACATGTAACTCTCCGACTGCTTCATGACAAGGGACCGGACCCCTCCCACGTCCTCGGCCTCTTCCCCCGGCTTGGCCTGGGGGAGACGGAAGGCCTTAGGCCGGTCAAAGCGGGCCCTGGAGGACACCTTGTCCTTGGAGTCCCAGATGCGCAGCTCCAGGGTGTGATTGAAGAGCTTCAGGAGCAGGTCTTTGGTCACCTTGAGGGTGTGACTGTAAGATAACAGGAAAGAGATCAAGACAAAGTGTTGAGGTCCAGACCTTTTATAAGACCTCTCACAACTTTGTACACAGATAATATTACCTTTGAGTCAAATGTTTGAAGGGAAACTTCACAAAGCTGTGGCTTTCGATATCCAACATAATTGGTTTTTTTTTCATATTAAAGGGAATGTACATCATTGGATTTTGTTGTAAGTTTCAGAAATGAACTATTTGAGGGGTTAGTATAATAGATCAAATATTGTTACACTGACATTTTTGAAGTTTTGTGTTCGAAAAGGTTGGAAAAATCAAGAAAAACAAAAATGTTCAAGTAGTCTGGTTCCCTGACTCCACAAAAGATAAAATGGATCAATTTATAGATGATGGAAAATTGTAAGGCAAGGGAACCAGTCTAGCTGGCCTGCACCCGTTCATGAACATGTAACCAATAGCAAACAAAATTTGGACTGAAAAAAATCGTAAAGTTGGAGCAGCAGTTGAAAAATAGTTGGGTTTTTCCAACAATTGTCGGCCGACCACCGTTGGAAATGTATACAAAAATACCATTTTCTTGAAAATGACTTCACACCAGGTGCCATAATTTTACAAGATGCTTGAGACTGTCATTTACCAACATCCTAGTAAGGTATTTCGTAAAAACTTGGTAGTTTTATTTTTCGATGTTTGCAAATGTTGTATATTCCCTTTAAAGCAGGCTTTACAATAAACACTTTGGTCTTGCAAAGATATCTTGGCGAGATACTGACTCCAAAAATACCAATATTTTACGGGTTTTTGGATGTTGACTCAATCACAAGATATCTTCTTTTTTTAATCAAATTATGATACCTTATGGGCTCACTAAAAAGACACATATTTTGCATCTGAAAATCTAAGGCGATGACAGGATTGACTTAGTCTGAATATCACCTGTTATCCACGGAGCCTAGTCTCCTGTAAAACGCCTGATATATATAAACATACGCCAGCCAATCGGAGTCGACTTTACTAAATTGTGACATCATTTCATTCCCAAATCAGGACTAACGGTTTGACTAGTCAATTCGAAGGCAGTGCTTTGTAATACAACAACAGCCGGGCAAATATCAAGTAACATGATACAGAGCGCATTGCGCAGGTTTTTTTTGTCCATGTCTATGACGCTTAACGGGTGAATGACCGAAGACCCGATATAGAAAGCGCCCGCTGATTGGTTAAAATTTGGAGGTCAAGATGCGGTTGTCTTGCATAATTAATCAGTGAATCTGTTCAAATTACATAGACTAGGTTTCACTATGATGATGCTTACAAAAAAGCTGCCCATCACTACAATTTGTACGCCACAAATTTACAACAACTGTGCAAGCCATGCCATTCTGAGTCAAGTTGAGAACTTTGGCACTTGAGAACTGTTGCACATTTGCACTCCATTCCTTTGCTGCGTAACACAATGTTTGGCAAGGAAACTAACAAAATCAGCGGATCGATGACCCTGTTATGATTTGGCTCCAGACCAACTTAGGATGGGACTCCTGTACCTGTGTGACCAGGCAATCCACGTCTGGTTCTTCTCTTGCCAAGTCTTCAGCACCTTGGAGTCGTGCTCCGTGTAGATCTTGGCAGCCATGCCAAAGGTCACCACGTCCGTCTTGATCGGCTCGCTGTCATCCGGCAAGAGGAAGTACTGGCAGTGGTAGTAGTTCTGGGCTTTGGGCGCCTCGACGATGCGCTTTTTCTTGCGCATGAGGTCGTCCAGTTTGGGCACATCTTCTTCAGCTGTGGAAAACGAAAAACATGTCTCATGTCAGTTATCACGAAAATAAAAATCTTGATGAGAATGATATCGATTCATGGCAAACAGAAAAACTTTACTTCAAGAGTTTACCAATTGCAACTATGGCTCACCAATTGTTTTCAAAATGCTATTACTGCAGTGCATTTTTTTGAGTCCCTATACGTGCACAGGCTTTCAAGCACACCCATAAAAAGTAGAAAAGTAGGATCCAAAAAAAAAAAAATAGGACAAAAGTAGGACTTTGGAGAATAAAATTAGGACAAAGTAGGATTTTTGCAGGCTTTCAGGAGTGTTATCGTTGATGCTTACTTATGGCCACAGCATCATAAGTTTCATTTGGTGTGTTCTGTACCCACAACACTTGTGCTCCATCCTCAACTAAGCTCTTGGAAGTACAGTTGCAGAACACTATGCCCAAGCCCTTCATCGTGCGATTTTACATACTACAGTGTGTAACGATGTTTATAGGAAAAATATTCAATGAGATTTCTTTTTTCGGAGTTGTGGGACAAAACAAGTAGGAAAAGTAGGAGTTTCAAGAAAAACGTAGGGAAAGTAGGAGCAAGGTAAACAAATCTGGTGAAAAGTAGGAAAAGTAGGAAAAGTAGGAGTACTTGAAAGCCTGCATGCATTGAACACAACTTGTTAAGGAGAACTTCGAGGACATAACATTTAAAGTGACTTGCTCGAAACTACAGAGATTTGATTAGAAAAAATCAAAACTGTTTGACACCTACGAAGAAAGATGACACGTACAACATGACGATCAAACGTCAAGTCAATAAACAACTCAGAACCACATCTTTTTAAAAAGTTTATCACTTAACATGGTGTAGCCATTAAACTTCTCCCGAGTTCTATTCTCAATCATGCAAAAGTCTCAAATTGCATTAAGAAAACATGTTGAAATCTGCACTGCACTAGAAAGCAGGAGGTCGTTGGTTAGAGTCCCAGCCGAGTGATTTTTTTTTCGAACTTTCACTCGGGAGGTAACACACTGAGTATACAGTGTTTATACGTCGGTGAAGGGCAAACCTAATTTGATTTACATCACCCCGACGCAAAAATTCCATCTTATGAATGTTGAAATTGCTATGGCAAAGATGACAGCGTCAGTCACCCTGTGTCACAATGGTGTCACTGTCCTTACCTGTTGGAATGGCCTTGGCAATAGTGACCGTCATTGTCACCTTGTGCACATCTTTGGCTTTTTTCTTTTTTCGTTTGGATTTTCCTGATCCTTTCCTCTCCGACAAATTCGCATCTCCCACAGTGACAGATGGCTCCACATTTTCACCGTTCTCGTCATTAAACTATTGAATAATAGTAACAACAATTTTCAAATAATCAACAATTCAACTCCCAATTAAAAGAGAATGCGCGTAAGCACCTTGGTGATCCTAAATTTGCTTTCCAAAATTCCACGTTGAACAATGGCACAGTCTTTTAACCCTAACCCCCTAAGAGTTCATTTGGGGTAATGTACCACATGCTGCATATTACTACAAAAATTATGTACATGTATGCAGGTACCAAATACCAATAAATACTATGAGGGCTGTGCCCACCTACATTCTAAAGTACTGCATGATACAAGTAGTACAGGGCGTCCTGAAAAAAATGGTGCAAGTAAACCCCTCCATTTTTGCTAATTTACAACAAATGTTTACACCATCTTCAAGGTAATAGATTTAGCTTGAGAATACTGTTTGTTTCATTGAGATTGTTTTTGTAAATCCAAAGATATGTTTGAATAACGGCAAAGCCAAGAAACCAATTTTGTGCCACTTTCAGAGAAGCAGTTAAAATCAGTATAGTCCTAGTCTAAAACCAAATCACTTTACTGTTAGTGATTTTAACATTTTTAAGCAGAGTGTGCAATATTTATTTATATTTAATTGAACTCTTTCATTGAAGTTTTAAAGAAGCTGAACTTGCCTGTACTATTAAATTGTTTCAACATAAGAACAAAACCCTATATTGTCGTGTGAATGGAATGTTTGTCTTACACCCACAGGGATAATCTTATCAAAAGAGCCATACTGGCAGTGGCATTGTCTGATCTTTGAAGCACTTGCTTCCTAACAGTGGCACAGAATGGTTTTTTTGAGCTTTGCGGTTATTCAAACATATAGTCTCTGGATTTACAAAAGCAATCTTAATTAAACAAACGGTATTCTCAAGCTAAATCTGTAACCTTGAAGATCGTGTAAACATTTGCAGTAAATTCCGGTTGTAAATTGGTGAAAATGGCGGGGTTTACTTGCACCATCATTTTCAGGACGCCCTGCATTTTGTAGCTTAAGGTTAGGTTAGGTTTAATGAAGTTACTGTACCAGGGATTTTCCCCCAGATTTTTGGGGACTGACGGAAGAAAATTTACAACTCCAGCACCAACCAGAACTACTGACTTTTCAGGAAGCTGAAGATGTTATTTCAAGATCTTCAAATAAAAAATCTTCAGGGCCTTGTCTCAATTCATTTCTGGGACAAGTTCCGGACAAGCTGTGGGGAGAATCGTTCACTCTGAGAAGCTCTGCACTTGTCCCAGACGTGTTGCAGGGAAATTTTTAATATGCAACTGCTCAACTCTCAAAAACTGATAACTTCATTGAGGGAAGATAATGGAGAAGTTGTTCAGAATCCTGCAACTTATACCTGATACAATGTCGGCAACTTGTCCGGACCTTGCCCCAGATATGAATTGAGACGCGCCCTAACTGTCTTATAACACATTAGGAATAAACATCAGCCAACTGGCACACCCGAGCAAGCAGGGCATCCCATTCTAACACAATGCCCAACTGACGACCAATCAGAATCCACCAACAAAAGCAGTCCCAATCCTAACACAGCCTGCTTAAGGAGTAGCATCTCCAACCCTCTTCAGTCTCCTGACGATGACTAGAGCAGGCTAGTCAAAATGTTGAGACCAAAGACAACTTCTTTTAGAACTTAAAGCAGGGCTGTTCTTATCAGAACTAAAAAGTACTTGGCGAAAGTTGATAACAAGCAGGACAAGTTCTTTTCAGAACTGAAGATCTTCTTAGCAGTAGTTATTACCACATGGTGCTGCAGCAAACCGAAACGATAGCATTAGCCGTGCAATTCCATTTTTTTTTCATAAAAACATTTCAGCTTACTTGGTCAGCTCTCAGATCAGACTCGATAGTTTTGTTTTCAGAGGTCTCAGTGTCGTCATCCTGTAGTCTCTCTGCATTACTTTCTTCATCCCCAGGAGCACTCTCAAGATTCTCGTCACATGTGTCGTGGCCCTCCTTCAAGTTCTCCTGTTTATCGTCAGCCGAAGACTGCCGCTCCAGTGATTCAGATTCCTTCTCTGCCATTCCAGAAGACTCAGATATGTCATGCGCAGCCCCGTCTGCCGCCAGATCTGCCATGATGACTGACGTACGTACAGATACCACTCACTTCACTTGTCAGTTAGCCATATCATGTGTATTCCTCTGAAAATGAAAACAAATTTTATTCTGGAGGATTTTTTTTTAAAGAATATTCAACAAAATATTGAATTTAAGCAACGGGAATTTGAATGACCATAATATAATTATCAAGGTCCGTATACAAATATTGAATGCTTCAGGTGGTGTAGTACAACAAGCCTCGCTTAGTGATCCATGGACATTGCTGAGGGAAATAGAATGCTCCATGGAGTTTAGCTTCAGACAGTCACAATTTAAATCCTGTTCCCCTGTATTGCCTTTTAGTTTTACACAGGCTTCTCAACCGCCTGCAAAATGGCCTGTCGAATGCTAGGCATTAACATCCACAAGTCAGTCGCGTTGTTGACAAATGATTTTTTTTTAAAATACCAGACGCCATGGCAGCAGTCTAACTTGGACCTAGTTCCATAAATGTGACGGAAATACTGGACTACCTCCGTATTTAACGTCACACATCCCACACGGGGTCGCACTAAAAAGCGTCAACACAGCGTCAACACATGACAGAAGCGTCAACACACCGTCAACACATCCAAAACACATTCTGAATTGACAAAAATGGTATATAATTGTAAAGCATAGAATAAAAGAGAATTTCCATTGGATTGAGTTTCCATTTCGTTGTTAAAAATATAGAATTTTCACGCAAAAAAATGACCTTTCACTTGCACGGCCGTTGTCCGCCATCTTGACTTCGCACAAATCTTGGACTACACCATTTCAAGCAGGGGTGTGTAGGTAATGACATTATCTTGTCATAAACAACAGAGGGATACTAGATCTGTGAGGACTGAAGATCGGAGTGGTGGATAATTATTTTGTGAGTTGTGTTTATGTTTCATTTACTTTATTGAACTGGACATCTTTTGGTATTGGCCAGCCGCGCTCTCTCTGTTGGTTTATTGTACAACGCTGTCACCCTTTAGCATAATGGTATGGTCCGCGCTGCCACTGAAGCAACATGGCAGCCGATTTCGAAGCGGCACGGAGAGCCAATTTTCTTGAACTGAAAATCGCAATTTTCATACGTTTAACCTATTGATTTTAAGCCAAAATCTTGTTTCTGTGCATACTGTATGGGTTACATACTGCTTTTGTCACTTTTAATGCATTTTGGATGTGTTGACGCTGTGTTGACGCTGTGTTGATGCTTTGGAGTGTGTTGACGCTGTGTTGACGCTGTTTAGTATGACCGCCCACATGTGGTATGTGCACAGATGGTCCCGTTGCTAGGGGAGCCGAAAATTAATTAAAGATCAAAATTATTTTATCAGCAGATAATCAACCCAGCTATAGTATGACTGCTAAATAGCACAAAATTGTTAAATTCGGTACCTTCAGAGGTCTAGTTATCCAAAAATCATGGTAATTCGTCAAAGAAATTCAGATGGTTTTGAAAAAGCATGGCGTCTGTGATATTTACCAGACTGTTTCCCGGCCACCCTAATTATAGTCAAAAGGCCAATGGGGTCAGGGAACCAGACAAGAGCTTTAATCATCTACTGAGCGTGCGTCAAGTTTGGCAAAGCGCACCGCGTCTGTTGCCTGTCATTCCAAAATCTTTGAAGCCCTCTGCAGTGAAGCGCCCCCTCTTGTGTGCGCTTTTCATCCGCGGCCGCGTATTGCATCCAGGTACTTCACAGAGTGCCAAAGATTTTGGAATGACAGGTACGGTGATGGTTAGCCAAGGTTGACCTCCACCATTGTGTACACGCAACAGAGTCCAGGGTATGAATCTCTCCTGCTAAAGCGAATTAAATTATAACATATTCCTTGTGTCCAGAATTGTACCTGCGCTGGGTTAAGGAACGGCAAATATGTCCGTGGGCGGCGTGTTTACCGAAAATAAACTGCAATCCCACGCTTTGGTTGAAAACATTTCAGTACGAACTCCCCGTGTGAAGATTACGCGCGCGCGTGCATGCACACCTAGCACGCTGCAGCTGCCGCCACGGCAGCAAGCGGCAGCAAATGGCATGCGCGTGTACGTCTTCACGTGGGGAGTTCGTACTGAAAATGTTTGCAACGAAAAGCGTAGAACTTGCTGATTATTTTCGGTAAACATGCCACCCGCGGACATAGGCCTATTTGCCGTTCCTAAACCCAACGCGGGTCGCACTAAACAGCGTCAACACAGCGTCAACACATGACAGAAGCGTCAACACACCGTCAACACATCCAAAACACATTCTGAATTGACAAAAAGGGCATATAATTGTGAAACATACAATAAAAGAGAATTTCCATTGGATTGAGTTTCCATTTCGTTGTTAAAAATATCGTATTTTCACGCGAAAAAAATGACCTTAACTTGCACGGCCGTTGTCCGCCATCTTGACTTCGCACAAAGCTTGGACTACACCATTTCAAGTAGGGGTGTGTAGGTAATGACATTATCTTGTCATAAACAACAGAGGGCGCCTTGCTGCAGACTAGACAGAGGGATACCAGATCTGTGTGAGGACTAAGGATCGGAGGAGTGGTAGATCATTATTTTGTGAGTTGTGTTTATGTTTTGGTCTTTGCAGATATTTTTAACACTGGCGACCCCGGCCGCGTCCCTCTCTGTTGGTTTATTGTACAACGCTATCACCCTTTAGAATAATGGTATGGTCCGCGCTGCCACTGAGGCAACATGGCGGGTGTTCGGCAGCCGATTTCGGAGCGGCACGGAGAGCCAATTTTCTTGAACTAAAAATCGCGATTTTCAGACGTTTAACCTATTGATTTTAAGCACAAATCTTGTTTCTGTCCATACTGTATGGGTTACATACTGCTTTTGTCAATTTTAATGCATTTTGGATGTGTTGACGCTGTGTTGACGCTGTGTTGACGCTTTGGAGTGTGTTGACGCTGTGTTGACGCTGTTTAGTATGACCGCCCAACGCAGGTACAATTCTGGACACAAGGAATACGTAAGCGAAATTTCAGCTTCCTCCGTCACGTAAAAATATGAAAAAAAATGTGTTATATTTGTTTTCGCTATGGTGGTAGAATTTATACCCTGGACGTCAGTCGTAATGCAATGTTATTGTTATTAATTGAAAAAACATGAAAAGTGCTAGCTGGAGTTACCCAGCCCTGAGTTTTATCATTGGGTTGTCTATTAGGGCTGGAGCGCATTTTTCTCGTAACTTGTAGTATTTGCAAAAAAAATTTGGAAAATGATCAATTTTGTCCCCGTTACACACTAATTGCAACTGCAACTCACCCCAAACTTGCCTGGAATAACCATTACACAGGTCCTTGAAGTAAAAAACGATCCACGATGAAGATTCAGCCTACAATTGCAGTGAAAACAGGAGGAATAACCGCTAACCTGACAACCTTTCAGGCATGGCCAGGACTGCTATTGGTTTGTGCACAAAAAAAATTGTGTACAATGAATGGCGGTCGATTAACAGGCACAGGGAGCGATCGCTGTCAACTACTCGTTTTTGCCGGCTGCGCTGGCGTTGGCGCGTGACGTCACGCGGAAGCGTAACACCCGATGACTGTTTCATGCACTAGTATAAGGTTTACCACTCGCATCACAGCTTTGGTACTGGAACCGCAACCAATAGTGCATGAAACAGTCATCGGGTGTTACGCTTCCGCGTGACGTCACGCGCCAACGCCAGCGCAGCCGGCAAAACCGAGTAGTTGACAGCGATCGCTCTCTGTGCCTGTTAATCGACCGCCATTCATTGTACACAATTTTTTTGGTGCACAAACCAATAGCAGTCCTGGCCATGCCTGAAAGGTTGTCAGGTTAGCGGTTATTCCTCCTGTTTTCACTGCAATTGTAGGCTGAATCTTCATCGTGGATCGTTTTTTACTTCAAGGACCTGTGTAATGGTTATTCCAGGCAAGTTTGGGGTGAGTTGCAGTTGCAATTAGTGTGTAACGGGGACAAAATTGATCATTTTCCAAATTTTTTTTGCAAATACTACAAGTTACGAGAAAAATGCGCTCCAGCCCTAATAGACAACCCAATGATAAAACTCAGGGCTGGGTAACTCCAGCTAGAAAAGTGCGACAACGCCGGTTCACGGCAATTAAAACATTTCAAATTTCAACAAATTGACACGTACATAAACCGTGAGATTAATGATTTGACATCTAGATCAATTAATGATCAAGTTTGTTGAAATAAGCTCGAATAAAAGCAACTAACAAACCTAGTCTTTACGGCAGGCAACAACTTCTCCAAGTTCACTTCATCATGTTCATGGAGGCAGCCATGTTTTGTTGACACCGATTTGCTAACTCGCAGTTGATGTATAAAGTCGCCACTAGGAAAAATAGATCGTCAGCAGTTTAAGAAACGGTTTTTTTTTATTCATTTTTTTTATTCCGTGTAACGCTGTAGAGTATTGGCACTACACAAGCAGGAATAAGTGATCAACCCAGAATAGGATACTTTTGAACCGTCTTTAACCAAATAATAAAAGCTAGTTCCGGTATTTAAAGTGAGCAGTAATTTCCACGACCAAAGCGCCTTGTTGCTAAGCGTAGTCTGAACCCCTGACCGCATTAGGCATGTGGCAAACGGCAGGCAAACCCGAAAATGGTACCTATCGATTTTAACAACGACAGCTAGAAGTTTCAGAACTTCGGCGTCGTTAATGCTTCGGATTCGGCAGAGTAATACGGCTTAATGGCTTCATGTTCTGCATGCTTCAGGAACATCAACACAAAAATGTTGCGAGGCTCGTTTTGCAATGTTTTCCTCTGTTTTGCTTCTCATAAAATCAAAAATTCTCAATAAAATTATTCTGATGCTAAATGAGTCCATCCGGCGACGAACCAGCAGGAATGTCTGACACTGTCGTTATATAAAATTCTTATATTTTCTGCTAGTTTTTTTCACTGATTATCCAATGACGTTTGGGAGAAAATTCCATCAAAGGTGTCGCCCCGAAAAGTAATCATGTCGCCTATATCGCCATTTTGAAGAAAAAAAAATGATGCCTGCGCTCTATTGCAAAATAGAGCAATTTTAGGGCCCAATTTCAAGCAAATTTGGCAAATATTATACCTCGGATGCCACTAAACCAATCACGTGATAAAATCATGATATTTAGCCCAGTTAAAACAAAAACATGGGGGGGAAAGGGGGTGTCCGTTAATTGGGCTAAACCTTATAGGCGGCGAAGGGCTTCCGATAACGTGGGGGTCTTGAACAAGTTCAAAATACTAATCCCGCGAATACTGGGCACGTATGGGATTAAGTCCCTCACGTTATGCAACTCTTTTCGCCTAATTCGACGGTTTACATTTTTGGCTTTTATCGCAAAGTTGTAGAAAAGCCTACATTTTTGTCAAGTTTTCAAGTTTCGGCCTTCACTTTGGGCCTGGTAGTCTTGCTGGAGTGAAACAGGGGAGGAAACGAGGCGACACCCTATGCCTTGCTGCAGAGACAGCAAAAGAGCCCCGTAGCCGGTATCGAAGAACATCGGGTAGACCCCCATTCCCTCCGCGATATCTGCAGAATTAAGTAGCGGTGGGCGCCTCTTATCCTTGAATTTGGGCCGGGTAGTGGTTAGTAATTGATTGAGTGGGGCGCTGAGATCGCCCCTCCTCGTGTTTGCTCGATCGGCCATTCTAAGCCTGCTTTTGTTTATTGTTAACAAAGTATCACCGCCCCTCCTTCTTCTGATTTATGGATCCGCCCCTTACGACAATTATTCCCGACGCTCACGTCTAAATAGTAGGTCAGGGGTAAAGGGTGCACGCATGTAAATAGGCAAAAAAATCCGTCCGCCGCTCATGAATAACAGTTATACCTCAAAATATTCTATATTAGAGCCTCAGTTTTGAGAGCCATACAATTGAGGAATTGAAGAGATATGGTAATGAACCTCTGGCCCGGACTTGGGGCTTCCAATTCTGAACATTTTGGATGCTATTGGGCTCGAAAGTGGCGCTATTTTGCCATGTTGTGGAGGGATCGTTTTCAAGGTGGCTACTTTTCCGCTTTGGGGAAAATATAGGGGTCGTCTTCTTTGGGTGAGAATATCTCGAAAAGTCCATGGTCAACCCACCAAAAAATGAAAAGAAAATGAAAGATGACACATTGATCATCAGTTGTCTGTGCAGCTTGAATACCTGTGCGAGTTCTGAGTATTTTTTAAGAGTATTTTTTAAAGTATGCGCATTTAGCACTAGGTGTCTATGGGATTTTTTTTGCAGGGTAAACCGCAGCTAAACATGACGACATTTTAGGCCCTTTTTTCAAAGCTCGGCTTCATTTCCGAATTCTATTTATCACTAAGGTTTCATGTTCCGATACAATTTTTGAATAAATCACTTGCTTCATATTATACTATACAATTATGATATACAGATTGATATTTCTGTAAGAAAACATTGAGTAATTTTGACCTGGAATCTTCAAAGTTAGGCACCCAAATAGCACTGTTAGCAGGCGGAGCCGAATGGAGACCACGCCGAGTTTTGGAACGAGTTTTGAAATCCCTGTAACGGTCGTCAATTTCAAAACAGCCTGACGCAACCAAAAGTTCGCCCCTCGTATAATATTCGATCCGAGTGCACACTTGATGCGCGAAATGCGCAAAATCGTCGTTGAATTTCAAGTTTTCTAAATGCAAGCAATGCATATTAACTATATCAATATTTTAAAGTTTTCATTAAGCAATATTAATAAAACTAAGTTTATTGGAGTACTTATACCAGTAGCTGCGCAATAGCTGCTCAGCAAATCATATCTCTCCGGTTAAATTAGTTACAAATGTAAACTATTGTCTATGCTCCGACATATTTTGACCGTTTTAAACCAAACTTTATCAAAAGTATCAGTAGCCCAGCCTAATGGGAAGCGGGAGGCCCTTTTTTCCCTCCAAAATGGCCGCCCCACCGGGCTATTTTTCAAGATGACTGCCAGGTATTTTTAATGGCCGCCATTGGCCTCAGGAAATGACATACCAGCTTTATATAGGCTAGATGCAACAGACAAAAAGAGGGGGGGGGGGTTGAAATAAAAAGAGGCATGCCTCAAAAAAAGAAGCGCGGGCGGGGACGCTATAAACATGTTTTTTTTTTTTTTTTTATTATTTGGCCTTACAAGCCCCATGGCACATAACGTTTACCTGCGCTGGTGCTCAGCCGACTTCTTTTTTTGCTATTTAAAGCAAAAATTCACTGAGCAGTATTGTCCCCTCATGGAAGAGGTCAATGTAAATTGTGTATTCATGACGATGTACTGTAATTCGCGGTCCATCGACTGACGAGCAGTTGGCACGAGGTAGGCACAAGGGCGGATCCAGAACACAATTTTGGGGGGGGCCAAAAAAAATTTTGGTCCCCCAAAAAGTGGGTGTAAAAAATTACGGCGTGGGGTTCGGGGCCCGCGAGGGCCCCGAAAAAAATGTTGGATTCTAGATGCTCTGTGGTGCGATCTGAGGCAATTTCTGACCACTTTAACCAATTTTTTTGAGGAAAAGATGGTGGTGTACTCATTGCCTGCCTTTATTGCGATGTCACATTAAAAAAAAAAAAAAATTGGTTTCGTTTTGGGGGGGGGGGGGCCATGGCCCCCTTTGGCCCCCCCCCCCCCCTGGATCCGCCCTTGGGTAGGCATTCAGAATGCGACTGCGTTAAAAGTTTTACCGTAGCAGAAAGATGCAACTGCATGACACACTTTTGTGGGGGCCACTGCGTTTCATAATGTGGCTGATTTTCGTAACATAAATCCGCCTCGAATATAGCACCGCATGCCAGCCAAACACCATGGGTGAAAGCCAACAAGATTCTCCCGCCCTGTGCCCAGAGACAGGTCGTTGGAGTGGGCGGTTGGCCGTCCTCGTACTGTGGACCCACTACTTCATCTGGGTAGGAATCGTCAAATCCCTGGCGATGATGCTGCCTGTGTTGAAGGACCAGTTTGATTCAGAAACCTGGATCATTGGTTGGATGATCGCGATTATACAGGGCATGAATGGAATGACAGGTATGTTTCTTAATAGGTATATTTAATCAATTGGCCTTGTGTTTTACCTTTCACCTCCCTATGCTTGATGTTGTCCGAGGGCTCGGGCAGAATCCAATATTGTATTTATATCTTCCGATGCCGAAGTCCATCATCATAGTTATTACCGTACCTTGTACGGCCACCGACTTGGCCTGGGTAGCGCGGCGGCGGACTGGGGTCCAATCTCAGCAACGGGCACACTGGTACACAGGGTGATTTTTGGATGAAATTATGTCCTAAAATGGCTCTTTTTTGCAATGGAGCGTTTAGTTTTTAATTATTTTGAATAGCGATGCTAGGGGTGATCATCTCTGGACGTAATTTCTCCCAAAAGTCAGCGGTTAACGAACCCCCCCCCCCCCCCCCCCACTTTAAAAAAAAAATGAACAGAAAATGAAAGATGATGAAATATGCTTCAATAAGCTTAGATGGGTGGCTCAAACACCTTGGAGAGTCGCGAGTGTTTTAATTATTTTTTTAAATACGGGTGATATCATTGGGGCCTATGGGAGTCGATATACGGGTTTGCACCCATAATGCATTCAGCACCCATCTTGAATGTGTGTGTTGTCATCTTGAACAAACATAAAACACACATCTCCAGGGTGCAGACCCGTAAATCGACTCCCATAGACCTCAGTGATAATAACGCGTGCTTCCAAAAAATATTAGAAATACTCACAACTCTCCCAGGTGTTAAAAACACCGATCAAATTAAAGCTTATTTCATCATTCTTTGCTTTTCTGTTCGATATTTGGCTGGTAATGATGACCTTTGGGAGAAAATCCCATCCAAAGATGGTCACCCCTAAAAGTAGTCCTGTGGCCAATTGCCATTAAAAAAAAATGATGTTGCGCTCCATTGCAAAATTTTAGGGCCCAATTTCATCCGATATTCCAATTTTTACAGAAATACGTACGAGCTCGCAGTCCTGTGCACGATTTCCACCCATCTGGTTTACACACCTTCAAGTTCGTGGCCCGCAAAATGCTCTAATAACAAGGAAATTGAGGGCATGTATCGTGATTCGGTCCGCGTTGGCAATTCCGAGTCGACTTAAAGGTCTGCAACATCCAAGATTGCTGCAATGCGAACAATACGATAAGTCGTTTGAATCATCATATTCATAGTTTGTGTCGAAGGTAGTTTGTTAACCAAATATCCTCGTAATAAATTATTTATTATCGATGATGAGATATATCTCAATTAATTTTATGACCAAATTTTAATTTTGCGGTAACACCATCCGAGCGGTTTATCATTTACATGTACCCCCTTGGAAGGAATCAGCACTGGTCTGTCATTGGGTAGAGTGACGTGGCGACAGTGCTGATTCCAATCTCCCTAATAGTGCTGATTAGCATTTATTACTTGCACTATTTGAATACACCAGAGAGAGAGAGACACACACACACACGGAACACGTATATATGGTTTCAATTCCAAACCAGTTTCCTTTATTTAACTCAACAAATACTTTTAACCATCTCACTTACATTTAGTTGTCCTAAACAAAAATTGTTGGACCCTTCCCTTATCCCTGATTGGCTGCAAGTGTCGTTGAGCGTGGTCACTGCACTGTCGAGTCACAAGATTTCATTTTCCACCAGCGGAAAATGGGGGTGACTCGCAGAGAAAATACATGCGCAGTAGGAGCCTTCCACGGTGCTTAATGCCAAGACTTAAAATAAACAATGACATCATAAACAAGGGACGACTGCAGGTCGTCACATTATCTCTTTTGAGTTTGTTGGTTCTGAGAAGAATCGGTTGCTTTAATTAAACCGACGTTTCGAACACTGAGCTTTGCTGTTTGTCAATTGAGCAATTGTTTTATTTAAATCCCATAATCCGAATTTTGTAATGTACGAGACTCAGTTGAGATTGGGTGAGGTTTGCAGGAATAATGCATAGGCCTAATCCACGTTCATCGATACTGCACCTTTGTATCCAAATTTGTTTAATTTCAAGATTCGTATTACCATTTTAAAAGCTGTTTATCGGTACCGGTTTGGTAGTGTGCATGTCCATATTCATAAGCAAGACTGTGATTTATTCAATGTCAAAATTGCTGTGTTACAGCCTCTTCAGCACCAAAAGTTGCCAGAATTGTGGACATTTTGCTGTGGAATTTTCTCTTGTGTTTTTTTTTTTTTTTTTTTTTAGCGTGATTGACCGTTTCAGTCATGACAGACAATGAGCAAACTTCATGCACAATTTTTCCAAATGAGCTGCACATTTTCGGTTCACAAGTGAAACAGAAAATCCCAAAATGAAATAAATAGTGGGTGCGTTCGTTTAGCTCAGCTGGGTCGACACGGGTCAGCCCCGTGCCGTTCGATTAGCTCTGCATGACGTCATTCTCGGGGCTCACCATCAGCCACCACAGACCCTGCTCGTGGAGCAGAGTCACTGGTGGAAGTACGTCAAGCATGCGCTGTTCATTCCATGAACGGACAAATATGGCAGCCGGACAGCGGAAATCTCAAGTTGAGGCTATATAATATATTCAACCCAACTTTTTTGAGTTTTGGAATTGACCAAAAAGTAGTAAATCTCAAACTAAGACCCAATCCGAAACGGGCGTTTTGTCGGTGGTTACGGCCACTGCTAAGGGCATCACGTGAGGATCGTGATGGCCCGTGGTTGAACTTTCGATTTAGCCCGGCTGTCGTGGCTGACCCGTCTGCCTTACTCGAACGCACCCAGGGTATGCCTTGAATAACGTCACAGCAACAGCGCCCTCCGTGAAATTCCTCTTGGATTGCTTGAACTTCGGTTTAAATAAACAAATAATAAAATATAATCAACAAAACCGGCCCCTTAAAAAAAACTACCTCGTATAATTTCACTAGGTCCATTTTCCACGTCACTGAGGGACAAGTTTGGAGCAGCCTGGGTGGTCACTGTGTGCGGGGCTATGATAGCGGCGGCCGTTATCACTGGTTCGTTCGTACGGACTGCACTCCAAGAAGGAATGGTTTATATGCTATTAGCAGGTAAGATCCGAATCAAGTTAATAATTAGATGGTTAGATGGTGGACATAATTGTGGGACGCAATTCGTTTTGATAGTGAAATCTGTATTTACCCAAATTTAATCAAACTCAATAGCGCCCTCCTAGTGTGCTCGCCACATCTCAAGAAGGATCGATAATTAATTAACTTTTCTGGCTTTCAGTTCGTCTTTCATTGTTTCAAAAACATTATTCATTTGTCAGTCCGTATAAATTTTGAGGTAATATTATGCAAGATGCAAATTGAGAGGGGCGCGGTTCGGGATCACAGGGCCGGAGGGAGCTTTTTTAGATCTTAAATCTCTGTCAAGCTCCCAGAATCTCCAAGATTTACTACCAAAGCTGACGATGTCTTTAGGCTGAATCGCATAAAGTGTGTTTTTTCTTTTTTCGTGTGGTTTTAAAGGAGCGGGTTATGGTGTATCCAACGTTCTGACCAAGGATGCTGTCGGCCGTCTGTTTGATAAGAATTACGCGACGGCTGTCGGCGTGGCCCGGACCGGCTACTCGGTGGCCCTCTTCGTGTTTGCGCCGCTCGTCCAGTTATTCCTCGATACGTACGGCTGGAGAGGGACCATGCTACTGTTGGGAGGCATCACCATGCATCTGGTGGCTTGTGGCGCCCTCTTGCGAATTGCTGACAAACCAACCCATCGTGAGGGCTATCAAACGCTCAACTCCTCGCCAGAAACTAGCTCGGGACGCAACAACATTTTGATGTGGTGTGGAAGGTTTCTTAAAAGCATCGTGATGAAGCTGAACTTGGGTTTGTTGAGCAAGTTCAGTTACTGGTCGGTGTATGTCATTTATGTCACCTCCAAGTACGCCTTCGACTCCTGGGTGATCTATTTTGTGTCACTGTCGCAATCGTGTGGGCTGTCGCTGGAGGATGCCGCGACGATTGTGACGGTCGCTGGGGTCGGCAATCTGCTAGCCAAAGTCGGACAAGGGATCGTGACAGACAGAGGCATCCTCCCTTATTGGGTGCTGCTAGCCGTAGCTACTGCCGTTAGCGCAGCTGCATTCTGCGCCACTCCCTGGTTGACCACGTATTGGACGTTGATGGCGTCTGCCTTGCTCATTCTCATCGCAGACGGTGTTGTTAGCTGTCTGAGTGACGTATTGACCAAGCAAGTTTTTGGCGTGGAGTTGCTGGCTAGCGCTTACGGGTGGATCGGGATCCAAAACACGATCTGCAGATTCACTCTTGGTTTTATTCCTGGTGAATGACTTGAACCCGAAAAAAAAAAAATTGAGACATTATAGGCCTAAAATGAACATTGTTTGTGTCACGTCGGTGTGATTTTATTCGAGGTGGGGTTTGAACCCCAAACCTTGGTCTTACCTGCACGAAATTATCCATTTTGGGGCAATCGACGTCTTCCCAGGTTTTGCTGATAAGAGTTGTATCTGCTGTGAAGAGTTGTAGCTGTTAAGAGTAATATTTTTCTCCAACTTCCCATCGTTTCTCCTTACAATATTTCCTTATTTGATAAGTGTTTCACACGTTTTGATAACTAGGATGTCAACAGTTTTCGAACCCCCACCCCCCCCCTCTAAAATGCGCCCAAGAAAAAGTGCTCCATAATGATTAGATTCCGTCATTTAATTCTTTTAAAGCTCTGGCAGGAGTTTCTACACATTATCGGTGGTCTGTCTGTCTGTCTGTCTGTCGGTCGGTCGGGCTGTCTGTCTGTCTGTCCTCAAAATTTGACCAATAATATTTGACCAAAAACAATTGGCTAATTGACCAAATGCCGTGCCGTGGTAATAAAATGCACGAAAGTTTTCGGAACACGGGTTTTGCTTCGATCGATGCGCATGCGCGTTTATTTTGTGTAAGTCTGTCCCCGAAAATTGACCGAAATAAGCCCCATAAGTGTCCAACAAAATATACCTATACAAAATTGAAATGTTCACAACAAAATAAATGTAATACTTAACCAAATTTGTTCGTAACAATTTGGAAAGATGTTTATGAAAACTTTGTAAGTGGAGGCAAAATATATGCAATAATGTTATAATCACGGTATTTTGTGTAGTGTTGGGTGGCATCCAGGAGGAGGAAATGTCCCCCAAATTGACCAAAAGCATGGTGTTTCTAATGCCCTTTGTTCCATCGGCGTCGCATTTTTCGCCAGAGCTTATTGTGCACTCGCACTTGTTTTTTTTTCCCCTTCAGGTTTGATCTTTGACACAACCGGAAGTTACAGCGCCGCCTTTGTTTTCATCGGTTGTTTGCAGCTCATATCGTTGAGTCTTCTTTTTGCCCTGCGATATTTTCAACACGTCAAGTGAGCAGGGGACGTCGCTACCAACTTGATTTTGTTTTTGGAGGGGGAGGGGTGAAAACGAATTCAATGACAGGCCAGCATGGGTCTATGATAATGCCAGCAGACAGTGGGGCGATTGTTATGTTAAACAAGACTTTGCCTTGATATCCAGATATCCAGTCTTCGCTAACCTGTGTAAAACATAACTGCGAAATTGAGCAATCAACAGCTTAGTCTACTTTCTTAATCGGAACGACGTCACAGGCTTTAAAGTCGACTCCGATTGGCTGGCACGCGGGGGGGGGGTCGCATAAAGTGTGACGCAAATCAGACGCTGTTTAAGACGCTGTTTTGTTGAGTTGGGCTGTTAATCTCACTTTTCAAGTTGGGGGATGATTTGAACAATAGTATTATTCTCCGCAATTGTCCTTTGAACGGTTCATATATAGACTTAGACTCAACATCCTGACACAGAGAAGTTATGATATTCCCGTGACGTCGTTGTGACGCCATCAGGTATTACAATAATAGGTTTTTAACGTGATTTTTGTTCATTTATAAATCATAAACTAAACGGGACTCAACCCCGGACCCCGGAATCTGTGGGCAATGAGCCTAACCACTAGGCTACTATAAAGTTATTTAGTCTCAAACCACTGAGTCTTAAAATAATACTTGCAAACACTTGGAGGATTAAGACAACATAAGTGTGCCGTAGCACCATGTGAATAAATCTCTTTTCTAAAAAAGAACCACACATATGTGTGGTTGTGATACATACTCACAAAAGATATTTATTCACATGGTGCTACCGCAAACTTATCTTGTCTTGGTATCTTTCTACCATGCAAACCTTCAAATCTCAACTTGGAGGATTGTTAGCTCAATCTGCGCTTTGCCTGTATACATGTAAAATACATGTAAAAAAAACCTCTATAAACTTCTGTCATAAACGACGTAAACGACTAACCATTCCTGTTTCATTAACGTACTTTTGCTGAACTTTGGTATTCGTATACGCTACATACGCCGTATTTTTCCCCGCAATGTATCGGACTATTTCCAATACCTTATACTCTTCAATCCAATAATTTTGTTACTCGGAATTTGGATGTTATCACACTTCTCGGTAAACTATTCATTTCCATCCACCATTGCTTCAAAACCTATACGAGGGAACCAAGTTATAGTACTCTCCATTGGGGGTGGGGGGGGCTACGTGCCCCCCCCCCCGAAAAAAAACACCCTGAAACCCATTTCTTTCTTTTTAAGTGACGTCGCAAAAAAGGCAGCCAACGCAAATTGCGCTACCATGCACCAATGCCATGCAAAAAAAGTCCCCTTGCTCTTTATATCAAATTTGGGGTGGAACATTTTGGAACCACTTTTTCGGGCAATCAACCAGTGGCGTAGCCACGGGGGGGGGGGGGGGGGGGGGGGGGGGGGGGCATGAAACCTTGTCGCCCCCCCCCCCCCCCCCCGTCGCCCCCCCCCCCCACTTAATTTTGAGTTTCTAAGAAAATTATCATTGATCTACAAGATGCCCCCCATGAAATAATTGGATTCAGGCAACCAGGCTCTGCGATATTATCTTGAAGTTATTGAAAACGAATATCCATTTACGCGAAGTATACGGTATATTCATGGGCGGCGGAACGCTTTTTAAATTTGGGGCAACGCCAAAAAATGGGCACTTATCCAGAAAAAGGGGCACCTTCCGTCGGTGTGAAAGTGAGAGCCCTTCGGCCTCCGCCTATGGCAGATCCAGAACACATTTTTTGGGTGGGGGGACAAATTACCCAAAATGGTTCCATAAATTCACGGCCCACTTACGATGCATGGATTTTAGATGCTCTGGTGGAACGGATCTGAGGTAAATCTGATCACTTTAACCAATATTGGTGAAAATATGGTGTACGTAGTGGCTGCAGTTTGTTTGTGACGTCACCAAAAAACACACAATTTGGGTCACAGTCGTAAGTAACCTCTCTGGATCCGCCCATGAATTTGTATGTAGATCAAGAGACCGTGACTATTTATCGCGAGAGCTAGATAGGCACTGTTGCTTTTGATGACCGGCTCAATTACCATATTATTTGCATGAGGAGGAGCACTATTCTTTTGAAAGGCCAATTTTCCATGAGAGGGGCACAATTTAATGTTGCGAGCAGGACTATAGGCCCTAAGATTGTGCTTTCGAGGGGCAGATTTCCATCTCGAGAATTTATCGCGAGATGTACGATTAGGCCAAAAAAAAAAGTCTCCGGTTTCTGGTATGCGCGCGCGTCGCCGTAGCCATGCGCGTCGGCAAAATGAAAAAGTTTTTTTTTCAATACAAGATGATGTTTCAAAACCGCCAAACTCACTGGTTTGACTGGAATTCTGCTGCTGCACAATTTTAACGTGTTTTTAGATGGGGTTATGATCGAGAATAAGATTTATGTGGCCTCTCTGGACTCCCATATATTTGCACTAAGTTTAGTCGGGCACCATTTGCAGTCATCAGCCGACATTTGAAGCCAAAAAAAAAAAAAAAAAACAGGTAAAAAAAAAAAAAAGCCGCGTCGCCGCACCACTTTTGGGGCAAGCTCCATACCAGAAACCGGAGACTTTTTTTTTTTGGCCTTATGGTGGCCGATTTTCCATCTCGAGAGGGACACAATTATTATATTATTGCGAGAGGGTTTATTTGTGCTTTCGACGGGTGGTTTTCCATCTCGAGATTCGAAGGTGCACAATCTTGTTAATGCCGAGAGGGGCACTTGTGTTTTTGAGGTGCACTACCATTACAAGAGAGGAGACAATTTGTAATGCGATCATAATTGCTTTTATGTGTGCTTTTGAGGGGCGGGTAGTTTAGTTGTTGGCCTTAAAATCTGGGAGCAAGTGCCCCCCCCCCCCCCCCCCCCCCCACCCGCCCACGCTTCCGCCGCCCCTGGTTATAACATTTGAAAGCAGAGTTTTGAGTTAAGCAGGGTTGTATATACTGAAGTCAATGGATTCTTTGTTTGACTTGACTGTCGTTTCGAGTTATCAGAGTTTGACTTTACTTCCAGAAGCATTCAGTGTTAAAATGATCATGTGCACAAGTTCACAAGTAACTTGCATTTAGTGGTTAACATAGAGTGAATCAATCCCCTTCACATGCACTACAATTTGTTTTCTTGATATCGTAAAATAGTCTTGACTTTCAAGTTACTATTAACCGAGGCAATTTAGTCCCCGTCCGGAAGTTAAACTCAGTGCCTCAATCATAGTTTTTTCCCACTTTGGTGGACTAAGATGCCAGTCTATGGCAGTCCTTAAATTAGCCTGGTACCGAAAGTCATGTGCGTTTTTGTATGTGTTTGATAGCTGAGTCGTCTGGGTAAATTAGCCAGTGGATCGTGCATGCGATGCATGGTTCACGTTCCCAAAAAAATGAGCGAGATGTTGAAAGAATTTACTGTGTTTTCTGAAAGACTGGAGCATTTTATTTTGTCATTCAGCGCGAAAACGAACCCGGTGAACGTAACATTTGATTCGAATATTTTGAGATGGAGTAAAAAACCACATCTCGGTGATTTCAGCGTAGCGGCAGCGGTCGTAGCGAGATTAAAAATCAAGGTACTGTACTGTCATGACTGTATCATTGTTAGCCCCATAAATGTGGCCTATTTACTGGACTGCCTCCGTAAACATAGGCCACACATCCACATGTACAAAAACGTGTCGATTTTGCCAAATTTTGATTTTCACATTTAGGCTTACTTTGTAGGTTTTTTTTGCTTTAGAAGCATTCTCACCCTCTATATAGGCTAATCAGAAAGTGCTGCCTTTTTCAGATGTCCATTTTTCGTGAAATTTCCAGATACATTTGCACACGTTTGCGTATCAAAATTTCAACATGAAATTTCACAAAAATTAGACATCTGAAAAAGGCAGCACTTTCTGATTAGCCTATATAGAGGGTGAGAATGCTTCTAAAGCAAAAAACCCCTACAAAGTAAGCCTAAATGTGAAAATCAAAATTTGGCTCCGTCGACACGATTTTTGTACATGTGGATGTGTGGCCTATGTTTACGGAGGCAGTCCAGTAAATAGGCCACATTTATGGGGCTATATCATTGTATGTTGTTGTCTGTCAAGTGTCATGTCCAGTCGTACATTGATTGGTGTTTACATCATGGCACATTCTAGTTGAGTACTCACTAGTACATGGAGCTGTAATACACAGTTTGTCAACACTCAACAGTTTTGTAAAATTCATAATTTACAGTAAAAAAAAAAGAAGTGTTTCAGCATGTAAATATTGACTGAAAGGGCATAAAGAGGAGGATTGCAGTATCCTGTTGCCAATTTTAAGCTTTATGAAACGACAACGTGAGTTATTTATTTATTTATTTATTTATTTATTTTGGCAAAAACAAACAAACATACAATGGTATAAAAAAAACAAAAAAAACGAACGTATTTCATGTAAATACAAACCCAAGGATAACCCAAAAAGCTGTTTATAAGACGGCTTAATTCCATCAGAATCAGGGTCCTTAAAAACACACACATACATATTACAAGTACAAGTACAAATAAAAAAGTTCAAAAGAAAAAAAAATGCACTGGATCTAGCAACAGAAAAATAATTCAAAGAAAGAATGTTGCAACCCGAGGCTACTTCAGCATTCAGCGGTTGTGTACATACACAAACTACAAAGTCTATGAAGATTGAAGAAAATTTTCTGGGAAAGATTCCCATATCTGGCCATCACTTGTCACCCTTGCGACTGGTCTGACAGTTTCTAAGTGTTTTGTCAGTAAATACTTCACTATTTTCCCTGCTAAATTTGACTTTTTTATTTTTAGGACATATATTATCACTTTCTGATGATGGCTATAAATCACTGAAAGGAAAATTAGTGATGGCCAGAAATGGGAATCTTTCCATTTTGTTTCTAAGTATTTCCTAATACTTAGTCCCAGATTTATGTCTCATCGTCATTTTTGCAATGACTGACCTTCATTGAGATGATAATTGATATATATGAAAAAAAGCAGCATCATGTTGCAACATTCTTTCCATGAGTTTAATGTTGTGAATATGTTGAAACTTGAAAGTAAACAATGAATTTGGATCTGAGAAAAAAAATATAATTTTTTTAACCCCCCCCCCCATAAAAACATCATACACATTTCAACAATTCTTCATATACTTAATGAACCACTTTTTGGTCAAGAGAGTTTTTAGTCTACCAAACTAAAAACAATTTAAATAATGTACCTGTAATAATATTTGTTAACATGGTTAGGAAAACAAGATTAACATCATTTAATATTATATAGAATAAATTACAAATAAGTAGTTTAAAAATATTTTCAGGACAACACAGCTTTCACAGCTGCACTTCTCCAGGAGTCCCGTCACTGGCCGCTGCCCATCGATTCCTGCATCCTGACGGACCAAGGAGGGCTTGGATTCAAGCTCCATCGCCCCAGCGTCTTCAAGAAAGTCTTGAGCGCAGTGCTCACAGAGAGCGACAACTATGGAAGGTTTGCAGCCATGGAGGTGGATGCGGAGGCTCCTGCAGGAGTGGGCATAGTGAGTGGCCGTTTGCCAAGGGTTGAGACGGGCACGGCTGCAGAGGACAAACAGGACCTGACACTTAGCCAGCTGAGAGGGCTTCTACTGACAGAACACCTGTCGGCGTTGCTGGAGACTGCAGGGTTAGTCTGTTGGACATTGCTCTCCAAAAGTAACTGACGTAATTATTGCTGAAAAATGACTTTGTTGAAAGATAATTAGGGGACTATAAAAACTTCCTGTGAAATTATTCTTTCTTGCATGCTGTCACTTTTGAGAAATCAACAAAAGAAGGCCTTTCCAAGGATGCGTCTGAAGACCCATCGTTGGAAATTCCCATTAGTAGTTTTTTTTTTTTTTATTCGGCGAAGCTGCAATCGGCTCAGTGAGAACGGGTCTCGTATGCTGAATTCAGGCCCAATTCAAAACACGATTCAGCAACTTTGCTTTGAAATCAAGATCCTAGAATGTTGTTTTCCTCGGAATATACAGCTGCAGCTGAGCTGAAACTTCATCAGATTAGTTGTTTAGCACCCTTCTTTAGATTTTGAGCACTTTTGTTGCTTCAAACGATCAAAATGCACAAATTACATTTGATGGACTGTACCTTTAACAGACCACACCTCTTGCATCTGATGTCGTATCCGAGGGCAGGTCTTTGTTCGTCTGTAATACGCATAAGAAAATGTACTTTTCATAGTCACCGAGTGTAAATAACAAAACTTCCCTTACTTAGTGAAGATTTACACAAAACTAGCCAAGGGTGTAACTTTAGATTTTGATGAGGTGGGAAGAGATGATGATGGAGAAGCCCAGAAACTTCTAAGAAGTTTGTAATGTTAACTTCAAAGCAATTTAAATGGAAGAGCGGCGTAGATTCAGTGTTACTTATAGAGACATAGGAACGGTACTTATACTTCTTGCGATGCGATGTAAATTTGATGTCATGAAGTATTTGCTGTGAAATTCGCTGGAGTTGAAATGTGTTAAACATTTGCGAATTCAAAGTGCGAAAACCTGCCGTGACGTCACAAATTTGCGTTCACATTCACTTTTGTGCCGAGCATGAACAGGCCTGCTCAAAGTGAAGATAAGACATATACCAAATACCCTGTGAAATTATTCTGCCTGAAATAATATCATTGGGAAGAAAACAATCATTGAAGATGGTTTAAGAAAATATGCACATGGGTACAGTTTTTACATGTGTTAGCAACGGAATCCAGTTATGAGACCCCCCAAAAATGTGCATATGCTTTCTTTGTTTTTCTCAGTGTCCACTGAGCTGAAACTTACACGAGTTAGTTATTATGCACCCTCTTCTTAAGATTTTGAGCAAGTTTGGTGCTTCAAACAAAACAGAGCCCACAAAAAGCGAATGATCCTATAATAATAAATGTTATGTATTGTTTTTATTTATGCAAACAGGTTTCAAGTGAGTCATCTGACACCAACTACATGCTCATCCGACATTCTGGACTGCTTTGGAATAAAAGCATTCCAATCCTCCAAGAGTGGAGCAACGTCGTCAAAGGAATCTGTCAAAGAAACGAAAGAAAGATTAGTCAGATCTGCCTCCTGTTGCAAATTCAGAACTTCTGGCCCAGGGGATCTGACCTCATCGGGTCCGAGGTCAAGTGAGGATGACCCCAGCTCACCAAACCCTGCAGAAATCAATCTTGATTTGCGTGGTTTCATTGTGGAGGAAAAGCTGCCGCTGGGAAAGTCTGGATATGACAAGAACCTGCAGAGAGTCAAAGGTAGTTTGTCCTGTAAAAATGTTATCAACTCCAGTTGCTAATTGTGAGCAAAACTTACTAAGCTAGGAACCTTTCTGGATCCTGCACAATCTCCCGCTCTGCAGGAACCAATGGAACTGAATTTGCACTATAAAATGCAGAGGGGAATCGTATTCGGTGGAAACTTTGTCTTTTGTTTGCTCTGCCTTAAATCCTGGAAAATACTGTGGTGGATTTTAATGGATCTAAGAAAGTTCTGGACAATAAAAAAAGGGTTTTTGTGTACAATATATATGGGTCATTCAATAAATTTGGGTCCACGTTTCCCTGTCCCTATTACATCTGACATCTATGAATTTGTAATTGTTGATGCACTCCTTAATGCAGTCATCCAGAGTGATTAACCAACAAAATCAAAAGAGTTTGAAGTCATTCTCAATGACAAATTATGGGGTATCAGGGACAGAATGACCCGTAAATAAACACATGAAATCTATTTTGGTCAGCATTCTAAGATCATAGCATGTTTTCAGTTATTTCTTTATGAACAATTCATGTTTATTTCTGATTTTTTTTTTAATTTGTCTTTTTTTTTTTTTTTTTAAATAGTCGTCTTGCAAGATGGCTCACCCTCTCCAGTGTTGGCACAGTGCTGCTTGATAGAAGAGGGTCTCAATCACACGTATCCACTGGTAAATTTGCCTCAAAAGTTGTTCCAGTTTTACTCACAGATTGCTGTCCATCATGTACCCTGTAAACGATACTTTGACCTGATGGAGAATAGTGCGGAGCCATGGGCTTCGCCAAACCAGTTGAATAGGAGGGGGCAGGGGGCTGTGGATATAATATGGCCAGTTGGGAGGCATGCTTAAAGTGGGTGGGACTGGACACTTTCGAACACTACATGTCGGTGGAAAGATAAAAAGATGGGGTGTGACACTCCCACAATCATTATTGCTACATCCATTTTGTGTAACTAGCTGGTTAGAATTCCTTTAACTCTACACTTGTGGGCTAAAATAGAGGCTATGGTGGCAAAGTAGGTTCTTATGCAAAAGCTGGGTAAACACAAAAACAGTTTTGCAATTACATTCTGGGTTTTTGTGTGATGAAACAGTTCAGTAAGTAGTTCATGAACTGATCCATTAGGAACTGTGCACTGTGACCAATGCCACACTGCTCATTCCAGCTTTACGCGTCCAGGTGCGGTTCTAGTATAGATTTTAGGGGGGCTTGCAGGGGTGGATCCAGAAATGTTTGCATGGAGGCATGCTGAAATGTGAACCGTTTTTTTTCTCCATGCTCTTAGGCCTCAAAAATTAATGGGGGGGGGGGGGGGGGGCTCGTACCACAGTCATGCACAGTCATGCATGCTTTATTACCTTTTGTGGGTGTGGACAGTTCGCATGCTACTGCCACTTTTTTGGGGGGGGTGGAATTTTTTTTTGGGTGGGTGGCTATAACAAATATTGGGGGGCCTAAGCCCCCCCCCCCAGCCCCCCCCCCCATGCGTGCATGCGTCATAGGCGTGTGCACTCATGTCAGACTTTTCGGACCTTGTCCAACATTAATCTTGGCCATGATTGGTCAAAACACCATATGGCGGGCATGCAGGATTGGTCTATTACATACCTGGCCATTTAGAAGCAGTTAAATTCACATTCTTTGTTATCAGTAAGAATATTCTTTTTACCGTGTACATAATTGTTGTAACCTGAAACTCTTTTACTTTTCCTTCCCGTAATGCAGCCCTCTCGTCTTATCCACGTTGCAAGCCAAGGGGCATGTTTCCAGCAACAGCGAGTAGCTTTCACCTGGCAACTTTGCTCAAATAGGCCCACGCCGGGAACCATCTGTCAGTACCATCTGACCCACGGCCCCGTCGCAACACGAAGGGCGGAATCAAAAGAAAAAAAGGACGTCAGTGCAGCTGAGCTGCTTCGAATACGGGAAGCGCAGACCAGAGAAGCATCGGTCTTGAAGTATGGGGAGGAGGTGCAAGGTAAAAAGAAAGCTCTAGAAGAAATGTTTTTGTTTGATTGGTGTTTTTTTTTTAATCATGGACCAATTTTTCACGGTAATGCTAAACACATTCAGAATCTTCATCGGATTCAGAGAGACCGAAAACAGTAAACTCATATGGGTTTGTGCACAGATGAACATTGGTTGTCCAGACATGTGTGCCATATTTAAGTGAGCCTTACACGCATGCGCAGTGTCTTTCATCGCTGGCTCTCATGATCAGTAGGTCTGATAGCAACATCTACTGATCCGTGCAGAGTAAATAGTTAGCACAACCTTTCTTTAACACTAATTCCCTAGGCATTTTGCTTGGATGCTAGTCATGCTACCTCAATCCTGAAAAATCCTTCAACTGCCTCCATGTAAACATTGCATACAGACTCAATCCTGCAAAATCCTCCGTTGTTACTTGAATGCGGTCCTTGGAGGGGTGACCACTGCCTCAATCCTGCAAAATCCTCCAGCAATCACTGTCAGTATGTTGAGGCAGAGCCAGTGACATCCTGGAGCAGTGTGGCAGATTTCAAGTGTAATATGCCTGAATTTATGTATGGCTGAGCACAAACAACACAAGATGCGACCCAAGACCTGGACACAGTGCATCCTGCAAATTAGCCACACATTTTTGCCATATAGCCTCAATCCTGCAGAATCCTCCATTTTGCAAAGAGGTTTTGAAGGATTTTGGAAAGTTAGGGTTAAACTGTTAAGAAGCTCCATTAAAACATTGTTACTTCTTCAGAGAAAACCTCTCTGACTATCCAATTCCTGTTCTTTGTAAATAGCTTAATGTCATTTTGTTAACAGAAGATTGTGTTGTGCTTTACTATCTTCATCAGGTGAGGGTTGGGAACAGCTCATCAGAAGACTGACGATAGCTGGGCTGAAGTTTGAAATGTTGGGAAAGCAGTGTGGTCACATGGTGAGGGATGCAACTTGAAAAACTTAGAACCTTTTGGAGACTCAAGTAACGTGTGCATTCCTAAACAAGCTTTTTTTTTTACATGCCCATGAAGCCCTTTTTTAGTAAAAGGGGAAACCTAAATAAATATTCTCAAGTTTGAAGGCTTGATGTTGCCAGACTGATCCCAATATTGATTCAAAAAAGTATTGTTCCATCCAAGTGCTGCTAGTTTTAGGAGTAGTTCTTTTATTGAACATCTTGTTTTGCCTGCTCAGATGAAAAGTCACTTTGCCAAATTGTATTTTTTAAGAATAGTGTCTGTTCACTATTCAGTTCAGTAATCACCAGAATGTGACAGTTGTGTTGAGATGATTGTTTTGTGCTTGCAGTATGTTTCATAGTGCTGCTCAAAGATATAGTCCATCATTTGTAATTTGTGCATTTTGTTCGTTTTGAAGCAACAAAAGTGCTCAAGATCTAAAGAACCTGATGAAGTTTCAGCTCAGCTTTAGTTGTATATTCCGAGAAAAACAGCATTCTAGGATCTCAATTTCAAATCAAAAGTTGCTGAATCGTGTTTTGAATTGGGCCTGAATTCAGCGTCCGAGACACGTTCTCAGTTCTCACTGAGCCGATTGCAGCTACGCAATGTCGCGCATTGATCTGACGAAATATAGCAACCGCGCGTGCGTGTGTGTTGTGCCAATGCTTGCACGCGCTTCGCCGAATAACAAAACAAACTACTAATTTAAATTTCCTACGGTGCGTTGGAAAGGCCTTCTTTTGTTGATTACTTCAAAATGACAGCTTGCCAGAAAGAATAATTTCACAGGGAGTTTAGTCCCCTTACTATCTTTCAACCAAGTATGTTTTCAACAATAATTACGCCAGCTATTTTTCGGATAGCTGCAAATGATGGACTATAGCTTTAACAGTTTTGTGCCGTAAGCAATAAGCACAGCAAAAGCACGCTTAATGCCAGGTTTTTTACCTCTGGTTCTTCTCAGAACTCTCTGTTTCAGTGATGGTCACTTCACATGGTGTATCTGCAAGACTGCAAACTTGTGGGATTAAATAAAATTTAGCCTTTCGGCCTCTGTTTACCTAAGCCTTCATTTCAGAGTTGGTAGTTGTCAGTTGCTCATCCTTTTTTATTTACTTATTTATTTCGTGTTATTTTACCAGGGTAGCCCCATTAGTTGTCAATGAAGTGTTCTCCCTTTTGTTTTCCATTTCATTCAGCTGAAGTTAGAACTGTCCAACTCCCGTAACAGCAGTACATGGCCTGACAGCAGGGATGGAGTGTTTGTCATGTACAACTATGCGAGGCTCTGCACCCTGTTCAGTCATTTTGATGAGGAGGTCACAAAAGGTAACATTATTAGATTTTAAATGTCTCTTTTGCTCTGACATTTCAACTTTGTTCCTTTAACCCTAATCCTCCAGGGTACATGTATGTTTGCTAGAACCCTGCCAAACGTAGCAACATGCAACACTGGACTAAGTGACAAGCCTGCCAAATGCAGCAAGATCCATCAGGGGGAAAGTCTCAAGGCCAAACTGCCTCAGAGTCCGTGGTCAGCGCACAAAGCAGGATACAACTGTGGCATTGTTCAATGGGACTTTAATAGCTCTCATTGTTTCATAGCTGGCGATTCATGCACTGGTGTTGGCATATATGAAACGGAGGGACCCCCTCCTCCTCTGTGTTGGTCATTGTGTTACCAGAATCTCAGGAATTCTTTTGAGATATCTAGGGGGATGTGTTAGGTAACAATAGTCTAGGGTGTGTATAGGGTATAGGGAGATGGGGGGGGGGTGTACCCCTCCATCTCATATCGTGCTGGGTATAGTTGTTGGTAGCTGAATGCATCAAAGTGCACCAGTTCTTTTCCACCTGATGCACTGTGTTGCGTCTGGCAGGGTAAGGGTTAATTAATCTTGACACACAAAAAAGCTGATGAGTCAGCCATGACCGAATTCACATAGTGACTGATTCAGAAAGACGGCGTAGTATCCTGATGAATTCAGGACTGGAGTAGCTATTGGACTCGCTCAATGACGGCCATCTCTGTAGGAGAACTGCAACTGCGTATTTTACGCAATCAAGCAGGCATTGCGCAGTGTTGAAAATGTTCCAAACACGCGCGCTTGTCAACGGTTGCTCGAAATGTGTTTGAAATACGACGCAGCCGATGCGCGTTATGCAAATTGACACTCAAAATGCCAATGCACGTGGATGGTCTGTAGGAAATGACGTCATTTGAACGAGACCTTTTGTGTTTTAAGGCAATGGACATCATTTTGCAAAGGTTAAAAAAAGAAACTGTCAAAATATCATGAAGTATCCTATGACATCATTGCGCCTAGTATGCTGTCATTTTCGAGAAAAGAGAAATGACCATTGTTTCCTCGCAATATCGCGCTCTGAATGTAAACCTTTGCTTTGTGTCAAGAAAATGAAGATACAGTTTTCTCACAAGTATGATATCTACTGAGCTGAAATTCCATCAAGTTATTGTATTGTTCCTTGAATCGGCAAAAACATGTTTCTTGTAAACGGTGTACATCAACTTTATATAGTTGGCATGAAATGAAAGTTTCGAAAATGAAAGTTTTTGTTGTTCAGAATGTCCTGAGCAGAAGTTTGAACCCTTTAAAATGTAATCCACCCAATATTGAAATAGCATTTAGGGGAAGTTTACACCAACATGGTGTGTCTGACAATTTGCAGTCTCAGTTAAGCAAAGCCTCACACCACATTTGAAGTAATGTTGTCGTAGATTATTAGTTTCTTTATTTATCATATGGGTAGCATGGGTGGCTAGTGCGTAAAGCACTCGCCTCTCACCACTGTGGCCCTGGTCGTTCCCAGCTAGGACCACACGTGAGTAGAGTTGTGCGTTGGTTCTCTCCTGTGCCATAAGGGTTTTTCCTCAAACCAAATCAAACACTTTTGATCTCTGGCTCTGCTCCTTAGTCATATATGGGTCGATGTGGCTGGCTGCAAAATGCGCCTTTACATGCCTGTGGCTTGACCACGTTGTAGCCGCAAGCTTCGCAATTCAGCTTCTCAGCTGCGAGTATAAGGATGATTAGCCCCCGAATTATCCCAATGTGCCATTCTTCTTCCAATTTGTTTTCAGGCACATACCCTTCCCTGCCGGATATCGCAAGCCTGAACTTCAGTCTCCTTCGTGAGGATCAGGAATGGGGGCTACTCTTCAACTACATTTTGCAGTATCCAGTCATGCTGTCCGGGTGTGTCGCCGACTTGCTGCAGACCAAAGGACCACACATCAATATCCATACACATAGGGTAAGTCAACCTCAAAACTGTATTTCTGCGTGGGTTTATCAGATCATTTTCACAGCGGTTTTAAAGCTACAGTCCCTTATTTGCAGCTATCCAAAAAGTAACTGACGTAATTATTGTAGAAAAACATACTTGGTTGAAAGATAGTAAGGATACTAAACTCCCTGGAAAGTTATTCTTTCTGGCAAGCTGTCATTTTGAAGAAATCAACGAAAGAAGGCCTTTCCAATGATGCATCTAAAGACGCATCGTTGGAAATTTTCGTTAGTAATTCGTTTTTTTATTTAGCGAAGCACGTGCAAGCATTGACATGATGCACGCGCGCGCGCGATTGCTATAATTCGTCGGATCAGTGCGCGACATCCCGTAGCTGCAATCGGCTCAGTGAGAGCGTGTCTCGGACGCTGAAATCAGGCCCAATTCAAAACATGATTCAGCAACTTTTGATTTGAAATCGAGATCCTAGAATGTTGTTTTCCTCGAAATATACAGCTGAAGCTGAGCTGAAAATTCATCAGGTTAGTTGTTCAGCACCCTTCTTTAGATTTTGAGAACTTTTGTTGCTCCAAACGAACAAAATGCACAAATTACAAATGATGGACTGTACCTTTAAATGCAAATGCAGATATGCAAGTAGCTGCACAAATGTTGAGTTTTCCATTGGTTTGTACATCGACATTGATGTGCCGAGCAGGCTACATTGTTTACAGTGATCTGAGACATCTCTCAAGTTATTTAACCCTAACTCCCCAGCATAATTTACTAGGAACCGTACCCATTCAGGCAAATTCTAACACCCACATGGGAAATTGTACACACACACTGTTGGACTTAGTTTGTGGAGGTATGCCAACCCCAATGTAAAAGACCATCTGTTTAGGGGTACTGTACCTATCCCAACAGATTTAAACAAAACCTGCTGTTGAACTTAATATAGCTCAATAATGATACACAATGTTATCACAGTTTTTGTGCTGTGGTCTTGTAGTGCACAAGTACCCCCTCAATGATGAAAGAAAGGGAGAGAAATGAACATTGGGTGCCGTCCATGCAAACATGCTATGAGTTTCAGAAGAGTGGTATGAAAGTTGGTTGTATTTCTTCTGAAAGCTCCTTAACTCTTCCAAGACCCATTTCATAAAACTGAATGGTTCTCGAGTTTAGAGTGCTAAATGGTATCGCACAGCAACTGATGAAAATGCACATGCTTATGAAAAGATGTTTTCACCGGTTGACATCAATGCCGCACCATCCTATACGCTGTTTGCACCTCATGTGCACAAGCTGAAGCTACTGTGTGCATACAATGTCATTCGCATAGCAGTGCAAGCTAATTCGTAACTTATTGTCTTACTGAACAGGTGTGCAGTTTTCTGGTGAGTCTTTGCAGAGATCTCAGCTCGTATTACAGCCATACCCATGTTTTAGGGGTAAGTACATTTGATTCTTTTTCTCCTAATGGGCTCTGTGCACAAGTACCCCTTCAACAGCCAGAAAAGGATAGTTGGGGGAGACCTAGACTGGTTTCCGGTCCACCCACTGCGTATTTTGAATGATCTAAAGTTATTGGGGGCGGGGATTAGTCTGGAAGACCATCACAAGTTAAATTTGAACGTATTTGCGCGCTGATGGCGCCTGATGCTCACGCGAAGACGCTGTGGCTGATAGCTTTGGCACATTCAGCAAGTCGTCCATACTCGCGTGGGAACTAGTACAGTACGCACACGCTGTGGGTCCCGTCCACGGTGCTGTCAAAAGTGTTAAAAAAATGCGCCCTCTTTTGTTGGCGCACTGAGCCCATAGTGGATGTAATAGTGCTTACAGGTTAACATTTACATGAAGTACGAGCTGGCTTTAGTAAATCAAACTTTCTCATAAAAAAAAATACCAAAAAAGGCACCACATCAACTGGAACATCCATATTTGTGTACTAATAACCCGTGAAAATTGAAAATGGTAGAATTTTCTTTAAAAAGTAGATGAGGAGCCAATATAAAGCCACTCTTTAATTTAACAATAAGTCATGTAAGTAGAAAAAGTACTTACAACGTACTAAGCGTATATCATGGTGCCATTAGACTTTATAATACTTGCATGTATATGGAGACTTCCATTGTGTCATTTAAGAAAAAATGGAGATGGTCTTAGATTTGCTGTGTTTACGGTCTCTGTTAACCTTAACCTTCCCAACTCCATAAAAATCCATCCCCCCATTTTGGTGGATTTTGGGGGACTTGGTCCAGAAGGCCTGGCGTGACTAAATATTGATGGAGTATGATGGACTTGGGCTTAATGGCCTGATGCAGTGCTAGGGGTATCCGATTGATTTTGCCTAGCTTCCTGTACTGCTATTGTGATAAAAGCCATGTGTAGCAAGTCCGTGAATGTCAAACAGTGCGTCAGTGGTGGATTCCAGTATGTCATGTACAGTTTTGTATTGGAAGCACAGTGATTGATGGATTTGGATGGACTTGGTCCAGTTCCTAGTAAAGGACACTAGGGAGTTAAGGTTTGGACTGAGGCTCTCCGAGTGTAAAACTACATTACCAGTATCATGAAATAGGCCACAGATTCTAAAGTGGAAGCTGTGAAGCATTACACACCATCAAATCGTGTCCTTGGTGGTGAGATAAATCATCTCTGACAATCTCTTGGAAATATCATGGGAATATTGGAGGGAAATGTTACAGTCATTCTAATGATACAACTTTTTTTTTATTATCCGTTAGGAGCCGAGGCCCCATCTCATTGCCGTCATGTTTGCTCGTCTGCATCTCTTGAAAGGCGTTCAACAGGTCCTCAAGAATGGCCTGTCTCTTCTCAACATCCAGCCACTGACGCAGATGTAATGCCATCTTCCCTCCGTTTCCCCTGTCGTGAACATCTCAAACAGAACAGCCTAGAGGACGATTTGCACCTTCAGAACCCAAACCTAGCAAAGGTTGGAGAAGCGTCTTATGTCAAGTGTCTTACGTCTACAGACTCCACTGATTCTTGTGTCAGGATTTGAATTTCATCAGCCGTTAAAAAAACAATTGAAAATATCTATAGACAGTGATGACATATTTTTTTAAAGTTTTATTTATTGTGCATATTGCATTTAGATTCCCAGGAAAGTGGAATTATAGCGTCAGGTATGTAAACAAATTCTTTCTTTTTAATTGCTTTTATGAGCATTTTGTTGGTTCGTTTTGATAGAAAATTAATCAAAAGACTTATGTGAAATTAAAATTTTCAGTGCAGATGAAAAATAAATTGTGAAATTCAACATTTTATTTCAAGTTGTTCCTAATTGTGTTTTTTTGCGACTTGAACTAATTGACCCATTACTTCTTTTTGAATAAGCCATTTGCGAGTAACCTATACCCTTTGGGATTTACATTTCAATAACATCTGGTACACTGACTTGCTCAGAATGCTTGGCACATTTTAACTTTGAATTCTCCAGACCAAAGACACTGTTGCTAATCACATGATTCGGGGCAAGCTCTTGCATAGTTACGTAAGAGACGCTCAGCATCAATACATCGCTCACAATGGGTGAGAATGGCACAAAGACACCAGACCATGCCAGAGCTGGGTGTTGCTAGCATAAGGCTTGCCCCGAATCACGTGATGTAGTAACAGTCTCTTTGGTCGGGGGAATGCAAAGTTAAAATGTGCAAAGCATTGGATTAAGTCAGCGTTCCAGATTTTATTCAAATTTAACTCTCAAATGGCTTATTCTTAATGGGTGAAGATCAAGCCAGGAAGCGGTCATCCCCGGCCGCGAATTGTTTTTTCCCAAACAACATCCGTTTCCCATCTTCTTGGTTCTCCACAACACAAACCCAAGATGGGCTTTACGTCAATGAGAAGTGAAAAATGCTCGCTGGGGTTCGAACTCGGATCACTTGATTAGAAGTCGGGACTACTTTCAACCAGTCCACGAATCGGCTGCCAATCGTCGGTGAATTAAACACCATTATTCCTTGTTATATATAAACTGAGGCCGTGACCGAAACGGGCTTCCAGAGCTACGGCTACGTCTATTGTCAGCGCGTCCCTGCGTATTTTCAATGGGCGCAGACCTAGACATAGCTCTAGATAGCTGATTCAGATGCAGCCTTATTCTCTAAAGCCCCGGACATCATGAATATGCATAATGCAGAGAGAGAGAGAGCGCCCTCATTTGATATTGTTGGATCTCGTTTGAGAAAAATAATTCGCTACCCAGCCATGGTTGCAAACTTCATCAGTTGATAACTGTTACTCGGGCACAATTTTATGGCAGAAGCACGGCAGGGAGAGAATACAGAAACAAACAATTTGTTTCTTATTTCAACGGCTTGGCTTTTAGTTTCAGGAAAACAAACCATGAAACTGTTTTTGGACTATTGTCTAGTCTGCTGAAGAGTAAGAGGCCCCGTTTCCAACTATAAAAATTTTGAGTGTTGCACCACCCACTCGAAAATCTAATCAGCCGTCAATTCTTCTCAATTGATTCACGAAGCAAGCATAACAAAACTCTTGGAATTATGGAAAATAGGAAGTCACTTGAAGTTTGTACAACCTACTTTCCCTCCTGATTTCTTGTGAGAGTTCCAACTCTGTGACGGGGCATGCTAGTTAGACTATGTCCCAGTCCCATTCGACACCAAACTTTTACATTATCCCTCGTCAAATTACCTTAAAATATTTGATTCTATGCCAACCTATTATGGTATTGTTACATTCTTACTCTTCCAATCCTGATTGGTGTTAAGATTGAAATAGATGTTCTTTGAGTCTGTCTCATTTGCCCTCATTTCACAGGCTTTACGGGCCTTCTGATCATAGGAGGTCTCATTGCAGCCTGCCTCTGCTCCTTACTGGCAAACTTCATCACAATCTTCTTTGGCTTCTTCAGTGTCCTGAGGTGCATGGCCTGTTCTCGGAGCGAGCGGTTGTGCGCCAGGTACTGGGGCGGTATCTCAAACACCGAGAACGTGAAAGCAGACGTGAGGGGTAGGAAGTTGAGGGCCACCATCCGTTCAAGTTTCTGCAGCTCCGAGGTGTGCCTCCGCCAGACCTCGCTGACGGACTCCCAGACACTCTCCGCAGGCGAGCTTTCCTGGGACGACTCGCTGGCAGACGGATAAACGCCGGTGCGCTTGCCGGAAGCCCGGGACGGCGTGCGAGCTGACTTGTCATAGAAATCACGGCTGCTGTGTCGTACCACGGTGGACTGCTTCATCAGTTTGGCATCCAGAAGTTCGTCTGTCATTTGTTGGTTAAGGTTTCCAGCGAGTCCCATATGTGGTGGGGATGGTGTTTGTCTGCTCTTTAGCGGGGGTTGCCTGGGAGTGTCCCAGTCAAAGGTTTTTGGCAGGGTGGAGTAAGTCATTCGGAAAGATTTGTCCGTAGAGACGGGAGGCAGAGAGCCGGCTGGAGGTGGGGAAAGACTCAACTCGAAATTGTCGAACTGACTGAACAGAGACTTCATCTGGGGTGATTTAGTTTCCCGTTCTCGCAATTCCTGTTGATCAGAGATTTCCTTGCTCATTAGTTCTCCCTTTGTGGATGCAATTGATGGCAGAAATCGGTCGGTTAATTCCGGTGACAATTTCTCGCCTTTTTGCTTTGTGACAAGCTGCTCAGCAATATCATCTTGAGCTTTTTGTTTGTCAATCTTTTGAGAGCGTTCTGTCAGTTGCCTTGGAAGGATTTTTCCCTTGGATTCACCTTCCTCCCTTTCTCGAGGAACAGGTTGTCTTTTACCTGGTCTCGATGTGTACCTTTGTTCCTCATCGATCTCTCTTGCGATGGGTACGTCCTCTTGCCCCTGTTGTCTGTCGACAAACTCCTGCAGTGCATGGTCGGTTCTGGGTAGCCCAAGGGATCGTTTCCTGTCTCTGGCTTTAGACCTTTGCTCAGTATCATGGACTCCCATTGAAGGCAGCTGTCTCGGCATTGCGTTCAGAGGTGGAAGTGCCGTGGCTGCAGCGTTAGACTCCCGACGAGGGGCTGAGGCATTGGAACCCGAGTCCTGTGTGAGATACCTGCGATCTTGGCTTTGTTTGGTGGTATCATTTGCCAGACCCTCCCCCGATGGTTTGGGGACCATGCCCAGAGCGTTCGTCTGGGCAAGGGTTTCCCTTGGAGTCGCAAACACGTGCCGCTCTAGGTTCCCTGGCCTAGTGTCTGGCTTTCCTGTCACATTTCGAACGGCAGTGTTTCTGATAGGAGCTGCCATCTGATCTCTAGACGCTGACATGTTCCCCCTGCCAATATTCCAATGACTCCCTCGTGAAGTAGCACCCTCTTCAGCTGATGATGAGGTGCCTCTATTTTGGTTCTCCTCGCTGTCTTGCATCACACCCATGTAACTGACACTGCTCTCGCGCCGGTTTTTCTCCAAGGCCGAACCCTTCCCCAAATGTTGTGTCGAGCTTGGGATCTTTCGACCATTGGCCCTTTCTTGACCAGCTGGTTGTTCAGAGTCCCCATTGCCATGGCGACAGAGACTACTTCTGGCCGACTTAGCTTCCTGTCTCTCAGGTGTTGCGGATTGTTCCCGCTTGTCCGGATCCTCTGCATCATTGATAAGCCTCTCAAATGATTTGTTGGATTTGGCATCATCGGCACCCGCAGAATTATTAAACGAAGCCGTTCCGTTGGACAGATTTTGCAGAAGTCCATTTCTGGTGACTGTAACCTTTGAGATTGCATGAGCCGGTTTCTCTTCTTCGGACAAATATTCTCTGTCCTGAAACGCATCACCTTTAGATATCATATCTCGGTCTACTTCGCAGGTTTGTGTGTTATGTGTGTTGGAAATTCCCCCTCCATTTTCTTTGAGTCGCTCATCATCCATCACGTTCGGGGAGATATTCATTAAGTGTTCTTCGGGTAGCCCAATTTCATCATCAACAGGAAATTCATTTGCTGGAAGTAGACTTTCCTCTTCATTCCGTTGTTTGTGACTATTGGGAACGCCTTCACCAAGCCTTGTTTCGTTTGACCAGGGATCATCAGTTCTGGGACTCACACAATTTGAATAACATGCTTGGTCACCAACCAGCTCTTGATTGTCTTCAACAAGCTTTGTTGCTACTGCTGCATCACATTTCTGAGGGCTCAGGCCTTTGTCCAGGTCAACAACATGAATCGAAGAAATACTTGATGCTTGCTCAGCAACGGAATTTGTTAGATCTGCAGTACAATTTTCATGAAACTTGAAAGTCACTTTTGCAAAAATATAACATTTTTAAAGTTATAACCGACAGATAAGAGAACAGATTTGGACTTTATTCTCGATGCGATGGTAGCTTACAAAGACATTATTGGACACCACTTTTGTAAATGAACTGTAAAACACAGATAATGCCGTAAGTCATAACTTCATTAAATCAAACATAACATAAATAAATCATAACTGGATGTTTGGACACCATAGGCCTATGTATTACCTCTTTTTGTGTCGTTAGTTGAACCGAACAAGCAGGGCTCAGTTCCTGTCTGTACAGGGCGGGAATCGGGATCTCCCTTGGCGTCTCCTATATCAATGCTGTCGTTATCTTCCCTATTGCGCCTTCTATCGTGTTCATCTTCCCGGGAGGAGTACTTGGCACCTTCTCGATTTCTTCTCAATTTTAAGGATTGCGATACAGCGTTTGGCAATACCGCAGTATCTTGTGGTCTGTCTGGTGTTGGATCTCGATTCATCGAAATGGTGCTGTCAGATTCACTTGCCACTTGGACAGGTTGACTCTGGGTGGTGCGAACTTCCAATATCAAGAAATGACGATAATCAAAATTTTGAATCAACACGACTTCTGCTTCTTCTCATAGCCATCTCTTTAAAGAGTTATGTGGTGAAAACTTATATGCTACATCATTATATTCGACCAGTAATGGGTACCATTTCCTATACTGAGTTTCCTATACTGTCTTTCGACAGAGGAGGTTGTCTCTGTAAAAGACATTGTTTACTTACAAAGAGGAGAGTGCAAAAAAAATGCATCAGAAATGGAAGAAACGAAGTAGTGGATAAAATGAGTTTGTATTGTCATACACCGTTTCTCAGGAGATGGAGATGCAATACCTGTCTTATCCGCCTCATCCCCCATCCCTGTCACCGACATCTTCACATGCCCCGTTCCAGGCATCCACACTTTGTCGCACGTATGAGACACGGAGGGGCAAGGGATGTTCTCGCCTCTTGGGGGCGGGATTGTCAGAGTCTGAATGGCCTCAAGGAAGCATTGCTTGTCGACTGGTGTCAGCCGAGTGAACTTCTGATGAATCAAAATGTCAAGGCCAAGTATGCATGAGGTCAATTTCAAGGAGCTTTCTCGATGGAAATCATTTGCAGAATGAAGACAACTTCCAAGAGCAGAAACAGGTTTCTAGACTTTTTTCTTTGATGCGAATGTTGTTTCAGGGATTAGGAACCAGTTGTAGTAATCACAAGCTAATTACAAGTCATCAAATGACGAGCTATTCGCCTCAGATGTGGATGAGACTTTACTTTGTCGTGTTCATCTTTCACGTGTCATGTGACTCGTGATTTCACGTGATCCACTGGGTGGCGTCGATGTCACCGAGTTTCTCCCAAATACCTCAGTACAGTGAAATGAAGTGTTTGCTTACGGATTTTGTACTATTTACTCTGATTGTCAGTATTTCATAATTCACTTCATTTAAACTTTATAATATTAATGCAGTTGAAATCAACAACATAATTATACTGCATATAATACAAACATAAAGAAACAGGGGAATTACTTCATCTGGGATAGCACAAAAAGTGGTTATTGCCATTGAGGACTTATTTGAGGTTCCATGTTACATGTATATTGTTCTGCCGTTTATTTGTGACCGCGATGATGAGACACGACTTCTTGGGAAAACTAGGCCTGATAAACCAGACGGTATGATGAAAACATGATGTGATTAAGAGGTGGGTTGGAAAGTCTGGATAATATTTTCAGCCTGTTGGAACACATCACTACGGCAACCTGTCTCTGGAACATTGATTTCCCCTGAACAACGGATCAAGGTACCACGCTCGAACAAGCCAATAATGTACCTGCAGTATTTCCTGACTTCGACTTGTGATGGCGAAGCTAGGGCCGCTCACGCGTGCTTCGGGCTCATTACAGTTGGGTGGCAGTCGGCCGTAATCCGCCCAGTGTTTCAGGCACCTGCTGCAGTGAAACACCGGCTGTGCTAGTCCGCCACTGTCACCTCGGCGTCTGGTGATCTAGGGTGAACGACGTTGAGATAGGGTACGACCTTTACTCTCCTTATATAAAATATAATTTGCTGGGGTAATAGTGGTATATATTTTAAGTTACAACATCTGCGTTGATCACACCCATCCATGACGTGTTTCTCATTGAATACGGTCCGTTGTGAGTCTTCTAGATCTGTGGGTGTTTTCGGATAAGGTAATTTATAGCACATTATCTCTGTCACACCATTCAGGTGTTCTGTTGAGGTACGCGGGCAGGTGACTCCTGGGCCTTTCTTTGTTCGTTAGTTTGCATCCCCTTATACCTTGAGTTGCTTTCAGCCTTGCAATAGCCCATGGACAACTTCCATTTTTAAGAAAAGTTTTTTTCTCGGAACAAAGGTCTGGCGTTTGTGCGTTCACATTTGATTATCACGCTATAGCATAATATTTTATCTATCAAAACGTTGAGGTGTTAATCAATAGGCGTGTTCGTCATCTTCGATACATAATTATGACGACATCTACGGTTAGTTGTGGAGGTCGACGACTTTCAAGTTTGAGGTGAAACCATGTGACGACAATTTTGTGAATTACACCGATGCTCGGCACTGAGGAGAACCATTTTTAACTCAACATTTCGAAAAAGCTGCTCTGTTTGTTGTCAGGAGCCAAGTTTACTTTTAACATTTCTTCTCAAAACATACATAACCCACAAGAAATTGAGAAAAATGGTTTCACCACAAACTTTCAAATTCGTAGACCTCATGCCAACCTGCAATTGATCAAAGATATCACCGCTAATATCGCATAAGAAGATGTCACATGGTGTAACCAAAGTCCCTTTGGTGGCATCATGGCATTGTCATTACCATCGTTATTGTAATTGTCATTTAGTCACTGTTTGTGTCATATTATTAGGCCTACATCACAGTACAACCCCCCTCCCGAAGTACCGCAACCAACGATTATTCGCAAACTTTAAGTTGCTAGCGCTTGCCTGAATGATGACGCCCATGGACTGACACAGCAGCAGCTTCTTCAAACTCTCTTCTAAGGATCGGATGTCATCACCATGGAAACGGCTTGGAGGAAAACCCAACTCGCTCGCGACCCGGACAGCATTCGGTCGATGTCTCGATTTCTGTCCACAGTAAAAAAAAAAATCATTAGGTGGCTGTGGCGGAACATGGACGAATCACAAAGCGTTGGAGGCAAGTTTTATACGGGGTCGAAATCAGAGTTTAACCTGATCCCCATCCCTTGTAAACCATCCACCAATTATAACCCAAAAGCAGGCCCTATGCATGGAGAATGTACAATGTCAATATTTTCCGGGAATTTAGCATTCCCCGCTGACTGAAAAAGGGTGAACCTTCGGTACCCGTTTCCAGTAAATATTACCCTAACCAGATCTGTCCCTGTACATTACCTCGTACTCTCGTCTGGCACCCGTTCGGGTCCGGGGAGGAGGCAGTTTCAGGTCCTGGCCCTCGATTGACAACAAGACGTCAATGGCACTTGCTGCTCCTTCTCTTTGATGAGTCGCAGTGTTGAGGTCTGGAGGATGGTTGCTCACTTTGAGCTGGAGTAATTTCATGACAAGGAAATGCTATTGAAGAAATTCTGTATTGTCTATAACCTTACTCCGTGTCTGTATCAACAACAGATGAAGCTCTGTGGCGTGACCAATCGTGCGCGCATGTGTTCTCGGCTCACTAAGATACAGTCTGCACTAGATATCATTATACACCGTAATGACCCTCTTTGAAAGATAACGAAACATATTCGTAGTAAAATTGTTTTCAATATGGGGCAATATAAATCTTCCAATTGAAAATGGCTGTCAAAACCGAAAACAAGCACGGGGGTATGAAAGAAATTTCTTTTGGGCATTGCTTTTCTTCAACTGGCACTATGATTATGAGAGTGAATATTGAAAGTGTAAAGGGTAAGTTCGTGATCACCTTGGTAGTTTTCTTGGACCGCGGGAGTGTTGGTAGTTGGCCTGGCGTTAGACAGTGGAATCGGACGTCCGCTACTCGCGCATGCGCCCTAGTAGTGTCTATGGCTGGTAAACACACACCGGTGTCTTTACTGAGATCGTAGGGAGAGACGACTTGTATGGGTACTGGCCGCCGAGCACCAGCAGGCTGAAGGTCAACGTAGGTCAGAAGTGGAACTGGAGGGAGTGGTGCCGAGATTGGGCTTATAGCTCCATGGTTTGATGGAGTATCGGCTTGCCTTCGGACTGAGCTGGTTAGTTCCTTGTAAGTGGAGAGAGTAAGAAAACATTAACTCGTATGAGTACTGGGTGGATGACAACAAGATGTTGTCTCGATAGTCCAGAGTACCATTGGTCCGAAGTCCCATTGGTCCGACGTCGATTGGTCCGACGTCTCATTGGTCAGACGTCCGGGTCCGACGTCCCATTGGTCCGACGTCCCATTGCGTCGGACCATGGGACTTCGGACCAATGGGACTTCGGACCAATGGGATTTCGGACCAATGGGACTTCGGACCAATGGGACTTCGGACCAAGCTTATTACGAGCTTTTCGATTAGAACAGATATAATATAGGCTTAGGCCCACTAGTCTGTTTTTACACAATATCCGCTCAGATGACTGGTCTAGGCCTACTTAAAATCGCACAAGATTCAATTTGATTTGTCAAGTGGCATACATCTTCACAAACGTCCACTAATATTATAATCTCACCTTGAAAACCGTTTTCTCTGCAACATGCCAAGCAAAAGTTAAAAACTTGGCTGCCCTTTGATGTTTCCTTCTTTAAGTCGGACCCTCTATTAGTCTTTACTGTATATGGGCTGAGCAGGTCTAGTTTCCAAGAAGAAAGCGGCTTTTATAACCCATCGCTTGACTCTGGTCCATCTTACCCTTGTGTCAAGAACATCCACAGCCAGGCTAGGTCCATTTGACACGGTAGACTCGGCATCGTCTGGCCCCACCAGGACATCACCAGGGTTGACACTGACAGCAACTTGAGCCAGTCTTATCGCAGACATCCTGCTTCTGTTGTAGACTGAAGCATGGTCTTTCACGACATTTTGTCCATTATCACTTAGCCGACCGGTCAGCACATCGTCATGGTTGGCAAATATGGCTAATTCTAATTCTAGAGGGAATCTTGGCTAGTATAATGATCATGAAATTTCTGAAAATGCAGCGGATGCACGCGTTTTTGGCCTAGAATACTAGTACGCGGTAGGCCGGAAGTTTGCTCGAATCGCGCGCCACTTTGCGTCTGCGCACAGATACGCCCACTGGCGAGCGCAGCTAATGGGCGTAGCGAAAGTATTTTTCTTGTGGGGGATATTTTGAACTCATTGATCTCTATTAGAAAGACTAAATTAATGGAGATCATTGGTTGAACTCAATTCGACTTTGAGTTGTTATTCAAAATATGGGGCCCCGTCTGTCTTTGGGTACAAGAAGCAAAGGTTTGCTCAGTCGCTCATTGAAGTCATATGGAGCTATAATAAAATACATTTGAATTGTGTTGAGGTCAGTAAATTTTCAGGTAGGCCTACTGAGGTATGGTGGACTTGCAGGGACATATGGAGGGGCATAACATATCGTGATTCCTTTGCGATGTCATGAATTTATTCACGACTAGTAGTGGTGAAATTTTCGTGACATATTGTGAATATTTTTCCGACGTCGTGAATATTTTCGCAACGTCGTGAACATTTTGTGACTAGTCGTGAATTTCTTTACGACCGGTTGCGAACATTTTTTGGGACGTGGTGAATATTTTTTTGGACGTGGTGAATATTTTTGCGACTAGTCGTGAATTTATTCAAAAAAATATTTACGACGTCGCAACAAAATATTCGCTACTGGTCGCGAATAAATTCATGACTATAGTCGCACTTGAAATATTCACGACGTCGCAAAAATATTCACGAATGGTTATGAATAAATTCACGATTTGTCGCAAAAATATTCACGACTAGTCGTGAATAAATTCACAACGTCGCAAAAAAAATCACGACATGTTATGTCCCTTCAGGGCCACCATACTGAGAGAGACCTGCTGCTGTGGTTATCCAAAGGGTTCATCATAAGAAGGCATTATAAGGGTCTAGTCTGGTTCCCAGACCAAAAGATTCCGAATATTCCTGATTTAGACGTGTAGACGTCGGGGGAAATTGTCAGGTCGGGGGACCAGACTATATAAGGGTCACGGCCAGAGCTCAGGAAATACAATGTACCTCACGGGACACTGCACAGCCAGCACACGGGTCATAAACGCTGGCAATTATATGCAGCGTCATAGAACGAACAATCATCCATGCGTCAACTTGGTGCCACTGTACTCTCTAAATGCAGAATAATCTCTCATTCTAACGAGTGTGAAAACCCGGAACGTTCGTAACTAATAGTTGTACACACTAAGTCTAGGCCTACTGCATTTTCCTTTCCTGACGACTCAATAATTATGGCGGCCAACACCATACTTTTGAGTTTCATTGACAAACCCGTGTTTCGGTTGTATGCGACTTATGCGGCCGTCGTCACCCTAAAGATGATGTTTCTGTCGGCTTGGACTGTGAGGTACAGATTATCTCGAAAGGTTAGTAATTATAAGGATATCATGGAGGAATTCCTCCAGCGTGCGATAGTGCTCTGTAAGCTTGCCCTCAGTCTATGGTTGAACTTTGTTCCCTGTAAAGCACAGTTGAAATGAGTTCAGTTGAAAATAAGTTCGTGTGATCAGTGTCATGACTAAAGATGTGGGGCTAAATTTTAAGATTCACTATAAATAACTGGCATTGTATAGACCTATTTGCAGGTATGTATAATGTCGATGATGGTTTACGCATAAAGATGAATGCACGAAAGGTTAAGTCATGTGTAGCCAAACGAACAAAATTCCGCTATAACATAAACATGCCCTCAGGTTGCATATTATTTTGTATTACACTGGAGTACGTGTCATGTCCAAGCGGTTGAGACTAATAAGAGCACCGGACTCAACCTCCGTGGGACGTGTTTCTGATTAGCAGAGTGCAGTATCTAGTCCCAGTCTCGACACTTGTGTCCTTAGGCAAGACACTTAACCATTAATGCTTCGTCCTTCGGATGGACGTAAAGCCCTTCTCTTATTGCTAAGAGAAGGGGTTTGCCCCAGACTTTCTGGCAGTGATGACTGCTTAGTAGTGCGCCACAGCACCTTGTAAACCTTAAGACTCCGGTATGGGTGCACGCCTGTAAGGCCTAAAGCCATCCGCCGAGCAGTTTATATGCTCTCAAACTATTCTTTTTAACATTAAGAATGTTTTTCTCGACAACTGAGGGCGCTGTTGCTGTGATGTCAATTAAGGAAGACACTGAGTTTAGGCCGGGTTTTCTGTTCAAACTGTGAACTCCAATTGAAAACTTATGTGAGAAAGGGTTGCTCATTGGCTTTAACATCACTGTTTCTGCCCGGAATGGACATCACTGTTTTGCTCAGGAATATGGAAATGTGTGCATCAGCATAACAATTAAAAAGGCACCAAAATTCCGTTGATAGTGACAAAACGAAAATTTAAAATGTGCATTTTAAGGGGCAGTATAAAGAATATTGCATGGTATCATAAACTATCATAAAATTATGAATCCAGCATGCCTGAAAACATAGATATTGATACCAGGACATCCAAGTCGACGAAATACAAGCATTTCTATGAGAAAAATCGTTCTTAGCGGGTATTTTTGGCGGCCACCTTGAAAAGTGGCCGCCATCTTGGATTTTCAAGTGGCCAATCGGGCAGATTTGTGAAGTATACCCTTGCGAATCATTGTGCCGAATTTAGTGCTTCTATCGCCATTTTGCACGATTCCACTGCAAAATTGATCTTATCTGCTATACTATGGGCCCTTAAGGTTTATTGGAGCAGTAACAAGCGCTAAAGGCAATAAATAAAAGCAGTGTATGGAGGGGAATATACAACAAAAATTAATGATCAAAATGTTTCGTTCTTAATCTGATGACCTATGAAATTTATGAAAAAAATATTTGTTTTGATTGAATGATTTGTTTTCTAGGTATTCATGAACCTTGAGGACGCAGAGGGTAAGAAGGAGAGAGTCAGAGAGGACGAAGATATTGAACGAATTCGAAGGTATTATTATGATGATGCTTTCGGATTAAAACAAAAATGTCGACAACGATTTAGACGGGAAGCGAAACGAGATTAAATGAACGATTTCACGATGGATTGGAATTTTTTTTCACATGAGCGTTCAGCGAACTTAAAAAAAAGAATGTTAATAAAGTTAAATTATGCAGAGGCGTATCCGGGGGTGGGGGATAAGGGGTTATTTGTTTTAGAAAAAAAAAGTGTTCTTTTTACCAGCGGCCTTTTTATTAATGCCCTTTTTGGAATTTCGCGCGACCGTCGGCAGTTGTTGTGCCCCGAAAAGCGCCACCTATTGTCCGATATTGTGCATAATCGTCCGGTTTGACCAGCGACCCCATTGGAGGATGGAACCTGCCTCCCCCCCCATTGTTTTTATTTTACGAAGGCAAAGTGTCCGGAGAAAACCCTTTCAGCACGGATGTGCGAGTGCCGTTTTAACAAACGTTTTACCACCCCCAATGAAAATGACATTACTAAGATTCTGTGATGTTGCTACTTGCTACATATATTTAGATATTAGAAGGAACAAAGTTGCTTGCAGAACTTGGCCCTAAAAGACAACGGCATTGGTTTTTAGTCCCGAAATTATATAGTAAATGATACTGACTCAGCGCAAAGCTGTTTGCGATATTGTTTTCACATTCTAGATATTTGCTGCATTGTAGCAATCATCCATTGTTGACATGCAGGAAGACATATAGGCCCACAACTTGCATTTTTCTCTTTCACAACTCGAAATATATGGAGGATTCTTCAGAACTCTCAATTTCGTCGCACCGAAACCCCAAACTCTCCTATTTACAAAGAGTGACATTTAGTTTAATCGAGTGACAATTAACACCTACCTTTTAGAGTAAAATTCATTCAATTAAATAAATTGAGTGTTCCTTCGAGTTTCCATGAGATTGGTTCATTTTGTTTCAGGGCATTTGAATATAAAATGAGAGTGATTTTCACTTTAAATCGTTCGGTTGCTAGTGTCACTCTTCGGAATTTAGAGAGCACAATAAAGGCCCTACAACATAAATCTGTTCATCCCCCTTTAATTCCAGATGCCACCGTAACGACTTGGAGAACATCGTTCCGTTTCTGGTCCTGGGCCTGCTGTACGTTCTGACCGGGCCCAGCGTGTACGCAGCCGCCTGGCACTTCCGCGCGTTCGTGGCGTCTCGCTTCGCCCACACCTTGGTCTACCTGATGCACGTGCCTCAGCCGACTCGATTCCTCGCCTGCCTGGTAGGGTACGGCGTCAACGTGTCGTTTGCGGTGCAGGTGATCATGAATGGCCAACTGTAGGTTTTGGGATTCGACAAAACACGAGGCGAATCCAACAATAGGAGGTCGGCTTGGGGATTAGATGTCAAGGAGGGGGAAAGTTGGATATACAGGGCGAGTCAAAAAAAAGCAAACCCCAAATGTCGGGACTATTGTCTTGGTGACGTTCTGCATGTAGCACTTTCAAAATCTAGGATATAAAAGCCCAATTCATAAGCTTTCGTTTAGTACAAGAATCATTCAAATCATCTATGTACTTTTCAAATTATGGAATTTAAAACACAACCATCGTTTAAAGGTCTGTCCACGGAACACAAAAAATATGCGTTCTTAAACAAAACAATTCACACACATGTGATTTGTTTTCATTTTGCTGAAAGAACACTCATCTTCTTGTGATCGGTGGACAGAACTTTAAAACGGTGGTTGTGTTCAAAATTCTGTAACTTGAAAAGTACGTGAGTTATTTGAACCGATCTTTTAAAAGAAAGCTCATGAATTGGGCTTTTATATCCTAGGTTTTGAAAGTGCTACATTCTGAACTTTACTAAAACAATGGTTTCGACATTTGCGTTTCGGTTTTTTACGCACCCTGTACGTCAAGGGGACGGGCCGCAAATTTTCTTTTCCCAAACGACATTTGCATTGGGTGTACGCTATGGTATTTTGGACTTTACTTCTCTAAAAACATGAGAAGAAAATATACCATTAGAAAAAAAGAAGTGAATTCGAACGTAATGAAATTTGGACTTAATTTCCCTTGAAGAAATAAAAGAATCCTCCTAGAAAATACCTGCGTACGTATCATAAAAGTATCGTAGAGGGCGCTAAACAACCATGTATAGTCATGGATGTAGTTTGGGAAAAGAAAATTCGCGGGCACGTAATTTCCTACTTTTGGGGCCATGATGCACTCCTTTTGCGTCATCCAACGTCTTTAAAATCAGCCAACAATCTGAGGAGATTTTGTGCTATCATCAGTCAACGTTTTAAAGCTATTCACTAGGTTGGGCCTCGATCGGCGACCATCAGAATTCAAGTACGAGAACTGAACTTTAATACACTCAATAATCGTACATAGCCAAGAGTGAATCTATAACTCGGCAAAGTTGATCAATACTTAAAGCTAAAACAATATTTACTGCATGTCGTGACTTTAGTTTAGTTTAGTTTAACATGTGGCCTATAATTGAACATCACCAAGTTCTGCAATCGTCACATAGTGTTTTTTATACTGTGCTTGGGTAATGTGTTACCAACCTTATGTCGATGAAGGGCTATCCTCATATTTCGTCTTCCGTCAAAGTAAACATTAGGCCTATACTGACATTTTTCTCCCAATCGGACTTTTAGGCTTCATTTTACTGGTGCTGTCGATGTCATTTTCGTTCACTTATGACAACTTTGTGATGGTACTGCTGTCTTGTCATCTTTTGATATGAACTTGAAGATTATGGATGGAAACATTTTCCTGCATTACATGATTTTTGTGCTTACTTATGAAGTATATGCAACAATGTCTGCTCCAGCATGATTTTCTATAATTCAAGGTCATTAAAACATTTAAGTTAATTACATTTTAGTGAAACCAAAGAAAAAATTGCATCAAAGAAAACTAGAACATAAAAATGAAAATCAACCAAATGTTGATTAATCATGACCCAACAATTTAATGAAAATTTCAATCCATTTTAGGTTTGGCAAAGGTTTTTTTTTTTTTTTTTTGGTCAAATGTGGTATGTCTTAAATATTGCAAGAACATCCTTTTGGCTATACATGATGTCAACACTTTCTTAACACTTGGCAATGGGTAAAGGGGTATCTGAACAGTTGTTTTAACATTTTTAAAGGGTTAGTCCAACACTTTCCTACACTGTCAAATTGGTGAAAGGGTAATAAAATGGTTATTCTAACATTTTCAAAGTGCTGGCAGTAGTCGGGCGCTTTTTTTCCGAGTACTGAGTACCGTCGGGTACTGCAGGTTGCCGAGTACGAGTACGAGTAGTGCTACTTCTAACTCCGAGTACAAGTAATTTCAAAACAGCCGGGATGCTCTTACCTTCCTTATTCGGCCCCTCCTTCCCCGTAATTTTGGCTTGCCGACTGCTCGTCTGACAAAAACACGCCCTTCTGAATCTCGCCACGCGGTGGCGCTTTCACAATCACTTTAACCAAAAAATATAACCCAAACACTCACTTTTTAACTCAATAAGTTTTAACCCACAATATCAACCCAGAGAAGTGTGCAGATTTAACCAAACGTGTGTTTTTCGTGATTGCTTTACCCCAAAATATAACCCAAATTCCGGTACCCAAAATTTGGGCTAAATTTGACCCAGGTAATTTTCAGTGCACCCTTTGCGACCGGCATGTTTATGAAATGCCAACACAGTAAGTGTGAGACAGTGGCCAAGTCGGTAGGGTGTCGTTCTCAAAACAACAACCTTGGTGTTGGAGGTTCGAACCCCAGGTTGTCACAACCGACATTTTTTTTGTTTCTAGAGAGCAGTGGGAGGGGGGCGGCTGACAACATGAACCACACGTAACTTTTGACGTCACCCCCTTTGCGACCTGCAGGTTTATATCATACAAAAAAATATTTAAAGAGCTGCGAAGTGATATTGCTGTTAATTTAATCGGTTGAGTGGATATAATTATGTCCACCTGCCCACCCTCTTAAACATGATAAGAGAATATGCTTGAAAAGTACAGGGATTTGGGGGAGGGAATGTGATTTCCCCCTTCAGAAAAAAACTTTGCGACGCCCGTGGTATTAAGTATTAGTAGGTACGTTTCTTAATTGCCCCTAAGGACGTAACATGTACGTCCATGCACGTTTGTTATCTTCTCAGTGATTGCCCAATTCCCTGTCACGTGGCATAGCTATAAGTTCCTTTTACGTTCGGGTTATGAATAGGAGGCGGGCACATTATAAAGAGCCTAATACCTTGAATGAATAACTTACGCCACGGCCTTTTCAATTCATTGGCCGGGGCACAGTGTCACAACACAGGCAATAGAAGGAAGGCCCACCGCTCCACCCTAATTCTATAGAAATATCTCACAGTGTTGAAGCAATGATAGTTTCGTTCGCAACTGTTGGTTTACCGCATTTGAAAAGCGCAGCATTTCGTTCAGGTATTGAACCCTCTACGCAGATAAAGTGCTATAATTATGTAAAACGTCAATCAACGAAAACAAACATGAAAATAGAACACACCATTAAAAAATAACAAAATTTTGGAATATACCTTTCAAAGGGAAACAAATATTAGAAACGCATGTTTACCGATCACAGTTTTGATATCTTACATTGGTATTTGGCTTGATAGATGTATGATCATTATGTAATACGTAGAGCACACAGGATCACCCCACCCGAAAACCGTAGGAGGGGGGGGGGGCAATTAAAAAAAAAACAAGTTCCAAAAGTAATAAATTTGTATTTTAAGACGCAGCTGTTTGGAATACTTAGCTTCATTATGTTGATACACAGGCCATACAACGTTTTTGAAATAATCCAGGGATGAGTTATACCACAAAATGCTTAATTTATGTCAATCACAACGAAATGCCCACCACCGACTACTGTCGGACAAAAATACCAGTATGGGTGGACAGGAACATTTTACAAACCATACCATCATGTTTGTGTGCAACACCTTACATCAACAAGGGCCATAAAACAATACCCATACAGGGGTGGATCCAGCATTTTTCGCGGGGGGGGGGGGGTATATCGGCACCCCTTTGGATCTGCACCTGCCATACTCGTATTTGGAAGGGTTGTAAATGGGGGAATTTAGGACAGTTTGTTTACGTCATGACATAGCTCAACCTAGCATGACGAAGACATGATATGGCCTGTTTCTCAATATAATTAAGCTTCGTATCGTATTTAAAAGCGTGTTCCAACGATAAACAACAAAACGACGGTTGTAATTTAGTTTAGGCCTAAACATCAAACATCCTCTGAGGACCGCCCCTTTGATACTGAATATCACCCCGCGTGGTTTATTAGTTTTTAATGAGAATATTGCAGATGGATTTGTTTGTCTGATCACATTTTCTTTCTTTTGGACGAATCAGCTTATTCCAATCCTAGTCATTAGGATCTAGGAGCCCCTGTTATATAATACCATTGTGAATCTGTAATGCTAATAATTCAGAGTGTGCCGAGAAAGCAAAATAAATAGTTACAATACGAATACAAGGTAAAACTACGAGATGGAACGACTGCGAACTTTACCAGTACTTCCACTGCCGCCGCCTCCACCACCACCACTTCCACCGCTTCTGACCGAAATGCCCCTTTCTCCTCCTCCACCACCACCTCCAGTTTCAAGAAGTGCCCTTTATTTCTGAACAAGTGCCCTTTTTAAAAAAGAAGTGCCTGTAAAAAAAAAGTGGTTCCCGTTTTTTGTGGCATCTGCCGTTTTGGATGCCTTTTTCAGAATTTTGCATTGTATCGCCCTGAAAAAAAAAAACATATATTGGCCCTTTGTGTGCATAATTGTCGGTTTTGAACAGTGCCCCCATCGACAGATGGGACCAGCCCCCCCCCCCACGCTTTTTGATTTGACGGAGGCCAAGTGTCCGGAGAAAAAACCTGTCTACATTTTACAACGGATGTGCAAGTGCCCTTTAAAAAAAAAAAATGACCCCCAATAAAAAATGACCAATGATCAGTGTCAGGGCAAGTGTTGGGAGAAAAAAAACATGTCTACATTTCGGCGCGGATGTGCAGTTCCCCCCCCCCCCAACATCAAAAGCTGGATACGCTGCTGCCTAAGCTTCCAGCCATCACGTGGAAAATCAATGTATGCCATGTGGACCCGATGTCTGGTCAACCATACCATCACGTCTCAGCCAAAAGGCACGCATGTCAATCACGAGTCGCTCAGTGAACTGGGATCATTATCATGTATAATGGCTTATACGGTGTATAGTCACAGCCAATCACAGGGAGGCCGCAAGCGTTAGGTTCACTGCTCTCGTCCTACGTCCAGAGATCAGTGCTGCCCATGGTGGCATAGGTTTTCGTTCGGGAATTAAGAAACGTACCTACTGTAGCCGGTCAATAGGGTGTCGAGAGCAAAGGTTTGCTTAATGATATGTCAGGGACAAGCGACCCATCGTGCTGATGTCACTGAATTTTTAGGTCAGCCTACTTCAGTATCATTATCTCTTTGTACAAAGGGATCAGGTCAACCCTCGCATACACGTATCACAAGGAGTCGATCACGGTTCACAAGATAAAAAAATCTGCAGTTTCATTCCAATAGCCACAACACTATAGCGGACGGCTTGTGACGGACATCGTTAGTACTAGTCTACTGCATGTTCTTCCTGACTAATCGATATGGCTGGCTACAGCGAACTTTTGAGCTTTATGGACATCCCGGTGTTTCGGTTGTATGCGACTTACGCGGCCGCCGTCACCCTAAAGATGATGTTTCTGTCGGCTTGGACTGCGAGGTTCAGACTCTCTCGAAAGGTTGTTTTGGAAGGTGTACCGAGTTTAACTTCTGCTCAGTACTCTGACCATGACCGAGAGGCTACTCATTTCAACTGTACTCACGGCCATGGTCAGAGTATCATAAGGACCCCCCCCCCCCCCCCGTTCGACGCCCAGTTAATGTAGGCCTAAGCCGATGTGATCAAAGTTGAAATTTTTACAAAGCCAAGCACCTCTCTTTATTAAACTTGTTAAGTCAGTGGTCTCGCTAAAGTTTGCGATACATACGGTATACTGCGTTCACTGTTATTTACTTACACTTACGATTTAATGGGAATAAGTAGCCTATCAGACTTCATAAGCCTTTTTGACCCCCGTATCTCTTCCAGCACTAAGCTCATGTTTGAAAGAATTTGTAGTCTTGGCATTCACAACATAACTTGGTAGATCGTTCCAGGTGTTGACTACTCTCCGGGAGAAAAAATCTTGTTTTCATCTCAGGGCTTTGTTCATCCCAGTCTTAAAGATCTTCATAAGTAAGATTTGAGGCTTTGCATGGTGGAGATACTAAACAATGAAAGGTTTGCGGAAACACCATGTGCGAATAATTTCTCAACTAAGAGAATGGTTCTGAAAAGAACCAGAGGTATAAACTCGCCTTGGAGCTTGTTGCCTGATGAGTGGTATACACCTTGACACCTTGACGCCGGCTTGTCGGAGGATGCGTCGGAGATGATGAGAAGCTGGACCTATGTATGTACGAGTGACTGAGGGAGATACATTGGAAGGACCTTGGGTAGAGGAGACCCGTTGGTCAGGTTTGCTGATCTTGATGCGGTTGGATTTGTAGCCGTTCCGTTGTAGTGACGCCTGGATGTGCTTGAGTTCACGCTTGAGGTTGTTTTGGTCGCAGACATCAAAGGCTCGCTGTACTAGGGTCCGGTTGACCGATGATCTGATGCTGGGGTGATGAAACCACGGTTGGTGGAGATAGGGTGCCATCCGGTTTCCAGGAGATCATGACGTCCAGGAAAGATATGTTCTTGTTCCATGGTGAAGCTGATGCTGGTGTGTTGCTGGTTGAGGTACTGGAGGAAGTCTTGGAGTTTGTCCTGGCCATGGGGGCACACTACGAAGGCGTCATCAACGTAGCGTAGCCACAGGCTCGGCCGAAGATCCGCTGTGAGGAAGGAGGAAGCTTTCGCTTCTGCTACACAAGTGTTTTCCCTCTTAGAGTTTAGGCACTCTCCTGAAGACGGTCAGAGCATACTGACCGGAACGTCGAGTTTATACCTCTGGTTCTTTTCAGAACCATTCTCTTAGTTGAGAAATTATTCGCACATGGTGTTTCCGCAAACCTTTCATTATTTAAAGATCTTCATGTTGTGTCCTCTTGTTTCTGTTGTGTTGGAGATTTTGATTGGCCCCACTGTACAGTAAATTAACCTAAATATGCTTTGCAGGTCATGATCTTGATCCGAAGGTGTTCTTGAATTGTTTGGGGTTCGGGTACGACCCGATCACCTTTTTGAAATGGTACATATTAATATGTCTTCCTTTGTTGGGTGTAGAATGGTTCGAATAATGATCTTCTTTATTTATTTTTTTTCCAGACCATAATACTCCGCGGGTTTTATCTGAAACTGGTTTTGGTATAACTAGTAACTTTGAACATATGGACCATGATACCGTGTAATACTCTGACGTCATGATGATATCATCAGTTAGCAAGTTACAAGCGATGTTAGTTGAAACAACTTCTTTCACTTGTAATTCTTGAACAAAATAATCAATGATCTTCGTATTTTGCAATCAGATATATCATTAATTGTTTCCGAAGGTCAACATATATAGGTGAATTAAAAACACAGACAGAATCCTCGAAATCAAAACGAAACTATTTTCTTTCAAACGATTCACGGGATGATGATAAAACCTGGTATGTGACGTCATCATTACGTCATCAGGTATCAATTAAATTACAAAAGATTTGGGGTCAAAATTTGAAGAATTGCTTTGAACTATAACTTTTCAGATGAATGCCAAGCGTGATCTTTGTTAATTGTATTATGCTTGTATCAGATCAGAACTATTGACTATGCCTGCATGCCAAGTGTATCATGGTGGCCTGACGGTAGCTCAATCTAATCTTCTTGAGTCTATTCAGAGACGTGCAATGAAAATCATCCTACCTGATCAATCATATTATGCTGAAGCATTGGAAAAATTCAATATTCAATCTCTATCAGCGCGAAGAAAAGATATATGTAATCCTGACCACAGTCTTAGTCATCTCTAGTTGCCTAAACCAAGGGCAGCCACCATGCCATACAACTTAAGAAATGCAAACACCTTATGTCCTCCTTTGTGCAAAACAAATAGAATGAAGAACAGTTTTATCCCCTGGTGTTTATATAACTTGCAGTAATTTTAATCACACACTTTTTTAATTTCAGAGATGTGCAATGAAAATCATTCTAACTATCGATCATATGCTATTTTAGTTTTACCCATGGTGTTTTTATAACTTGGAAGTATTTTTTTTGGGCCCTTTAGGTTTATTGAAGCAGTAACAAGCACTAAAGGCAATAAATAAAAGTAGTGTATGGAGGGGAATATACAATGATCAAAATGTTTCGTTCTTAATCTGATGACCTATGAAATTTATGAAAAATATTTGTTTTGTGATTGAATGTTTTGATAGGTATTCATGAACCTTGAGGACGCAGAGGGTAAGAAGGAGAGAGTCAGAGAGGACGAAGATATTGAACGAATTCGAAGGTATTATTATGATGATGCTTTCGGATTAAAACAAAAATGTCGACAACGTTTTCGACTTGGGAAGCGAAACGAGATTAAATGAACGATTTCACGATGGATTGGAATGTTTTTTTCACATGAGCGTTCAGCGAACTTAAAAAAAAGAATGTTAATATAGTTAAAATATGCAGAGGCGTGGCCGGGAGAGGATAAAGGGGTATTTGTTTTAGAAAAAAAAGTGTTCTAGTACCAGCGGCCTTTTATTAACGCCCTTTTTTTAATTTCGCGCAACCGTCGGCAGTTGTGCCGCCCCGATTGGTTCATTTTGTTTCAGGGCATTTGAATATAAAATGAGAGTGATTTTCACTCTAAATCGTCTGGTTCTTAGTTATGCTCTTCCGAATTTAGAGAGTGAAATAAATTTGGTCCTACAACTTAAATCTTTTCATTCCCCCTCCTCCCCCCCCCCCCCCAATAACAGGTGTCACCGTAACGACTTGGAGAACATCGTTCCATTTCTGGTCCTGGGTCTGCTGTACGTTCTGACCGGACCCAGCGTGTACGCAGCCGCCTGGCACTTCCGCGCGTTCGTGGCGTCTCGTTTCGCCCACACCGTGGTCTACCTGATGCACGTGCCTCAGCCGACTCGCTTCCTCGCCTGCCTGGTAGGGTACGGCGTCAACGTGTCGTTTGCGGTGCAGGTGATCATGAACGGCCAACTGTAGGTTTTGGGATTCGACAAAACACGAGGCGGAATCCAACAACAGGAGGTCGGCTTGGGGATTAGATATCAAGGAGGGGGAAAGGTTTGTTAATAGATGTCAAGTAATTTCCTACTTTTGGAGGCCATGATGCACTCCCGTTTGCGCCATCTAAAGTCTTTGAGATCAGCCAACAATCTGCGGAGAACTTGTGCTGTCATCAGTGAACATTTTAAAGCTAGTCTGTTAGTTACAGACGACACTAGAATGACCGTCGATCTGCGACCATCAGAAATCGCGAACTGGAACTGAACTTTAAAGCACTAAATAATCATACATAGTCGAGAGTGAATCCAACTCGACAAACCTAATCAATATTTAAACAATATTTACTGCATGTCATGACCAGCAGGGGCGGCGGAACGCTTTTCAAACTGGGGGGAAACACCAAAAAGGGGCACTTGCTCAGAAAACGGGCACCGTCGGTGTGAAAGTGACGAAAAAAGAATATGGTCCCGTTCATTTTGCTATATAAACTTATATGACGAGGAACAAAATAATTATGAATATGTTGTCCATCTTTCTCTTTGTGTTTCTTTTACTTAGCTGTAGACAGACAGTTTTTTGTTCGCGCGAGAGGCAACCTCGTTCCCCATGGGTACGATCTTGCTGCGCCATGTTGTTTCCCATCATGCCTTGAGCGATCTTAACGAGCACGCGCCCATGGAGTCGAGGCCGCGAGAGAGGCACTATTAACCTATCGATATCGCCGTTTGCAAGTAGCCACACCCCTTAGACAACCCTATGGAGTTTGTGTACACTAAGTATTGTTCGTCTCAAATTTTGCGCGTTCCGCGTCCATTTGTTTATCATATAATTGGACAATATCTATGGACAATATTTCACAAGCTGCGTTTACGCGATTCATAACGCGAATCTACCGCGATAGGTCCATTGCTTGCCAGTTCAACGACCGTTTTGTTCGCGTGAAGAGCACTATTATTTTTGGGGGCCAGTTTTCCATCTTGAGAAGGGGCACAATAATTTTAATGTTGCGAGCGGGGAACTAATTGTGCTTTCGAGGGGCAGTTTTCCGTCTCGAGAAGGTGCACACTCTTGTTAATGCGGGAGGAAACTTGTTTTTGGTGGGCGGTTTTGCATTTACAGAGAGGAGACAATTTTATTTGTAGCGATCACATGTTTTCATGATGCGTGTGCGTTTGGGGGCAGTTTTGTTTTCATCTCGAGGGGCACATTTATAACCGCGAGAGGGGAACGTTTGTTGTGTTGGGAACCCCCGCCCCCGGTTTCGCCGCCCCTGGACATGACTTTAGTGCAACATTATATTGATGATCACCACCTTCTGCAATATTGGTTTTCTGTCACTGTGTTTTGGTAGTTTGTTAACAACCTTCTGTTATTAAAGGGCTACTTCTCGTTTTCCATCAAAGTAAACACTACTGACATTTACTTCCCAATCGGACTTCTATGCGTCATTTTACTGGTGTCGATGTCGTTTCCTTTCTCTTGTGACAACTTTGTGATCATAGTTAGTTACCGCTGCCTTGTCATCTTTTGATATTAACTTGAAGATCAGTCGATGACAAACAGGATTTTTGTGCTTACTTATGAAGTATACAATATACAATAATAGCGTGATTTTCTTTAATTCAATGTTATTAAAACATTTTTAAGAATATGTAATCTGAATATGTGAAACTTGTTAAGAAAACTGTCCATAGCTACTTTGCATAAATAAAGGAAAACCAGAGAAAACATTGCAAGGAAGAAAACTAGAACAGAAAAATGAAAACCAACCAAATGTTGATTCATAACGACTCACTTTTTTGTATGAAAATTTCAATCTATTTTTGTTATTTTCAATCTGGTAGGTCTTAAATATTGCCAGATTATCCTTTTAGCCTATTCAGAACTTTAAATTCAAAGTGTTTTTTTTTTAATTCACTACCAGCGGCGTAGCCAGGGTTCTCATCATAGGGCAGCGAGTGGCTGTCCACCACTGATTATTCACCGTTCTACGAACCGATGAATGCCTATTGAGTACAATGAAACGTGGACGTGTAATCTGTGCTGCTCAGCTCAATAGCTTCTAATGGCATTCCATAGACAGCCATATAAATTGCTTCTTTTAATAAAAAGTTCATAACTCCTGGTAGCATGGCTCAATTTCAGTAATTCTTGTTTGTTAGACAAGTGGAAGAAGATGCTCTTTTCAGGTATACCGTATATTCTTCAGAAAGTAAAATCATAAACTTTGCACTGAGCTATGGAGCTATTATTTCACTTCCACCTTGTTTATAGTTTATATTTGGAAGAAATTAAATCACTTTGTGCTTATTTTGTTTGCAATTTTCTAATAATAATACTGACAGTTCTATCAAAATGGATATCAAATTTACGACTGTTTTGTTCAGCGTCATACGGACGCTATACTTTTAGTGTGTAAATATAGGTTGTGGTGAGTCAGTAGTACTGCCGTTAATGGTCAAGTGTGGACGTCTTTTTATAAGTAGTATATACCTTGTGCATTATGGCGTCCTTACCAAGAAAGCCATTATTATTTCAAGTTGTCTCTTCTATCGGTCATGTATCAAACATTAAAAACTCCTGTCATTTTGCTTAGAATTATTATCGGACATGTTCAAAGTACAGCTATGTGATATTTCAGAGGAGATTCGTAAGTCGGTGACGAAAATCGTCAGCTGAAACAAACACAGGTCAAGTTGAAAGTATAAGAACACTGACTGGCTGAAAGGGGAATCGTTTTTCCACGCTGATGTGGAAGACTGGCTTTCAAAAAGAAGTACAACGAGTAAATCAAGGGTGACATTCGTTGAGGATGCCACATCATCCGGGCCTGCAGGGGCGGATCCAGGAATTTTCGCAAGGGGGGGGGGGGGGTTCGTCAGCCAAAAAATCTGAAAATGTTCACAGGTTTTTTCTCTGGAAACTTTGCCTCCGTAAAATCCAAAACTGGAAGGGGGGGGGACTGGTACCATATTTCAATAGGGGGCGCTGTTCAAATTCGACGATTATTAAGGCCAAAAAAAAATAATAAGTCGGTCTCTTACGGAAGTGTATTTAGGACATGACCAAAAAAAAGATTCCGGCCCTCTATTTCGCCTGGGCGGATTACTAATTCGCCCGGGCGAATTATTATTTCGCCCGGGCGGATTACTAATTCGCCCGGGCGAATTACTATAGGTTTTCTCGGTCAATTTCGGCAAATGAGCAGCCAATTTAATTTTCGTGCGTTCGAATTGAAGCTATTTTGCCTCTCCAGTTGTTACTGCGTTTCAAATTCAGAATTCGGCCATTCAATTTCGTTTTGAGGCATTCAAATTCCTTTAGCACTGTGTTCAATTTAGCATATCGTCATTCTTTTTCGTGACACACAATCATCATTCAATTTAGCAAAGCTGGTTCGACTGGAGATTTTACTGATTTCATTTTTTTCAATTTCGTAAAGAGGCATTCAATTTCGCTTAAAGAGAATTCAAATAAGTACGACTAAAGAAATACGAATAAACTGTACTAGGCAACTGTTTCGTATCTTCACTTTAATTCAGGCAAACCTTGTTTTCTTTATTTATGCTTCCAGTAGACTTTACAAGGGGCCAATGAGGTTTTTTCTTCTTCTTTGTTTTCTTCTTCATTTTTTTTTGTGGGGGGGGATCTATATTGGTTAACTGACCAAGACCTAATTTTGTATTGTGTTTGAATTGGGTGTTTCTTTATGTTTTTCCTGGTTTTTTATTGTTTATGTTGTTTCTTCCTCAACCATCAATCTGTTGGCGTGCCAGACATCTTGGCATATATGTTTGGGTATGGTTGTACCACTGCATGCACTTCACTTGGGTGATGACATCAACGCTCTGGATGGCTGCTTGTTGAAGGAGATCGCACCTCCACTGCTGCATGTTCATTCCTGCTTGCTGGGCAGCCTGTCTGTCTCCGACACGTTGTTGCCACTCAGGTAACCCAAGGATGCGTTTAACTGCAGCCTTGAATGCAGAGTGTGCCATCTCCGTGCTGTTCAGGAATGGGGAGTAGGGAGGGAGGCGCTTCAGCTGGATCATTGGGTTGGCACCTTCAGGGAGATGGGCTCGCACGTGAGGCCTCGCATTGTCGTATATGAGGTAAATGGGTTCGTCGTCTGGGAAAACTGCATCACACTCTTGAATTGTGTCCGCAAGAAACTCATCGAATCTCTCTCGCGTCACAGTTTCGAATGCGATTCGGTGGTGCACCAAGCCTACTTCACTAGAAACAGCGAAGGTGACATTGCAATTTCTCCCTCGTTGTCTGTCGACGACTCGTCTTGCAGCGATCCCTCGTGGAGCTCTACCCTGGGAGCGTCGAGTCCAGACGTTATAACCTGTCTCGTCAATGAAGACTAGATGCGCCAGAACACCATGCTGCAGGAACCACTCACCATACTGGACGCGTTGATCAAGAACTTCAGGGGAATTTCTTGCACCAGGGACGTTCTCCACTAGTTTCAGTGTAATCATCATCCCATCCAAGGCCCTGGCTATGGTGGCGGTAGAAACCAGGGGCTTCTCTGGCAGATGCTCACTCAAACTAGCCTTCATTTGTTGAAGTGTCAAGACGGGATTAGCGTCAAGGATGCCTTGCAGATGGTTTCGCATGTCATCATCCATCTTGCTGTGGGTTGCTCCTTCTCTTGCCAGCGTCTCTCGCCTTCCAGTCCTCAAATATGTTGCAACAATTGATCTGGCTGTGGACTTGTTGATGTTCAAATTGACCGCAAGCTGAAGGTAGTCTTGCTCGTTTCCCTCGAAGGCCTCAATCAACCTTTCTCGATCTACCTGGGCCACTTTAGCGTAGCGACCACGAGCTGCCATTTCTAGAAATATGCGTGTAAAACTGTAGCAAAAGCTCGTCTTCGAAGTACATCGGCAAAGTGACTCAAGTGCCAAAAAGTGAACCGTATTTATGCCTTCAACATTCTTAAGGAAACAAAAATTTAACAAAGCGTTTTTTAGATTGCACAAATTTCAGAAATGACTGCCCAAAAAGGAATTTGAATGACTAAACACACGCCTCAAAAAGCTCCTGCGAATTTGAATGCTGCTTTGTTGAATTGTTAAATTGCACGATTATTTTGTTAAATCGAATGACGCAACAGTACATTTGACTGGTCATAAAACGAAATCGAATGACCCTTTTCAGTAGCATTTGATTTCGCGCGAAATAGAATAGCGTAGTGGTTAAATTGGCTGCTCATTTGCCGAAATTGACCGAGAAAACCTATATTTCGCCCGGACGGATTACTAATTCGCCCGGGCGAATTAGTAGTCTGCCCGGCCGGGAGAATAAGTAATCTGCCCGGGCGAGTTAGTAGTCTGCCCGGGCGAATTAGTCATCCGCCCGGGCGGATACTATTCCGCCCGGGCGGAATAGTAATCCGCCCGGGCAAAATAGTAATCCGCCCGGGCAAAATAGTAATCCGCCCTGGCGAAAAAGTAATCCGCCCGGGAGAAGTAGTGGGCCTAAAAAATATTTTCGGTCATGTCCTAAATACGCTTCCGTAGTAATCTGCCCTGGCGAATTAGTAGTCTGTCCGGGCGAATTAGTAATCCGCCCGGGCGGACTAGTAATCCGCCCGGGCGGAATAGTAATCCGCCCTTGCGAAAGGGTAATCCGCCCGGGCGAAGTAGTGGGCCTAAAAAAATATTTTCGGTCATGTCCTAAATACGCTTCCGTACAATACGCTTCCGTACATACACTAAATAAAGGTCATGACGATATAAACTTCCCCAATGCAACCTTGCACAATACTAGAAGTTCGAGGGCACAGCTAGGTGGGCTGACGTTGCACTGTGAGGTGGTGAAATTAGCCTTGATGGAACTACTATAAAGACTACACAACCTTCATTTTGAAGAGCTGATGTACTGCACATTCACACACAACAAATGCACAGAGGTACAACGTCATTACGGCTTTCGATGTCAATTTTGTTTTCCATTTTGCGGAGGCTCGTCTCTCGTCCTCTGAATATGGAAAACTTGCCGCCAAATGTACTGCTGCAGATCTTCTCTTATTTAGAAGTGAAAGACAAATGCAGAGTTGCGGGGTAAGTGGTTTTGACATCGATTTCTTGTCAACATTGGGGGCATGGGCGTCGCCAGGATTTTTTTCAAATTAATTTTTCCAACCCCCCCCCCCCCATCCTTGTTGTACTTTCACTATAGCATGTTCAAAATTTATCATTTTTATGAAGGTGGGCGGGGGACAGTTACCCACGCCAACCCATGTTTTTTTCGATGGGGGGGGGGGGGGGCTTACCCCATCCTGGCGACGCTCGTGATTGGGGAGGGGGTGGGCTGGACACCTCCTGACCTTTTAAGGGCGCTGTAGAACAGATTTATGTATGTACATAATTATGCACATAACATATACATGTATACGAATGCATATTATTTGCAATAACACCCATATTGCCTGTTAGGCCAAAAAAAAATACTCGGTCTCTGGTCAGCGCGCGCGTCGATTTTAATCATGCGCGTCAACCTGTTTTTTTTTCTTCAAATTAATACGGAAGCTACAACAGCGCCCTCTATTGCCGCACCTCCTCACATGTTTGTACCAAGGAGCACCAAGGAATGGGGAAATTGCACTAAGGCAAATGATAAAGGGCACCGAGGCAAATTATGGAGGACACCAATGTATAATGAGGACACAAAAAAAACAAAATAGTACCCACCTTGTCTGTACAATTCAAGTTTGAAAAAAAAGCCCCCCAAAAAAACCCCGCGTCGCCGCATCAATTACGGAACTTCGGTCTGACCAGAGACCGACTATTTTTGTTTGGCCTTACAGCTGGTTTTTTTATTAACGTATTTTGCCCCCCACTTTTTACAATGTGGCCCACCCCAGAAGAGGCAAAAGTCTGTGGTGTTATTTTCCTCGTGATGTGACTCTTGCATCATCTGTACCAACTTAATGCGAAGAAGGAAATGAAACTAATCAAATCAGGGTTTTTTTCGCGCGAGGCCCCTCTTTTAAATGTCATGGCTTAAAAATTAAAACAAGTGGATTTGAACTTTTTGAGGTATCCATACGTTACCCTGAGAGTTTCAAAGATTGTATCCAAAAACATATGGGCCCCACAAGCCAACCGACTAATAAAGACAAAAAATCTTTAGATTATCCGTCCTTAGATGCCGGATACTGAGCTGCAACCACGCTTGTGGGCATCCATCGCGCGTTCTTAAATTTGAGCCGCCCTTTCATTCATGCATATTATTACCATTGGTAAAAGAGCATTAAGTGCCCGCGTAAATATTGTGCGTTTGGCTTGGTACCCTTCAGTAAATGGCCAACTGTGGTCACTGGAAACCGCTCAATGCTGATTTCTGTGGTTTTTTTAATCAACAAGTTCAGATTTCGCAACATTTTCTGTCCCAATTCTGTATGGTGGTTGTTGAAACGTATTCCCATTTTCACGAGGCAGCGTCATTGAAGAATTATCACAATCGTTCAGGTCTGATTACGTTGTTGTCCTATATTCTTTAACATAGAGTTTGCAAGTCTTGGCGAGAACTCGTCGGTGAGAAGAAATTGTGGAAGAACGTGGACTTTTTCGCTGCCCGAGTCGACCTCCCCACCCACTGGAGGGCGCTCCGTAGGTATTTCACGGACAGCCTGCACACGCTGCATCTGCGCGGCTTCGTGTACACTAGCAAGACATCCCGGTGCCTCAACGACGCCATCTTGAAGGATATTCGCCGAAGGTGCCCGAACCTCGTGGAGCTCCACATCGACGAGGCAGACCTGTCTCGCGTCTGCTCTGGTCATCTGCCGCCCACCTTGGAGGTTCTGGTGTTGAACAGGTGCATCACCACGCCGGGATGGTTCCAAGCCGGTGTTTCAAATTCTAGACTGGACCGGCTGCGTACCCTCAACTTCAAGAACTCAATAGAGATCTGGAACGAGGATTTTAAAAATATACGTTCCAACAGAACCCAGGTCGAACGTCCCAACACCTCATCCTGCCACGACGTTTCGCGACGAGGCTTCAGGTGTTTGGTTAAGCTTGTCAATCTAACGGATTTAGACGTAAGCGGTACAAACATCAAGGACGAGGATATCGACTTCATCAACAGCAAACTGAGGAAATTACAGATAGTTAAAATCCAGGAGTTTGACTTTTTGGCACCTTTGGCAAACCTGCAAGACCAAGATGCTATTGGAACCAGCGGAGGAAATCCGGCAATTTGGATAGCTGACTTTCTGTTTCTTGCCGTTGTTTTTTTGTTTGTTCTGTTCTCAGTGTTCCAACTGAAGTAAAAAGACAGTTGAAAGTACACTTTGTAATCCCTGACTCAGCTTTTGCTGAAAAGTCCACGTGTAGCCTTGCAAACGACATTTGCTACACAAGTGTTTTTATTTGAAGTATTCGGTCCCTTTCTGAACACACCCTGAGGCAGTAGTACTTTAGTGCTTTTGTATTTGGTGCTTATGGTGGTGGTGGTGGTGGTGGTGGTTCACTGTAATTACACAAATTACAATACTTAACTTTAGTATTAACAATTACAGAAAACCATACTAAACCATTAGATTAATTAGTCAAATATATATGCGATTGAGCTTGAGCCTTCACTTGACATAATGCGTACATTATCCCTTTACGTGGAAGTAAACACCCCCAAAACATATAAATCTTCACTTTGAAAAGCTGCAAATAATCTTAATAAATCACTCAAAATACGATAAATTAAGGCTTATCGATTGTGTTGGATCCAAAACTACAACATTTGGGACTTAAAAAACCTGATAATTTTACATTTATTTGGGGAGATAAATTTGGTACACGTTCATTGTTTACGAATCATCGGAATCATGAAGAGTTAAACTTTGACCTTACAAAATGCACCATATCACAAGAGGGCGCTATTACAAAAGTGCGGGAACGATCAACGAACAGTTTTACCGCAACAAACTTATTTCTAATCAAAGGTATGCGTAATCATAAATTAAAGTTTAGAAAACACTTTAAAAATAACAACGATTAAACCCAAGTTAAATTTCACAACTTGCCGCTACACCACGTTATGCTCTTTATAAATGTGTCACCTTTAACATCAATTTAGTGATAAACCTTGTTATCCTTCAGATTTCCAGAACTGGGCTATTAGCATCACTTATCAATCTAAATGTCAAAATTCCATAAACACGTTCATAAACACAGTGTGCAAGTACATCATCGTGGTAAGCTATTTTACATAAAAGGGAAAACAGTTCAGACTCAAGCTATCACTTAACTACGGAGCTCTACAGTCGTGCACGTGACTTTTAAAATTGGCCATAGTTTTATTCTGTAGCAATATGGATAAGATATGTTCATATGTACTTTACTTTCTGCTTCTTTTGGTGAAATTTTCACTGGATTATAGTTTTCATGCATGATGACTCATGTGCACAGGAGACAATTAAAGGGGTCGGGTGAAATCTGACTTGCGCCAACTGGTCAGGGCGGGATAAGAATGAGACAATTTGAAAGAACACAACCATTGTCTTGGTTCTGGAAATGGAATGCATAATCAGTTCAGGACTAAGACTCCGTGGAATTTAATTGCCTTTTTAATTTGATTTAAATGTTTTAAATAAACACGAAGTTTAAAAGCTAACAAAATCCTGTTTGTCTCTTTGTTAGACAAATGGTTGTGTTCTTTTCAATAGTCTCAAGAATAGCGAAAGTCGTTTTCGTCGCACGCAGATTGGCTACACGACTGCGATTGATTCCCGCCTGTCGGGAACATGTCGCAGGTTTAAATGTTTCTACTATTGCGACTGTTGATTTTCTTTTTGAGCACCGACTGATGCCGATCGTCTATATCTCATTGCAGTTACACTCAGGTTGCACAAAATTAGCGACTAGTTAGTTTCCAACGGTCGTAGCTTAGGCACAGCTTGATACTACAGTGAGTCGCCGACTGATCTGTGTCATCATAAGGTCGACAAAATGATGGTACATTAAGATGACACATCAATGGAAAACGACACCCTGAGATTAGGATGTCGACAACCTGACTGTTATGATGGGATGAGGACACCCTGAAAATAGAATTGCTTTCTTATCACTCCTCCTAACAATTAACATTCGAAAGTATCTTAGGATGCCAACATTTTTACGTGTAAGATGGTATCTCATTCCGCGTTAATTTATGAGAGGATCTCGACATCTTGAATGGCACCTACAAAACTCCGTACAACATCAGCCATGATGGGATTGAGTCCGGACCACCCTCTTGTACAGTTTCACCTTCTTCAATTCGTAAAACACATCTTGTGGAGACGCGGTTGGCACGAGTGACTGGTGATAAGTGCCGGTAGACTTCTGGTATCAAGACAGGGGATATCACATGTAACGGACAGAAAATGTTCTTTGATCTGCGAAGCAAGTTGATGTAATCACAGTGAGATAGTTCAATCGAACAGAGGCAGAGGCTATTCTTAATCATGTATGGCAGCCGATAAGATCCCATTGTACACGACATCAACCAATCGAAGGCAAATTGTAATATTTTTAATAATTTTTAATATAGCGACATTGCATCTACATGAATAGACTATCCAGCGACCTCATAAGCCATAAATGAGGTTAACTAGCGCAAAACAGATCCCGGTTGGAAGACCTTGGAAGGAGCTGCATACGTGTACACCCACGTTATGTGTAGCAAGTCCTATACCAGAATATTGACGAGACAGACATGTCTCGTGTCGACTCGGGTAATTTGCCGCCCACCTTGGAGGTCTTGGTGTTGTGTATAGGTGCATCACCACGCCGGGGATGGTTCCACGCCGGAGTTACAAAGGGAAAAACTTCCTGTGAGCAATTGGGGAGGGGGGGGGGGGGCTGACGACGACGACACGTGACTTTTTACGTCACCACCCTTTGCAACCGGTGTCATATAAAAATCGGACTCGTATCAAAATCGGACTCTTTTCTCGTTCCGAAAAGACAAAAATGGAATACAAACAATTAGATTAGAAATACATTTTGTGAAAACAAATACAATTTTCGAAACACAGAAAATTCTCAATAACGCGGATTTATCATTCATTATCATAATCAGTTGGCAATCATCTCAATTATACATGTTTTCCCGGCTAACTTTTCGTTTATCATTCGACTTCACTGTTTCTAAAATTCAAATTCGCCCATCAAAATCGATAGTTCACTTCCAATGTTCAATTTCGTCCTTTATCAGACAATTTCAAATTCAGTTCAAGCAAATTCAAACAATGAGCAAACGTTTTCGTCCTGGAGTATTCGATTTCGTCTCGTCTATGTCAAACCTTATTATTCGGAAATCAAATTCGTCTAATTGATTTATATAAAACGAATTCAATCTCTGAATGCTGCCATTCGGCAACAGCCTAGACACATTTGATCTGCAATGCCGAATATCCCCGATCCGTTGACTAAAAAAATCCTGGCGACGCCCATGGTATCCAGTATACTGTAGCGGGTCATTAGCAAAAGTTTGCTCAATCTATCACCTTACAAGCGATCCGTTGTGCTGATGTCACTGAATGTTTAGGTAGGCCTACTTCATTATCATCATCTGTTTGTTCAAAGGGATCAGGGTCCACCCTCTCGTACACGTATCACAAGGGGTTGATCGCGGGTCACAAGATAGAAATCTGCAGTTTCATTCCTAGTCACAACACTAATGTAAATTCTCCATGCCTGCACAATAACGGACGGTCTGTGGCGGGAATAGTAGTCTACTGCACTTTCTTCCAGACGACTCAATATGGCGGGCTACAGCGAACTTTTGAGTTTCATGGACAGCCCCGTGTTTCGGTTGTATGCGACTTATGCGGCCGTCGTCACCTTAAAGATGATGTTTCTGTCTGCTTGGACTGCGAAGTTCAGATTATCTCAAAAGGTTAGTTTGGAAAGTGTACCGAGTTAAACTTCTGCTGAGTACTAACATGACAGTGAGGCTACTTATTTCAACTGTGCTGTCACGGTCATGGTCAGAGTATCCAAGGACTTGTCCTCCCGTTCCCCACCGATTGACGCCCATGCAGTTAATGTAAGCCGATGTGATCAAAGTCAGGGTGACCGTAAGGTTATGGCAAAATTTTGCTAAATGCACTTCAAAAATTTGTCAGATTTATCAATAACCTGCCAAATTTTCCAGAATTCCTCGAAATACACTATAAACACTTAAAATCACATGCAGATTTGTAGTAGTACCTTAATTAGGGCTCACACTACATTATAAACAATTCATAGTCACATACAGATGTCATCATGAAATTGCAAAATTTTTGACAAAAACGCGGTTGCTTCACGACGAAGTCCGATCCAAGTGAACCTCAGCACCTAGACCAGGCAACCTGTCCCATTATGTAAGGGTTTGTTCGAAAAAAATGAAGCTTTTTGAAGATTGCTATGATTTTCTGTCAAATAACCATTTTTGCAGAATTCTGTCAGAAATCTGCCCAAAAAAATCCATTCTGTCAAATTTTCTGTCAAACTCGTTTTTTTTTACACAAAAATCTGTCAAAGTTAGCCCAAAATCGGTTAAACGGCCATCGGTGCATGTGGCCATCAGTGCATGTGATCAGTGTTCATGTATAAGCCGATGTGATCAAAATTGAAATTTCTGTAAACCATTCACCGCTCTATATTACAAAAAAATATTAATCATCAACATTGTTTGTTGTCTATATCTGATTGCATGCAAGTATGAACATAATTGATCATATATTGTTCAAGAGTTACTAGTTAAACAAGTTGGTCATGTTTTCCGCTTGCAATGTGACAACTTATGACGTCACGCGTCAGACTAATATGCACCACTGGGTCAGGGTCGAATTGTTACAGATTATAATCCCATAAACCGTTTAGGAGAAAACCCACGGGGCATTATTGTCCGGAAACAAAAAGAAACAAGATGTTAGCGTTGGTTGAGTTACAAACGCAGGGTGTTTGGGCTGACATTCTAATTGAAAATGAAATTCAACCTTTCTAGTAGTACTCACAATCACTTTAACCCCAAAAAATATAACCGAAAATATTTCACTCAGAAATTTAACCAAGTCAGTTTGAACCAGAATTTCAAAGCAATTAGAGTCAAAGCCAAGAAGTAAAAGCATTGCAGGGAGGGGGAATACAGAATAAAATAATGAAAAATATTTCCTTTCATAATATCTGATGACCTATGAAATTTATGCAAACGTTATTACTTATTGAATCATTTTTTTTCTAGGTATTCATAAACCCAGAGGACGCACCAGCAGGGAAGAAGGAATTGGTCCGAAGACATGACGATGTCGAACGAGTTCGGAGGTATTATTAGCATAATTTTTTATTGGGTTGATATAAATGTCGACAACTTTTTCAAAATGTCCAAACTTTTGGATGGGGGAAGCAATAAATTGCATCAAGGAATTCACGTTGGGTTTGAATTTATTTCAAATGAGGGTGCAGTGAATACCTTTTAAATGGTGTTTTTGTTCAGAAATTGCCCCAAATAAGTCGAATGGAAATTTTGCCTACAGACCAACGGAAAATGTTTTTTTTTAGTTCCAAATAAGTAAATTAGGGCCTATACTGAGTCTGCACTTTACTCAGTGTTTTGTTTTTCTAGGCCTTTACTGCATTTATACATCATTTATTCCAGAGTTGCATGCAGATACCATGTAGGCCTATAAAACTGACATTAAACACCTGAACTACTTTCATGGGCGTCGCGGGGAGGGGGCGCCAAGGGGGAGAGCTCCCCCCCCCCAGTTGAAAAGTAAAAAAAAAAGAGGTCCGAAGTCATATTACTATCAATTTTATACACATTTAATGGGCACCTGCAGGGTGGGAAAATGGCCCCGTTTACCCTCGAAAATGATAAATTGAGAACATGCTAGAAAAAGTACACGGATTTCGGGGTGTGCTTTCTTCCGTCTAAACAAATCCCGGCGACGCCCATGACTACTTCATATTCTAAAATAATGACTTCTCATGAACTGGGCGTGGCACCGAGGTCCACACCATAGAATAAAAGACCTAACATCTTCACGTACTCATACGCATTCTTCTACCCACACAGATGCCACCGTAACGACTTGGAGAACATCGTTCCGTTTCTGGTCCTGGGTCTGCTGTACGTTCTGACCGGACCCAGCGTGTACGCAGCCGCCTGGCACTTCCGAGCGTTCGTGGCGTCTCGTTTCGCCTACATGGTGTGCTACCTGTTGCCCCTGCCTCAACCGACTCGCTTCCTCGCCTGCTTGGTAGGGTACGGCGTCAACGTGTCGTTGGCGGCGCAGGTGATCATGAACGGCCAACTGTGGGTTTTGGGGGGATTCAGCTTTGGCTTGGGGATTAAAATCATGTCAAGAGGGGGACAGGTTAGATGTCGAAGGGGGAACGGGGCTAATAGGCACGTACAATTTCCTATATTTGAAGGCTATGATGAACTCCCTTTTTGCGTCATCTGACGACTTTGAATTCAGCCAACAATCTGCAGAGAACTCATGTTGTAACCGATGAACGTTGTAAAGCTGCTGTAATCGTGCTTTGTCCTGTAACAAATAAATTTGCCTGTTTGCATCTGCAGAGCTTTATAAAGTTTTAAAAAGTAGTTTTAAATGACGCGCTGCCGCTCACAGTTTTGAGCGAAATGCTATAAAATATTCATATCTTGTGACGTATCTGCTCAAACATATACATTTTGGAATCACGCGTTCTGTAATGCATGCATAGTCTGACCCGATCCTAGCTATGCGATGATCGCGGCTGCATAGGCCTGTTGGCCGTGGAAAAGTAGTTTTGTTTATAGACTAAGCTGAAAAAAGTTGCCCAATGCTGCATTGTAGTTTAATTGATCTCTTTAAGGTGGTCATAGTGTTTAGATGAACTGACGCATGAATTCACTCTTTCAAATCAAGATGTTGCTAATACTCTGCTATAAATAATCATCTTGCGTACAAAGAAATCGATGCCGAAAACCTAGGGCTAAAATTACAAGTTCCGGAACTAAAACACTGATGTTAAGAATTGTGCAGCGTGTCCCAGTAAACATTGTGCATAAAGAAGTCGCTGATTTGCTCAAAAGGTGGTCAAACTAGCTTATCAAGTTTTATCTTATTTTAAAGCCTATGGTCCGTGTGGTGAAAATTGGTGAAAATATCAAGAAAATCCATCAATGCAAACCAGAGATATCGTTGATTTTGTAAGGCTATATTATTTTCCTCCTGCACAATTAGAATCCTGTATAAGATGGAATTTTTGCGCCGGGGTGATATAAATCAAATTAGGTTTGTGAAGGGCAAAACGTCGGTGAAGGGCAAAACCTAATTTAATTTAGAATCCTGTAGTAAAGCTTAGGCCAATACATTTCAGCTGTCAAAGAAGATTGTTTTCTGTGCTCACCCAAATGCAACATAAAGGCCATGCAATATTTCAAGCACTGCGTAACACATGCCAATAACCCAATAATTAGAAAAATAACACTTAATGTGGAAATTACATTGTGCAGGTCAAAAAATACATAGCCTTACTAAATCAAAGATATCTCTGCTTTGCATCGTTGGATTTTCTCGGGTTTTTTTCACAATATAAACAAGACCATAGGCTTGAAAATGCTATAAAATGTGATTAGCTAGTCTGACCAACTTTGAGAAAATCAGCGATTTCTTCATGCACAATGTTTATTGGGACACGCTGTACTGAGACGCCAGTATACAGTAGACCTATAGATAACATTTTATACTTTGTTATTGAACTTAAAGGTTTAGGCAGAATGTGCGCATTGTGCGGTGACACATCACGGAAAATCTCTATGATAGCAGTGTGGTCCATTCCATGTAATGTTACATATAAATATACGGATCCACTGGCCTCTGACAAAAAGGAATAATTCTAAATTTACAACTGGATTAAGGATCAAGGAGTGCTTTTATTCTAATTTTTGCTGCAGCTGATTTCTCTTGACTTTAAATAATGTTTTTTATTATACAATTAAATTAAAGATAATTTAATTGCTGTTTTTAAAGAACGAATATAAAAAATGATTATTGTCTTGCTTTCTGTTTACATAGTTTTAACTCGCCTTTAACAGTTTGACACACTTTTCTTGCTTTATATTAAAGGAGTTTGTTGATAACCAATGTTGAATAAATATAACCTGTCCCTTGAAATCTAATAAGCTACATTCATTTTCTACAACCATGGAGGAATAAGAACTGTGTTCCTATTCCTCCATGATACAACATAAAGTCCATAAATAATTGCTATGCTTTTTTTGCGCTTTACTTAATCTATGGATAGAAGTAAGCATTAAGGACCCTTAAACCCCGTACTGTAATTTCATAAATAATTGCTATGCTTTTTTGCGCTTTACTTAATCTATGGATAGAAGTAAGCATTAAGGACCCTTAAACCCCGTACTGTAATTTCATAAGTGTGAGTGGAGGAGAGGTGGAGGTGGTGAAATGTTGTCTGTCCAGTCTTTTCAAGATGGCGTTGCCTTGCTAGAAATGAAGTCTCACACCACGCTTTGCTTCCCTTGCCGTTTGTGCGTTTGTGTTCTTATTCCGGATTAACTAAATGGTAATATATTCGCATCGGACTTGTTGTTGTGACTCGAACTCGAGACTCGACTCGAGTCTCATATTCCATGACTCCGCATGCACCGGTCTCAGAAATTCTTCGAGGTGATAAAACCTTGATGAGTCGAGCGACGGTGCCGAGGAATGCCCTCTTTCCTGCGCATTACTGCAACAATTATTACCATCCGATCCTCAAAATAAACTCGGGTACTGAGGCCAGTCGAATGAGCGAAAAATAGTTTCAGACACGAAATCAAGTCTAGGGTTTCGCACTCTTGTCGCAGACAACAACTTTTTCAGGTTCAGTAACCATTCTAAAATAAATGTTAGAGGTCACGAGAATCTCATAAAATTCCCAAATGCCTGCAGTTTGCACAATACGAGGAAATAGGTTGCCAAAAATCCACGTACCGTTTGTGCCTTGCTTTCGATTTTAATGTAGCCCTATATGTGGGCTATTGTAAAGACTGCAACACATCCATTTTGAGGAGCTGACGTACCGCACCGACACACACCATACCAGCGCACAAGAGGGGTCGACACTGGTTATATTAAGGCTTTCGATCGTCGATTTTCCACTGTGAAGCTCGACTCTCGTCCTCTGAACATGGAAAATTTGCCGCCGAATGTAATGGTGCAGATCTTCTCTTATTTAGAAGTGAAAGACAAATGCAGAGTTGCAGGGTAAGTGGATTCTGATTTCGGTAATTTTAGGGACATAACTTCCGGTACCACCATCTTACCAGGAAAGAGAGTAGGTCTATGCATAAGCTTATAATTATGCACTTTGACACAAAATGAGTCGATTTAATCACCGCGAGATGGTCAAATCGAGCAGATGCTGTTCCCAATATGCATGGAAGCCGATGGGATTCCCTGTACACGACGTCCAATAGTTAGAGGCTGACGACATTGCATCTAAATGTATATCAAACAACGTCAAAAGCCATAATTGAGGTTTGCTTGCGCACATCCTCGTGCTTTTTAAAATTCAGTTTGAGACGCCCGTGTCATTGCTTGAGCATTTAGCGCCCGGGAATCAATTCCGTTTCGGCTCGGTACACTTCAGTAATGGCTAACCATGGCCACTGGAATACCTCTTCTTCATGCTGATTTCATTTCGTTAAAAAAAATCAGATTGAGTAACAACGTCTGTCCCGATTCTGTATTGTGGTCGTAGACTTTTTTTTTAATTATTATTTCCACATCGAGTGGTCCTATATTCTTTCTTTTTTTAACCCTAGAGTTTGCAAGTCTTGGCGAGAACTCGTCGTTGAGAAGAAATTGTGGAAGAACGTGAACTTCTTCCCCTGCCGAGTCGACCTCGCCACCCACTGGAGGGCGCTCCGTAGATACTTCACCGACGGCCTGCGCACGCTACATCTGCGCGGTTTCGTGTTCACCAGTAATGAGACGGCCAGGTGCCTGACCGACGCCATTTTGAAGGATATCCGCCGAAGGTGCCCGAACATCGTGGAGCTCCACGTCGACGAAGCAAATCTGACCAGTGTCGACTCGGGTCATCTGCCGCCAACTTTGTTGGCCTTGGTGTTGAACAGGTGCATTACCAGGCCGGGATGGTTCCAAGCAGGAGTTGCAAAGGGAAGACTGGACCGGCTGCGAATCCTCAACTTGAAGAGGTCCAAAGAGATCTGCGACGGGGATTTGGAAGATCTTGCCTTTCTTCGAAACGTAGGTAAGCTTGAATGCCTCAACATCGCTTACTGCCACAGAGTCGCGCGACGCGGTTTCAGAAGTTTGGCTGAGCTTATTAATTTATGGGAACTGGACGTAAGCGGTACAAACATCGAGGACCAGGACTTCGACGTCATCACCAACAAACTGAGGAAATTAAGTGTCGTTAAATTCGAGGAGTGCGATTTGCTAACTTCAGAGAGTGCACAAGCTTTTGCAAAACTAGAATACATAGCTTGTATCTCGTGTTATACAGATCCCCGGGGCGGATCCAGGAATGTTCGCAGGGGAGGGGTTTCATCAGCAAAAAATTCTGGAAATGTACACAGGTTTTTTTCACCGTACACTTCTCCGTACACTTGGCCTTCGTAAAATCAAAAACTGAAGGTGGGGGGGGGGGGGGGGGGGCTGGTACCATATTTCAATAGGAGGCGCTGTTCAAATTCGATGATTATTAACACTAGATTACAGAATGGTGTACCGTATTTTGAACAGGCAAACATTATACCGGTACAACTTTTTTTGGGTGTCACAGCGGGGGGTTTTCGACTTATTTTTTACGAATTTGTATGGAATTTTTTTTTTTTGGACAGAGCTGGGGGGTGGGGGGGTTTGACCCACAAAAACACCCCTCTGGATCCGCGCCTGGGGCCAAGCTTCATCTATTTCAGAGATGAAGAATTGTGTTTATGAAAACGCCACGCTTACATGTACGTTCGTATAGTCGGAGGCAAATTAATAGGGGACTTTTCCAATTGAAGTGTTTGGTGATGTAGCTCTTATTGCTACTCTGTGCGCACATAATGCATGTATATACGGCATATTACCGGTACTACTCCTTCTGTTTGAAAAGAAACACTTCATAAACGGTCCATCCAGCAAACTGAAGAGAAACGTTCAAACGTAATAGCATTCCCAAGGTGTATTTACAATGTAATACGGTTGAAAACTTGTTGATAATTCAGTTGTTTAAAAAAACGTAGCTTTCTCGGGGGGGGGGGGGGGACACGTGGAATTCCTCGCCACTAAAATATGATTTATTTGTGTATTAGAATTACAACATGCAGTGCACCTCCAGCCTAAATTAATGTTGGGGCCTACTTATGAGTTCCAAATTGTTCCACGATTGGTTCTTTTGCAATTATGATTGTTGTAAATAACAGTAAAAATGTGTACATGTTTGTGTATGCAGAGGTACTTACTCGTACAGAACATTCCTTAACGGAACTTAAAATACTTAGAATTACGACTCGTTTTCATATACTATTCAACAAGACTTATACTCGATTATATTAATAATTTATTATGATTTCTATTAGTAAATGTTTGGGTTTTTTTTCCTTAGCGAAAGATAATATTTCTATATTCGATTCGGTTCGATTCGATTCGATTCGATTTGAAACTGTTTATTGAAAATATTCATTGTGATGTGGTCATATACCAAATTGCTGAACACTTTGATTACGAAATTAAGATATAACAAAAAGTATTCGTGAAGTCGTAATATTTTCCACTTGACACCACATTTCCAGTGCGTGATTCGCTCAGTCGATTGCAATTGACTGATAATTGGATCGCTGTTTTTCTCCTCGTTTAAGTGTGTTGTTATCGTTAACTGTGTATAAATGTACTAAAATCGTTGAACAATGGTCTGTCGATGAAAAACGTGATTTGTGTTGTGCTAATCTTAATTTTAATTAAACGCGATTTTTAACCTCATTTCATGATCATTTTTCCAATCATGCTTTTCTTGTAAGTTCTTATATGTGCGATTGTCTGCTGCACTGTCGCTGCCAGTCGAAACACAGAGGAGTACATGTACATTCCTCGGCTGTCAGGTAATTCATTACAGTTTGTTGAACTTGTATCGTACATCATTTCCTACTCTCCCCAAAACAAGAGATGAAATTGTTTTTGCGTTATTTATTCATCACTAATGCGATAAGTAACTCTGCATGTCAATATTATTGCGTGTCACTGGTTGGCACTGGTTGGCATTTAAAAAAGGATAAATGTTTTTGTGAAGAGTCCAAGATCATAAGTAGGACCGTTAAAGTACCAGTGTAACGGGGGTTCAGTTGGCAAGGGGAGGTACACTCATTTCTCGGAGGGAGGGGTAGGCCTATATGCAATGGGTTAAAAAGCTACTTTTTGCCACAAAAACTGAGCATGGAGGACAGGGGGAGGGGCAGAGTTCTTGAGCGGAGATTGGGGACGTGCCTCGTCCCCCCAAATGCCTCGTCCCTTTGACACCTTCGACAGATATCCTTATAGAGTGCAGGCCAGTAAATCGAATTCTTCAGTATTATAGAGCATTTTGAAGGCCGTGAACTTTATGATTTGTAAAAATGAAGGTTGAAAGCCGTGCGAGCTCATATTTCTGTTAAATGTGGATGATGATTAGGCCCTAAACTGGCTCTGTTTTGCAATGGAGCGCAGGCGTCCATTTTCAAAATGGCGATGGGCTTCAGGACTGCTTTTAGGGGTGATCATCTTTGGATTAACCCCCAGAAAATTGAACAGAAAATGAAAGATGATGAAATAGAATTTAATGTACAGCTTGAATACCTCACAGAGTTGTGAGAATTTTTCCTGAATTTCTGAAGTAGGGGCATTTATCATTGGGGTCTCAAATGAAATTTATTTACAGGTTTGCAACCTTAAGGTGGCGTTGGTGAGGCACCTGGCTGTATCATCACTTGTGTACACGAAGCTTCACGGATGGGTGCACCCCGGTAAACAGGCCTAAACCCATCCTCCGAACTCATCAATAAAAGTTATACCCTCAAAATATATTCTATCTTAGAGAGTTCCGAGAGCAATAATATAACCAGAGCCAAAAAATAAATTGAAACTAGTGTTGCAAATTAAAACTCTGGCCGCCAGGCAAAACTTGTCCTGGCTAAAGAAATAACGCTTGTGAAACTTTTTGAGGGTTTCCAAATTGAGAATGATAATATATTTCACCTTACTCTCTCGTTAAATGCAATTAATTTAAGACCAAGAAATAAGGAACAAAGATTTAGGACTTAAAACGTAGGACAAGGGACTACCCAGGAGGTACAATGAACTAAAATATGGTGTAGCCTGTAAAAAAAATAATAATAATTCATATTACATTCAATATTTCCAAAGAAACGAAGCATGAATCACACAATTTATTTCAATTGGAACAAACCGTTTCTGACAATGGCAATTTACACAACCATTTCCACCAGAAAAACCCTTTAAATACAACATGATAACAATTACACAAATATAATAATAATTTATCTGTACATTAATCAAGCATTCAACAGACGTTGGTCATTCCATACAGGTACTGTACACATGTACAATAGTCAACACACACACACACAGAGACTTGTTTCACATACCTAGTGTGGACTTTCCTTTCTTTTCGTGTAGTTAAGGAACACCAGTGGAAAAACTCATTTTTCTCAAACTGTGAAAACTCTTACAACCCAATTTTTTTTCAATGATTCCCTTTAGTGTTTCTCTTCATTCTGCTACAGATAAACCTAACCCAAAAATGCCTCTAAACCTGTTTTCCAGAAATGGGGAAACACTGTGTGGACGTGGGCAAGTCCACACTTCGTCGCTGCTACCTACATTATGTGGACGTCTTTTGTTCGGAAGTCCACACTGCGTATGTAAGACAAGCTCACAGTCAACACACCCAAACACACCCAAGTTTACGTTATATACCAAGTGTGGACTTTCCATTGCTTTCGTGTTGTTAAGAAAAACCAGTGAAAAAACTCATTTTTCTCAAACTGTGAAAACTCTTTCAACCCAATTTTTTTTCTATGATTCCCTTTAGTGTTTCTCTTCATTCTGCTACGGATAAACCTAACCCAAAAATGCCTCTAAACCTGTTTTCCAGAAATGGGGAAACACTGTGTGGACTTGCCCAAGTCCGCACAGTGTCTCCTCTACCTGGTTTATGTGGACATCTTTTGTTCGGAAGTCCGCACAGTGAATGTAATGCCTGTACACCCCCACACACACACATGCAGACGCACACAACCTGATTCCTAAAGAAGAGCAGTTTTACTGTCTCGAAACGTCGATTAAATCCACTCCAGCCAGCAATGCATTGGTTCCGTGTCACCCTCTCTTTTTTGCAATGGCTGTTATATACAATTATGTACCCGAGCCACGCCCCAATATCGACCACATGGCAAGCCAACTAGCTGGAGTAGGCTGGTGCAGAGAGCAGAGGCATAAGGAGGAATGACAAAATGTTCACTCCTTGGCCATGCCTCTTATACCCGACTACGCTTGAATATGCAAAGTACAATTTAAAGAATGCTTTCTACAGCGCACTGGGTACAGCTGTCAGTTTCTTTTGTAACGTATAACAATAAACCCTGGAGCTTACAGCAACTCAACTGCTATTAAACAACGAAGATTACTCCAGCTCTATCAGGTGTTTACCAACTATTAAACACAATAGCTAAATTGCAAAACGAGTAATAAAGTATGGAACACTTTAAACTGTTATACCACTGACTTTGTGGTACCCAAAAAAACTGAACTGGCCACCACAATAATATTAGGGAATTGAATAAATATGACAATGAACCTCTGGCCCGGATTTGGGGCTTCCAATTCTGAGCATTTTGGATGCAATTGGGCTCGAAAGTGGCACTATTTTGCCAAGTTGTGGAGGGATCGTTTTTCAAGTAAGGCAACCCTTTCCCCAGTGCTTACTTTATTTCCAACCCGTTTCCAATAGTAAGCCCTGGATAGGAAACTTTCTTCCTGTATCCTGATTCGATACCGCATTTGGCTAGAAATGGATTTATATCGTGTAATTGGTATTGTGATTCACAATTTGCAGTACGTGTTTTCGCGATCATTCGTCCATGCCTTCTCGAAAATATTCATTTCTTTCCAATTTGTTCATATCAATATGAAATGTGAAACTGCATGTTGTCTCGTTAAGATCGTAAAGGTTTAATTGAAATAAAATCGTGTTTTCGTAACTCACGCCATGCTCACGCTGCGACGAATTGATTCTGTTTTTACCCAGACTCTGCATACGAAAACAAACGCAAATGTAACACACCAGAGTAGGCACCAGACTTCTCATTTGTAGTGTGACGTGTTCAAAAATCTTGCACATGCAAATGATCCAATACCAGGGTGAGAGAGCAAGTAGTGGTGGGCGCGTACTGCTCGACACCCTGGGGACGAGGTTGTGGGAAGGGCTGATGAATTCACGCTCTGATTGGATAAATTCTGCGTGTCCTGTGACCGGCAAGTCATCACGGCCACGACCCTGCAAGTTTACAAACGGCCGTTAAGACAGGAAAATCTGTAAAACTTATCTGCGTTGTAAATTTGCAATTTCCGTCACTTGCTCAGACTCCGTTTCAAATTCCCGAAGGGTCAATGATTGCATTATGCAACGCTCAAAATTTGTCCACTTGGGCCTCAATGAAAAAAAAATCACATCCGGTATGGAATGTGTGCATTTCTGTGGGAACGTTTTCGGATAGAATTTGCGCGCATGGGCTACTGTGGTCTTGAATAGCTGCAGCCAGATGCTTTGTACATAGATCATGATAAATTACCCAGGACGTCATCTCCACAACCTTCAAAAGATTCTGTGAAGCTCATCAGCCCTTCTGTTTGCAGGGTGGTGGGTACAAGCGAAAGAGAATCGTCGAGGTGATAATATTCGAGATTCGGGCGTTGGGGTGGAGGAATGCCCTTCTCCCTCACATAATACCACGCAACAGTGGCGACTCTGGATCCGTCGTAGACCATGTAAACGTTTCGTCGAGGCTTGGACAAAACTTGACCAATTTCAGACATAGAATCAAGTCTACGGTTTAGTATTCTGAAAAAGAAATTCAGCAGTCTTCACTTTGTTATATTCAAAGGTCATAGATGACAATCTAAAAAAAATCCCAAATGCGAGCAACAATAAAAAAAAAAATAAAAAAAAAAGGCGTGCTAAAGTCTAAAGTCTACAAATTGTTTGCACTGAGACATGTTAAATGCAGCCATATTGTTAAAACGACTGCACATAATTTTATTATAATTATTGATTTATTTCAAAAAGGTGACGCAACGCACAGGAGCATTCACACACTCGCGCTCAAGAGAGACAAGGTTTTGTAAGGATTTCGATCGTCAGATTGTTTTCTCACTGCAAAGTTCAACTCTCTTCCGGAGCATGGAAAAATTGCCGTCGGAAGTGCTGGTGCACATCTTCTCTTTTTTAGAAGTGGAAGACAAATGCAGAGTTGCAGGGTACGTGATTTTGAACTTAATTTAGGGTGTAACATTGTAATGCCACATACGCAGACGTTCAACTTGGCCACTCTACCATAGAATGTCATGATTTAATAATTAAAATTAAAGCATAAGCTTTCGTGGTTACAGTTACTTCATCAGATGTAGCATAGCTGTTGTTATTCTTTTAATAACAACAATCATTCAAATAACTCATGTACTTTTCCAGTTATGGAATTTTGAACATAAACAGTTTTAAAACCGCACCACATTTATGGTACGTTATATTCCTACAAATGTACTATTAGGGAGACACGTTAGCGTAGAAAATTTGGTAGTAGGGAGGCACGGGCTTAATAGGGAGACACCTAGGGATCTCCATATTGGCGCAGCCCCCCTTTAGAGACAAAATAATTTTGCCATCGCAATTAGGTTATATTTGTTGCTCGTGGTCTAATTAGTAAAAATACCGAAATTCGTGGAAAAAGGACCAGGGAATATCGGGTTAGGGCACATTTATTTTTGTGCACAAGTCTATGGGAAAGTCTCCCTATTACCCCATTGCCGGTAATTATTATTATTATCATTATAAAATGAAGCCACGTCATATCATGAACACGACATCAGAATAATCCCATAAGTCTCTGGGGTTGCATAGTAAAAGGCAGAGCAAGACTTTTAACCCTTGACAATATGAAGCCTGTTGTTTTAACATTGGAAGCAGGAAGGTGTTAAAATAAAGATTATGATAAGAGCCAGTTATCATGGTTACGAGAGTGTTTTGCTGTGTTTTTTTCATATGTGAATTGTTTTTGCTTTGCTTAAATATCATTTACCTTTATTGTGATCCGTGGACAAAATTATAAAACTGTATTTGTGTTTAAAAGTCCGTAACTAGAGAAGTACATGAGCGATATGAATGATTCTTTCACAAGTTTATTCAGCCTTGCGGTTGGATCTAGCGTTGTTAAGCGAATTGCGTCCAGAGTTGTTTAGTAAATTTAATCAGATTACGTAAAGTGATTCTACAAACAGCAGTGAAATCAATGCACCCGAAAACATGGCTTTTAACGTTCTGTTTTTTACAGAAAATATGCTCAGTATGATTTAAATGTTAAACTGTAACAGACGAAGAAATTTTAAACTTCATATCAGTGAAAAATCGCCGTTATTAATGCCGAAACGTCAATACTGGTCATTGGTAAAATGTGACCTATAAAATCGTGGACAAATCGTTTGAAAAAGTCTCCAAATCTTTTTTTTTTTTATCTCAATAAGCCATTTGCGAGTTAAATTTGAATAATATCTGGAACGCTGACTTAATCCAATCCTTTGCGCGTTTTAACTTTGCATCTCCCGACCAAAGAGACTGTATGTCACGTGATTCCGGGCAAGTCTTATGCCAGCAACCCCCAGCTCCGGCATGGACTGGACTTGTCTTTTTGCCATTCTCACTGGCATTGCGAACAATAAAAAATTATCGGTGCTGAGCGTCTCTTACGTAACTATGAAAGAGCTTGCCCCAAATCATGTGATTAGCAACAGTGTTTTGGTCTGGAGAATTCAAAGTTAAAATGTGCCAAGCATTCTGAGCAAGTCAATGTACCAGATGTTTTTTTCAAATATATATCCCAAAGAGTGTAGGTCTCTCGCAAATGGCTTATTTCTAGACAAATCTTCACAGTTTGTCATTGTACGAGTAGTTGAACACTAATATGAGATTTTGTCACAATGCATGTATTTTGACAATATTTGAGTAGGCCTACATTCCGAATTTCAGCTCAATCTGTTTTTGCAAACGCTAGTGTTACACCTTGAACTATCTCCAAGACAAATTTTGCTGAACTAGAATACTCTACCGACCAAAACAACACATGTACATGGTACTCAGGTTGGCCGATTTTGTCGCAACGCTGACAAGGCCCATTATTAGCATATTCATTAGCGTGACTCGGCCTGACTTCGCGTGGGTCTCAATATCAACCAATGGAAATTGGGGAAAAGGGTAATAATTATTTATTAAGGATTTAAAAGATTGACATATTACAAACACCACTGCTACCAATTTTTCCAATTTCAAAGAAAAATACTGAAAATAGCAAAACGATTTTTATAGCACATAGTTGAATCATTAAAAGAAATGCAAACCCTGAAAGTTGCATGAAGATACGGTCTTCCGAACAAGAGAAATTGATTTTCAAAGAATTCGCCCGCGAACATCAACATGTCGGTGTGCATGTCGTTTCATTCCGAAATACAGTTTTACCTTTAGAAATCGGCCTTCGCAACCTCATGGCTGTATCGTTGAGCTTTTAGATCCTAGATCTAGAACACGCTGCATGCAGTTCTTCTATTAAAAAAAAAATTCCTTTTGTTTTACTCGCCCTGTATGACTATTTCTATGAAGCAGCGTTCGGTCAGGTCTGATTGTATTGCTACACTTTAATTTTCCATATCAACCCAACAGAGTGTGCAAGTCTTGGCGAAAACTCGTCGATGAGAAAAGATTTTGGAAGAACGTGAACTTTTTCCCCTCCCGAGTCGAACTCCCCACCCTTTGGAGGGCGCTCCGTAGGAACTTCACAGACGGCCTGCTCACGCTACGTCTGCGCGGCTTCGTGTACACCAGTAATGAGACGGCCAGGTGCCTCACCGACGCCATCTTGAAGGATATCTGCCAAAGATGCCCGAACATCGTGGAACTCCACATCGACGAGGCAGACCTGTCTGGCATCGACTCGGGTAATCTGCCGCCCACCTTGAAGGTCTTGGTGTTACACAGGTGCATCACCACGCCGGGATGGTTCTACGCCGGAGTTGCTAGGGGAAGACTAGACCGGTTGCGGACTCTCAACTTGAGGAGGTCCAAAAACATCTGCGACGAGGATTTGGAAGACCTCACCTTTCTTCCAAAGGGAGACAATCTTAAACGCCTCAAAATCGCCTACTGCCACAGCGTCACGCGTCGAGGCTTCAGAAGTTTGGCTAAGCTTATCACTCTGGAAGAATTGGACATTAGCGGTACAAACATCGAGGACCAGGAGTTCAAGTTCATCTGCAAGAATTTGAAGAAGGAATTAAGTATTTTTAACTTCGCTGAGTGCGATTTGTTGACTGAAGAGAGTGCAGACTCTTTGCTCTACCTTCGACAATTCAAGATGTTCTATACCGGGAGAACAGATGAAATTAGACGCTCCGCTCTTACTCTCACTTGTTTGTATTACCGGAGGCGCATTCACATGGGACTTTTCTGTTCGTATAGGTGCTTGCGACGATGGTCACTTAATTTAATAACTTTTTACTTGTACCTGGGGGATTACACCTTTTAATCCCGGACTGAGCTAGCCATTCACTTAAAGGGCAAGTAATAGAAAGACTGGCAAAGCTGCGGTAGTTTTATTAATCTGAAACACTCGCGGTGTTTCTTTCCATTCAAATTATTCAATAGGCCTAGGCATATATTCACTTAAACGATGAGCACGTCACACGCGCGTTTTTGAGAAAAGTTTTCAAAAGTATGCGACTGGAATCACGACTGAAACAGTTCGAATTTTCGGAGTCAACATTTTGACCCCCGAAATTCGTTCTCGCGCGCCATCGCAAGATAACACAATACGCCTAGGTCTTTAAAGCGTGTGTGGATGTTTATACATGCATCCTACTTTTAAATGTTTTTTTTTTCCAAATAACATAATTTCGTTGAAAACGCGATTTGTAGCCCAATTAGGCGCATTCCATGACGTGATGTCCCATAAAAAAAAATCACGTGTTACACGTGTATACGTTAACAATTGCTCAAAAATACAGTTCACAGTGTTCAAAGTTTATGAAGTTTGAAGGCAAAGAGAAACCCCCCAACAAAACACAGTCATCCGACCTAAATCACACAAGTGTTTTTAGATAATTTTTAAGCTACAGTTATGTCGTACACTTTGTCCAGGATTTACGAAAAGGAAGTCAGTAAAACGGTGAATTGGCAAGAAAAGGCAAGGAAAAATTAGATGGATATCAACTTCCTCCACAAACACAAAAACTAACGCTTAGTAGAACGTTCTATCGCCCAGCCCCGAACAATAGGCCCCCACACTTAATGTATGCATGCAAATTTAATAGGCAGGTCAATCGCATGCAAATAAGATTCAGGTCAAAAACAACAATGTAACAGGTTAACGGTGAATACACGTATGAACTAATAATGAGGATAGATCATGGAAACTTCCTGTTGGCCTTTGCGAACTTAGTCCCGGAATGACTTTGTGCAACATACTTCCACTCTTTTTTTCAATTAGAAATCACAGTCAGGTTTTATTCATTAATTCCTCTTGTAAATATAATCGTCATTGTCTTTACTCTTCAGTAAAAAAGTACATGTACAAAAGTTAGCATTCCCATAATGTATTTATGATTTCAGTTCAATGAAAATCCCTATTTTGTGTGTGTAAACAACAGCAAACATTTACGTGTGTGTGCGTGTGTATATTACTCGTACAGCCGTATAGGCATTGGTTGCACGGAACTTCAAATAATGTTATAAACACGTCTCGTTTTCAAATACTTTCAACAAGTATACTCGAGTATACTCATGATTTATCATGATTTCGGATGTTGTTGTTTTTTCGTAGCAAGAAATAAATATTTCGATATACATTTAGTGATATAATTTCCACCTTGACATCAAATTTCCAGAGCACAATTCGTTCAATAGATTGCAATTGACTCATAATTGAATCGCTCTAATTCTCCTCGAAATGTATTGTTATCGTTTAAAAATAAATGTATTGAAATTGTTAAACAATGGTCTATCGAAAGCAAATAAAATTGAAATTACGTGATTTGTGTTGTGTTTTTACCTATTTCTTAAAAAACAACTCCTTAGGTTTGATTAAGCGTGACTCTCTTCTTTTTTTTTTGCTAATTTCATCATCGTTTTTCTGATCATTCTTATGTAAGCTTTTATATGTTGGATTGTCTGCTGGACTGTTGCTAGTCTACCGAAACACATAGGAGCCATGGCATTCAGCGGATGTCTTGTAATTCATTGCAGTCTGTTGAATTTGTACCGTAATTATGTTCATTTCCCACGCTCTCCCAATAAATATATTTTTTTTGTTTTATTCATCACTAATGCGACAAATAACTTTGCGTGTCAACATCAATACTTGTCATTGGTTCGCATTTTAACAAGGGGCTACGTTCTTGTGAAGAATCCAACATCATAAGAAGGGCCTCAAAAGTACGGGTGTAATACGGGGGTTCATTTTGCAAGGGGAAGGGCCCTCATTTCCTGAAAGGGGGTGTAAGGCAATGGGTTATCAACAATAAAAGCTCGTTTTGGCCGTCAACGAATGCTGAGCATCATGGAGCACAATGGGGAAGAGCCCAGTTCTTGAGCGGAGGATGGTGACGTGCCCACTCTCCGCCCCCTCCCCTTACCCGTGTCCCCACACCCACCTCCACTGTCCCCATGCATGTTGTTAGGCCACCAATTATGGCAGCTATCTTCTTCTTCTTTTTACGAAGGTGCCCCCTTCAATGGTGAAAGTATTGTCTTAATTATTAATAAGATGGATTTTGCGTCGGTGAACGGCAAAAACTAATATTGAGTCCCAATTATCGTTCAGCTGGACAGTTGCTTACTAGTGTGAACAAAGGTTTCTCCATTGAAGGGGGCCCCTTGAGTGTACTGTACAGTATCCCGTGCCATGATTCGTCTGAAGCTAAAGGTTGCAGACCAGTAAATCGGTCCGAAATTGCCTACGCTGGCCAAATCACGATTTGCATGCTCTCCAAATCTTCAGTATTAGGGCATGCTGTGGGCCATGAACTAGAGGGTTTGTAAAAAAAAATATGGGTGGAAGCCGTGCTCAGGACTGTGAGCTTGTATAGTTCCGTACAATTTGGAAAAATTTGGGGCCCTTAATGCGCTCTATTTTGCAATGGAGTGTAGGCATCGTATTTCAAAATGGCGATGGGCTTCAGGACTATTTTCCGGGGTGATCATCTTTGGATGGAAATTTCTCCTAAAAATCATCAGTTGACCCCCCAAAAAATTGAAAAGAAAATGAAAGATGATGAAATAAGCTTTAATTTGATGTGTGTTCCGAACACCTTGGAGAGTTGTGAGTTTTTTCCCCTAATTTCTGAACCGGGAGCATTTACCATTGGGGTCTATGGAAGTTTATTTACTGGTCTGCATCCATAAGGCAGTCGCACAACAACAATCCATAAATCAACATAGCGCCCTCTAAAGTTCTGCGAACCCAGATTAAATATCAATCAATTTACAGACGACGTACGACAGGTGTGTAGAGGGCGCACTCCAGTCAGACTGCTTTGATGTGACCGCACCCAAGCGTGGAGGGTCACGGTTCAACACACCTGTACCCATTGTTACGAGGAGGGCGCAGTGGAATGCACGTATTGTGTTGCGTTGTGGAGAATTTAGGCTTCAGTCCAAATTGTGTCGGATTTTGTTTTGTCAAACTGAACGAATTTCGGTACGTCTAAGTGGATGGGATTGTACACAAAACACAGGTTCTCGATGCGTAAAGGGACAGATAAATCTAGAGGATTTTGACGAAGTGGCGTGAGAATTACTCGGGTGATTTTCCCGCTTGGAAGTTGGAATTGGGAATACCAAACTAGTCAACAAAATGGCCAACTCGTCTAAGGAAGACACGTACGCCTACTACTATCACACGAACTACATCCGGAATGCCCGAGCTATCGCAATCGCATGGGCCCTGTTCACCTTCTGCTTCGCCATCATCATGTGCGTGGTGCTGGTCCAGCCCTACTGGCTCGGGGACGGGCCTGACGCTCAGGGCATAGGGTACTTCGGGCTGTACCGCTTCTGTGTCAGCTTCAACCTGGCTGGTCAGCTGGTCTGCCAGAACGCTCTACTGGACATATCTCTGGCCACGCAGGTCATCCCCGTCACCATGTTTGTGGCCACCATCTTCGTGGCCTTGGCCGTGGCGTTCCTGCTGTTGTCAATCATTTTCATGCTGTTGTTTCTCTGCAAGAAGCCCAGCACTGCTACGGTGTTCAAATTGTGCGGAGTATTGCAGATTGCGACAGGTGAGATTTGGATTGATTTGTATTTTTGGCAGTTGTGTACCCGGATTGGGGGGGGGGGGGGGGGGGGGGGGGTGTCACACACACCCTTAAAAAGTGGTTGCTGCCCCCCCCCCCAACCCCCTCCCCCCACTTGCCATTTGTAGTCCTATAATAACTAACAATGGTTAACAGCTTAACAGAAATTGGGTGTCCCCCACCTGTAACAACATTCACCCCCCCCCCCTACTCCTAGAACTATGAGCCTCATAGTTCTAGGAGTACCCCCCCCCCACTTATTTTTGGGGCAAGTTATCAACAAAGTTCTGTCAATGTCCTAAGTGATTTATGGGATATGATTTAAATACATGATGCGTTACTAGCTTCATGGTTATAACCCCAAATACAGGATGATTTTACTACGCAATGTTAGCACAATAATTAAATGAGTCTCACATTTTCTGAAAACATCTTGTTCTTTGCAAACGTGTAGGAAAAAATGTTGCAATCTGATATCATCTCAATGAAGGTCAGTCATTGCAAAAATGATGATAAGACATGAATCTTGGACTGAGAAACATTTCCAATTTTGCTAAGAAATACTTAAAAAAAGTCTTGACTCTCCATAGACTTTGTACACAATCGCAGAATTCAAAGTGGCGTAAGGTTGCATCATTTTTTCTACAAAAGTTGGTCAGGATTGTTACAACTTTTCTTTGAAGGGTACCGTGGGATATCAGTGTAAATCTTACAGCTTTTGGCTTGATGTCCCAATATAATTTGTATAATTACAAAGTGAGGGTGCTTAGTTATAACGTGTACAACCTCAGTAAGGTTCCAGCAAAAAACACTGAATTAGGCCATCAGCCTCGGTCCAAAATTTCGGCCACAGGTATCAAATGAGGGGAATAATCGTCATAGCGATTTTTGGCAAGGTATACACCTCCAGAGTTGGAAAATATGTGATAGCATTGCAGCGGTGGCAGCTTTTTGGGTGTTATCACCCTTTTTCTCAAAATGGCCATTCAAAATGCTTGTTACCACTCTAGGGGCGGTACACCTTGCGCATGCTCACTATAATCATTTATGCCCTGATTTGATACCGACCAAACCCCCAGGCTGATGGCCTAAATGAATTCATAGGGAGGGGGAAGGAATGAGAACTATAGCCCTGTAGAATATGAACCTGCCACTTCACATACACAGCACATGACCACAAATGGGATAAGCTGATTTGTATTACCTGTTCCTACCCAGCTCAGACACAGGATTATGAGATTAAGAGGGATTAAAGCTGTCAGTATCCATTATGAGTGAATGGTTTAATTAGACACTACTTAGGGTCTGTGGTTTCGTGTGTTAGTTTGATGATGGAGGAATGATTTGATAAACCCTTTTTAATTTGATTTATCTTTTCCATTTAGGAGGGGGGGGGGCTGAACACCACATAACACTAGAGGGCGCTCTTCAGGATATAGATGTATATCAATATGTACAGCATACCGCGCTTACAAAACTGTGCATTTTTATAGCTTTTGTACCATGTTTCTCCACTTTTCAGTGCTATTGAATACATTTTGGTTTTTGGGATGTTCGAAAAATACCTCAAGATCCGCAATTTTTTCCGCAATTACGAAAAAGTGTGGGGGGGGGATTTCATAGTCCATCCCCCCCCCCCCCCAGCCAAAAAGTGGGAGGGGGGATATATATGCGCATGGCTACAGCGACGAACGCGCATACCAGAAACCGGAGACTTTTTGATTTGGGCTTTATCTGTAAAATTTAACACGACCAATTATGTGAAAAAGGGAAAATTCAATATCACATAGACCTACTATATAGGCCTATATGTACATTGACAACACAGAAAATTCACACATTGATAACACTGTGCATGTCAGGAGACGTTCAAGTCATCTCATAAAAACCTGTATAATACATGGACATGAGCTGCAAAAATATGCAGTAAATTTTCTAACAGGATTGGACTTGACTGTCAGCATCAATTAGTCCAATAGTAATGTAGGACGGGACTTTATGAAAGTTCACACGGATCTTATCAGCCCATTCAACCTAAAGTGACATCGAACTGAAGTAGTTTTGGTTTGGAATAAGGCATAATTTACCGATTGATTCTCAGTTCGCTCATGACAAAACTTTGAGACCGAAACAATTAGAAAGGGTCAAGTACATGTTCAAAACCTGCTGGAGTGGAATATTGAAAGAATGGGCAAGATGGGTGCCATTGTGACATGTACTTGAATCTGAACTGGGCTACTTCAAAGGAGAGAAGTGTCAATATTGTGTTTAGCGAAAAGGAATTTCAGGAAGAACTTGTGAGATCAGAGTTTCAATTGACTCTTCTTGTCCCTAGGCCAAAAAAAAAATACTTCTGCTTCCGGTTTCTCTACCTACATTTTACCCTATCCGGGCAGCCCCTACCCTAATTTTTATGGGGGAAAAATGAGGGAAAAAAAACCCAAAACCATCAATAACTACCTTTTACCCATGACTACAGGCAGACGCCTCCATATGATCGTACACAAAAATTGCCCCCCCCCCAAAAAAAAAAACCAACAAATTTTCCCTGCCTACCTACCTTATTTTCGAATGCCACGTAATCGGAAGCAGAACTATAATTTTTTTATTTTGGCCTTAATTATTACGAAATTGAAAAGACAAATACATGACAAATAAACATTTCTGTAAATTATTGAGACTTGTGGCAAAGAAATATTTCGTTGTGGCCCTTCTCCTCAAAAAACATCTCTTTTCTAACTGTCATCATGTCCAATCCTAGATAATTTGAGTCCATCTTTTGTCCTTTATTGAAATGGGAAAAAGGCTCTTAGAATGAGTCAAAATGATTGGTAAGAGGCTCTTCATACGCAACACAGACGCGCATGCACCTCGATCAAAACAACGTCGGCTTTCCGAAAACTTTCTGCAAGAGTGCATTTATTTGACCATGGCATGGCATTTGGTCAATATTTGGTCAAATATTTCGGTCAATTCTCGGGGACAGACAGATAAACCGACCAACCGCCAAGTGACATGTAGAAGCTCCTGCTAGGGCTTAAAAATATTTCCATGTTATTTAAGTAAACAGAGAAAGAATATTTGAAAGGTATGCCACACAGGACGGACTTGATGGGTAATTTCAACAAAAATTGTGAAGTACAAATATGGGCAATTCCAGTATTACAAAAGGAAGTGTATAATGTCCGTGACAGAGCTAACCATATCTAATAAATGATTCAGAGAAATGATCCAAAACTCCTCCGTAGTAATCTCCTTGACCATTACTAGATGATGGATGTATAAGATTTGAAAAATACATTTTCAGGTTTATTGACTGAGCTCTTAAAATCTCGTATAGATACATGTAGCTGTCACGGACATAACATGTACCCTGGAATTGCCCATTAACGTTCACAGCATGTTTCTAATAATGCACACATCATGGACAAATTTGAGTGGAAAAAAGGTTACTTTAAATGTTAAAGCCAGTTTTGTGTGCTTCAATGCAATTACAAGGCTGTGTATCCTTTATTCATGGGAAATACTAGATCCTGCCTATCCCATGCCATGGAAACAATGCATTGTTACCAGTAGCAATAGCTCACAGCCCCTTAGGTATTTGGTTACCAAGCCTATTATATTTACTCTTTGAAGTACTGTAATCAAGACCCAAGGCGACACTGATACTTTGTAAATATAGTAGTCCCTATAATCTTTTGGATGTAGACTTCAGAAAGTAAACTGTTGACACTTTTCTTGAAGAAAAAAATAGCATTGCCATTCTTGAAGATCCCAGACTTACACTGTACTTTTAATTTACTCCTTTATAAATAAACTTATAGTGGAATAATTTCTTTTCATATAATTTGTATCAATGTGGCATAAAAGGAAGTTAATCTTCTTGGAAAAAAATAAGCACAGCTGTCAGAATGAGGGTTTACTTGCGATCCTTCAGTGCTTCAACCATGATTGTGACTGGACATTTTTGGGGATTTTGAGATCTATGGACAAGTTATTAACGTGTGCATGTACCAGCACAGTGAAGATTTCAGACAAAATTTCAAAACAATTGAGATACAAAAGGGGGCCCAGTACAATTACAATCCACTTCCTAACTTACAAATCCTTTACTACAGACAGACCATTTTTGTGCATTGAATAATTTTAACAGCGACATTGACATTGAATGTTCACAAGTGACTGTCAGTCAGTCAGTGTGATAGCTAGGACACTAGTCCGGCTCTCTGGGACCAGCAAAGACTTGATCGTCCTCAAAACTGTTTCTGACCGTAGTTTAACAGCCATATACATGTAGACCCTGACTTGTATAGATCTGGCAATTTGTGAAAAACAAGTCCTAATTTACATGTACTTTCTGATTCTCACAAGACATACATGTATCAACACTACCGGTATTTAGACAGATTCTGCGCTCCTCATAGGGCCATCATGCCCCATGGCAAGTACATGTACTGATGACGGAGCTGAACCTTCCTATTAATTCATATTAATTAGCCCTTGTACCGCCCCAAACCGCCCCGCCTGTTACTCCTCATACCGTCCCAAACCGCCCCAGCATGTTATGGTTTCATTGATTCCTGCAGCTGGAGGAATAAATAATACAACGTAATTATAAACACATGCAAAGTACTGAAGGAGAATCTGGAACCTTGAGTTAATTCCAAGACGCTTTTCCAGTAATGAACTAAAATAACAAAACGACCTTGTTCTGTTGGTACGTCATCAAACGTTGAAACAAAATATTCAAATTTGACATTAATTACATTTATTTTTCCCCATTTCTTTGATTCCATCAGGGTTGTTCCTGTTGATCGGCATCCTCATCTACCCAGCCAGCTGGTCACAACTCCCAGAGTTTGTCACTGTGTGCGGGCCGGAGGTTTCCTACGGCAACGCCGGCAAGTGCCAGCTGCGGTGGGTCTTCTATCTGGCCATCATTGGTGTCTTCGATGCCATCGTCCTGGGTGTCCTGGCCTTCATTCTGGCCAGCAAGCAGGACAAACTGGCCACGGATATGCAGTTCTCTGACTACTATCCACCCTCAAAAGGTACGGTATAGATGAGACCTGCTGATTGGTTGAGTGGTGGTCAATCATGAAGGCAACTCAACTAGTTTGGTTTATCACTGCACATGAAATTGTTTTACACAGGGACAAACGTAGCAAACTTACACAAGTATGAAGGGAAATTACAAATCTGCCTTTTACAAAATTTCATGCGCTCAGAAAGAAAATGCAAACTTTGATTTGTCACAAAAGTTGGTGAAAACTGTAATACAATAGTGCAGGCCAGAGTTTCTGGAATGTTTGAACAGGTTGAGTCAGAATGATCTGGAGCCAAATTAAAGAAAATATTGAAAATATGTAGCAATTATCTAAACAAATGCAAATGAGATATAGGCTGGTATTTGTTACAAATTTGATGAAAGTTTCATGTGTATCCATTGAAACATTTTGACAAAAGCACTAGCTAAGAACACACACTCAAAACATTCTGACCATGGTTCAATATGGTTCAACAAATTTGTTTGAGTCCCGTACTTATATATGTAACTGTATTGTTTAAAGCAGTCATGTTTCAAATAACCAAATGTGTCCAAAATACCATCCTACATGTATAACACTCATTTGTACTTTGTTTTGATAATTGCTACATATTTTTAATATCTTCTTTAATTATCTTGTTTAAACCCCACTTTTTTGGTAGGCAGATATTGTCATGATAGTAGAAAATTTAACTTAGGACATTGTCTACTAGCGCAGTAAAGATATAGCATAAAATATGTGGATCAAAAGTGTTTTTTAACCCTAAAAGGGCCGGGGGGGGGGGGGCAGAATCCCCCCTCGTCTTTTTCCACGATAGCCTTTGAAAAAAAAAATTCGCGACCCAAGCTGTTATGACTTTTTAGCCTCAAGCCTTGCGCATCTTTTGACACAAAAAATTTAAAAATCGGACCAGGGGTTGTTGCACAGCGAAAAATTTTCCGGCGCTACGCGCCATGAAAACTGAATTTTCCCATATACATTGTACATCGTGTACAAAGACCAGAAGTACCATTCAAACATATGAATAATTAATTAGCCATAATTCCAAAACCCTTTGACCTATAGTCATGAAATTTCTTGGGTATATCCATGAAGAGTTGCTCTATGCATGTACCGAGTTTCAAAAACTTTCGCCACTCGATGACCGAGATCTTACAAGGGGGGGGGGGTGGAAAATTAATTTTTTAATACCAACAAACCCTCATTTCGACCTCTGCCCAGTTCTGTCTCATTTTGCTAGAACGCCTCGCAAATTTGGCTCTAGCAAAGTAAATCATATTCCCAGAAAAAAATTCTTATACAAACAATGTACATGCACAAGCTTGTGAAAAGGTACACAAGTACGCCAACGCATTTTGCTACTGCCACGCAGTGTCAGGATACGATTCCTTCTGCATTCCATTGGTCCCATCCGTACCACTCTTTACAAATGCTTTCATACGTCCATCCTATTGTGTGACCCAACCTATTATCAACATGCTATTTATTCATATCAGTACTTCCCTTTACAACCATACAGTTCTAGATAGCAGGTGTAGTGAACCATAAATCAAGTAGGGGAAAAAATGGGGGGAAAATTAGTGTTTACACTTTAAGTAGGCTTACTACTGGAGATTGTTACTAAATAGTATTCTACAACTTTCACTTTCCTGACTATAACCTTGTTGTTTACATAGGAAAGAAAAGGGAACAAATGAAAGAAATTGCAGTGTTTGAGATTGTAGAAATATAGTACAGCTGTTTCTACATGCACCATATGTTGACATTAGTAATTCAAACATTGCTACAGGTTTATTTGGGATTTTGTGAAAAATAAGGATAAAATATTGGAATTTGGTATGATGCATAATTTGCAGATGTATGGTAAATGTGTTTGTTTAGATAATGCAAACATTACTTAAACTCTGTATATACATGTACCTGTTGAAATTTTGTTGACTTTCGGTCTTTTTTCGGAGCGGGGGAGTTTAAAGTCTCTTGCATCATTATTACAAATTACATTGAGACAAAAGGGCACCATCAGGGTTAGCAAAACATGTACAGAATAGAGGGCTGATTTGGTATAAGGCATTAGGCCTATAGAACATTTTTCCTCATATACATGGCTGTACATTTTGAGGCAATGTACTTCATGTACCAGTGTTCGTGTCCGCCAGTTGTGACCGCAACCTTCCTTACATGTACTTCTATGCAAACAAGTCTCATTTTTCTCAAATTAATCATCCTTTTTTCAGGCTGAATATGTCGAATTTGGATGATGAATGACTCAAAACACAACGGCATCCGAAAGAAAAAACATTCACTGTTCTATTTATTCTAAATAAATAAGACAAACGAAAACAATCAAACAATGTAATTTGGTCTTCCCATTGTTCAACCTTACCCTGTTAGCCTTGAAACGTGTTGAATTATTGACGCACAAATCCAAAAACGTGACCTTAAATGTGAACGCTGTTACTCACTGTCCCTTGCTTGATATGAAAATGGGTTGGGGCGGAAAATGTCAATTGAAATGCAAATTATTTAAAAGCATTGACTCAGGTTTCCATGGTCAAATGGAGCACAGCTGATGGGAAAATATACACGTACGTGTCTTATAGGGCCAATGGTTCACCATGTAAAATAGGCGGAAAACCTGAAAATGTATCTGAGACTGATAAATCACTCCTTGCAATCCTGTAGGCCTTGCAATTTTGGATATTCCACACAAATGGTCCAAAAAAGATCATGGATGTTGCATATAGAGAATAAAAGATGAGCTAGTATTTTCTTCTGTTTTTTTTCTATACCTTGCTAAGTTGAAAGTGACTAGGACAAGACAAGACAAAAGATGTTATCTTTTTTTTTGGGGGGGGGGGAGAAAATAACAGGCATCTTTTTTGTGTGATACGTATGTAACATGGACAGACACACTGCAAGGAAAAGGGTGCTTACGACAAATTCAACTTCTAATAGGCACTTCCAGTGACATTATTAAGCCATTTTACATCGTAAAAATAACATCATGAAATATAACAGTATTCACACTTGCTTCAAATTTATGATGTGATTAGGGTTATGTACGAACAGGGACAGACATTTTGTGACAAATGTCCATTCTGTTCTTATGTATAAATCCTGATTATATAATATCAAATAATTCTTTACATTGACTCCGAATTTTCTAGGTTTTTACTGATATCATTCCTGCAGGGTACATCTTCTTAAATAAGTCAACATTAGGGGATCATGACATTTTATGCTTACTTTGTGACTTTATCTAAAGTGTCTGTCCTTCGTTACGTACGTAACACTTTTTATCCACTATATTTTTCTAAAATACAAAACCAGTTATATCCTTTGCAGGTGAGGATATTTGTTCGAAGCTTGCAATGTTTACAGCAAAGATTGAGAGACCAAGATCGTACTTCTACATGTATCATCAAAACTTAAAGGTCTTCTCAAATGTCACACTTTTGGGCCCATTAGTGTAGAATATTGCCAACTTTGAAACATGAATACAGCTTCTTCTTCTTGTTAAAGGCATGCAGGAACACCCATGTTTACGTTACATACTGTTGTTTACATTTTTTTGCTTACATTTTGTTGCTTCTAAGGAATCTAATGCACAAAAAGAGCCAGTGATCCTGTGTACCTTTAAAATTCAATGGAAAAGCACTAAACGGACAAGTAAGCTGTCCCCTTGATGACACACATTAAGGAATGACATATTGTTGTCCACCCTTATTGGAACAGGATTTGGTGATCATGGATACATTTGTTGTCAATAATTTAAAAAAATTTAAAAAAGGAAAAACCCAAGATGTGAAATGAGTCATGGTCAAGCAAATCATTTAACAAACAATTTTTAAAATGTATATTTCTGGGTCCACTGCATCAAAAAAATTTGAAAGTGCTGCATGACAGCTACATGTACATGAATGAGGCATAATGGATTGTGAAATTCACCCTAACCGAACTCAACCCATCAAAGTTCAACAGCAGGTTTTGTTTAAATCTTTTGGGATAGGTACAGTACCCCTAAACTGATGGTCTTTTACACTGGGGTTGGCATACCTCCAGAAACTAAGTCCAGCAGTGTGTGTGTGTGTGTACGATTTCCCATGTGGGTGTTGGAATCTGCCAGAATGGGTATGGTTCCTAATAAATTAGGCTGGGTTAATCTGTTCTGTTTACGCAAATGTATCAACTTATCAAACGTTCAAAGGTTCAAAGAATTCAATGTTGTGTTTCTAGGAGGGAACTTCTCCAATGGCAAGAAGAAGACCTCAGTCAGCGGCTATCCGACGGCCTCCGGGCAGACCGGTTACCCCTCCGCGACCCGACAGAATGGAGCAGCAGGCTCCATGGACCGGCGCAGCAACCACAGCGGCACGACCTCATCGGAACGAGACGCCAACCGGTCCAACGGGGGCAGCTCGGTCAACCGGAGGGGCACGGACTCCTCCGATCCCTTGTACTCGTCTGTCAAGCCACGCAGGGAGCGCGGCGGACCTTCGAGCAGTGGGACGGGCGGGGCCGAGGGAGATGACGAGGCGGGGAGCACGCGGAGTGGCATCTCCAGCAAGTCCGGCAAGTCTAGCAAGTCCAGTAAATCGGGCAAGCACACGCACGATGTCATCCTGTAGGCATTTGCGCCTCTTTTTCGTTATTCGCACAGAATTGTGGAACATGACAAAAATGCACAAAAGCACATTGAATGTGTTCATGCACTGTTTGAATTGATGTACACAAATAATAAAGGGTCAATACAATGTACTACAAAATTCAAGACTTCATTACCTTCTTAAACATTGAATAAACGTTTGTATTATTCAATGTTTGTAAGAAGTGAGTGTTTCAAACAAGTTTAGTCTGTTAGTTTATCCCGCACTGGCCATTGTTGAGGGTTTAATTTGCTTGTCATTCTTTTTTTGTGAGATTTGAAGGTTTTTTTTCTTTTTTTTTGTCCAAGACAATACACTGTACATGTGTACAGTATTCATATGGATCTAGTTAACCACACCTGCAAAAACTTTTTGAATTCCAAATTTTTTTTCTCAAAAAATGATGGAAAATTGGAAATAATAGAACGGATTGTTAAACAAAATATGTACAACCATGGACAGTGAAGCTCTTTTTTGTGTGTGTGGTACAATTTCTACTATTGGAGAATGTAAAAAAAAAAGTACATACCGGTATATGGGTCATTCCATCGGGTGGGGAACAAAGTGTGACATATGACCATATTAAGAAAAGCATGAATGCCTTGCTAGCAGTTGCTCTACATAATATTTGTTGTTGGGTGTTTCACTGCTGTAGAAAGTTTGATATCATTTCAATGTATTTTGCCAAAAATATGAGCAAAAAATGTCATTTTGGATGTAACATTTACACTGTGTCAGTGTTACATCCAAATATGAAATTTGTACCTTTTTTAAAATTTCTGTGAAACATTACCCAAATTCGCTTTGTGTACTTCTTACTATATGTGCAACACAATAAGCAAAGCTTTTGTTATGGTAGTCAGGTATCAAATGGAGCAGAAATGATAGCTTGGTTGTGTGGATGTAACATTTACACGGTGTAAAACCCAAATGTCACACTTCCATTGAGTGATTTTTACACCGTTACATCCACACTTGAGGTATTGCTTCTGCTATATTTGAACCCTGACTATACCAAAACAAAAGCTTTTCTTGGTGCTTAGGTATCCAGTTGTAAATACGTAATTTCAGTTTGGGTAATATTTTACATGTGTAAAAAATGGCAAAAAAAAAGAATATTTGGATGTAACATTGACACGGTGTCATCAATGTTACATCCGAATTAATACATTTTTGCTCATATTTTTGTCAAAATACTTCCAAATGATTTTAAACTTTCTCAAGTATTGAAACACCCTCAGACAAATATTATGTTGAGCAATTGTTTAGAATTCATTGATACTTTTTATAATATAACCAAATATATGGATGTAACATGCACTGCTTCCCAACCTGGTGGAATGACCCATGTGCCAAACATAAGTGCACATTAAGGCAGAATTAGAGGCCAGTGGATTTGTAAGGCTAGACTAGGTATGAGTAAACCTTCCATATATTCATTATAGCAAAATTATAATAGCAATTACACTCTCTGAGGTACATGTACCCCCCTCCCACACAAGGTCTATGCTGCATACATTTGTACCTGAGTGGATAGAAAATATTTTTAAGTCACACACAGGTCAAAATATTACCTTTTTTTTGCCTTTTGTGTTGGTTAATCATGAATGTTCAAGATCCTACTCTCCATTTGTTTTTCATGTAACTTTGTTTTATTTTTTATTACGATGTGAATTTCAAAAGAAGGATTTTCTCATTCCAATTTTCATTGAAGAATGCTCCACGATGTATGAAAAGATCCCATATTTAAAGTTGTTGATTTCAAATCTTGCTTCAGTTAGCTTGTACATATATATGTATGTTTAATGTTTGTCTCAGTCTCTTGGACAGCAGATCTAGAAAAAACCCAGAATAGTTTGAAAAGGAGAAATCCTTAGTTTTTAAAATGAAGCAATTTATGGCATGTAATTATAAAACCAACTTGACACATTTCTTCTAAAGAAATTTTATGCGATTTGATGCAAACTAAATTTGTTTCAGTTGTTTGAAGTTCAGAATTTCCTCTTTTTTGGTCATTTAATTAAAAGAAACTGGAGCTTTTGCATAATACATCAAACTTCATTCAGAATCATAAATTGTCAAAATTTGAGAGTGACAAAAAATGGTAAATATAAAGTTCAATGTGCCTTCATGCATGCATTCCATGGGACATTCTCTTAAAGAGTACTATTTGAGAACTGATGGTTACAATTTTCATGATTTTGTCAAAAAAACAAAAGGCTGAATTTTCTGTACAGTACTTGTAATGTACATATAATACTTGATGGATTTTGATATGACCGGTTGTGGGTTAACATTCGTTCTAATAATATTCTAATTATTTTATATTTAGCAGATATTAAGCCTTAAAATGCAGAAAAATGCTTCATTTAAAATAATCTCAGTTTTGACTCCATTTAGACCAAATGAAACTTTAAAAACTCATTCTTTTCCAGACAAAGATAATTCTCAGCTGAATGCTCAAAAGTGTGCAGCCTGACAACAAAAATTTGGTTTAGTTTCCAACTTCATGTTTTTAACTGTTAGGATGGGTATATTTTTATCATCTTTTGCAGTTGAACTGTATTGTCGTGAAACAAAATTATGTACATACTATGTACATGTTCCACATCATTCGACTTTTTGACCGACATGTTTTGTAACTAGATATGTACATAGTTACTACTTTTAACAGCCTAAAAGAAAGGGGTACTTGTAGGTTGCAATGCATTTATTAATTACTGGGATTGGACGGTCAATACAGAACTTTTTATTCAGTGAGTTTGATGCTTTGTTTTAGGTAGGAATTTATGCAGGAGTCATGGTACATCTACTTGCTTAAAACTTAGAGAATTGAGAACGGAATTAGTGCACATCCTGTGGATTCCTGCACATTGGATTTTTGAGGAAATCAGAACGTTTTGTAGGAAAAATGCATAGGGGTCCACTCAATCATTCCTGGGTGTGTGACTCGTGATCAGAGGGTCAGGGGTTCGAATCCAGCTGCTGGCCATGTGTTTGTGTCCTTGGGCAAGCCGCTTCACCCCCACTTGTCTCTCTCTACCCAGGAGTATATAGGTACCGGTATATAGGCATTAGCTGGGGAGTAACCTGCAATGGTTACTCATCAAGAGTGAATAGAAATACATGTACAATGTACATGTATTTTCAGTTACGTCATGCCAAGGAAACTGGAGATAAACACCAGCCTGATTGGCCGTATTGGCTCATGAAATACGTAAACCATCACCGGGAAATTTGTGGCCTTCGTTTTGTTCTGTAATTAATGGGAGAAGGAAATTTCCCCACTGACAATTGTGCGCCGACTGAGATACGATAAAATGACTGCATGTTCTTTTTACATTTTGTTATATCACAGTTCAAAGTCTTCAGCAGTATAATAGAAATGCATGCTGGCAAATTTGCCATGCATTAATCACACATGGCCAAATCTGTTTACTGTAAAGATCAATAATAATCGGTCTCTGCAAAATGGGAGTGATGACATGACATAACGCCCAGATGTGGTGCGTGTATTGACCAATAAAGCCAGATTTATTGCACACAGACTAGGTGCACTTGTCAGAATAAAATGTACATGTACACGGCCAGCTATTGTGCTAGAATTTATTTACTGGGTGGGCATCATATGCATGTATGTTTCGGATGCGTACCTGTGTTCCGGTTTTCAGATAGAGCTTATTATTTGCATATCAAGGATGTTGGTTACGCACTCGACCGTTGGACCTTAATAGCACCATGCGCTACCACCCAAAACGATTTGATAAACTGATTGCAGTATTCCGCTTTCGAAATGCCAGAGTTTTAATCAATGTATTTTGGGCTGTAATTAAAGCAGATACTTTTACAGGTATTTATGTACGCACATATATCATGTGGGTAAATAAAAATGACTAATTACCGAGAATGGTGCCTTAGGCATGTGAGGAGACATTCCTATATAGGGTTGTGCACAAATGTTTTCAAACTTTTGTAACAGTTACCCCTAAGTTTACTCCTCCAAAAATGTTGGTATATTTATGTTTTGGACCACGAGCAATCCATCTAGCCTATGTGTATTTATGACTGTGAAATGTTGCATCTAAATAGGAGTTGTGACATTAGGGAGACATTAGTAGACAATCTCTCGTCTCCCTAAGGTATAACTTCTGAAGAGAAAAAAAAGGTCTCCTTATTAAGGGTACATAAATTTACAGGAATTAAATTAAAAAGGAAGAAGAAATTCAAGCAAGCAATAACGATGATGGGCCTGTTTGATGTCTACAATGGTAGTGGAGGATTTCCGTAATGTGCTTCATTTATACATGCATGATTGTGTTTGAATGTACATGTATGTACATATGTAGTATGTACATCACAGTAAAGGGGAAAACTCACTGCTGGCAGTTGTATAGGCTATAAAAACAAAATCCAACTGGGTCATTCTATACATTTGGGGTCAACATTTTTCATGTCTCAGACTGTTAATGTTAGACCTGATGTTGGGTTGTTTGTATGTATGTTTGTTTGATATTTTCTTTCATTCTGGACGCACTTCTGAAAGCAGTCAGTTTTCAAGAGAGACGAGAAATCAAAAACTACCTGTCCTAAAAATAGTTGGGAGTCATTTTTAATGATACTTGAATGGCAAATGACAAAGTTTAGAGGCAACAGTCACAAGAAAAATGTCACACTTTGGACCCTTAATTTCAAGAATGACAACTTCATTGTGGTGTATTACGCACTCGGTAACCATTTCACAGAGACTGAGCTTTGAGCATTAAGCAAAGTGAAGAATATGCTATGTGTTACTTAAGAGGTAGAATTTGCTAAAAGCAGCTTCGTCACAATAAGAATCTCTATGCAGGGGCAAGTGCCGTCATGTCTAGGCCATGACATACCCATACAATTATTAATAAAGTAACATTCTTTTCAGCAACGGTTTAACAAAGCTTTTCATCCTAGCATTATGAAGCAGCTCGATGAATTTGTTCCTATAGGCCTTACAGTGTTCTTATCATAAAATGTCACGAGCAAGAAGATGTGATAATTGAAAACTTGTGAACATCTATTTCTACTGGACTTGGGACATTGTAAAACAATCCATGGCCACTTGCTGGGTATTTGTTTGGATAGGATCATGCATATTTTGTCACCTATTGTACTGCCACTTTTATTGCTCAGTTTTTTTGTTGTTTGGGATTATACATGTATTGTTACTTTTATTGTTCTGCCACTTTTATTGCTCAGTTTTTTTTCGGGTTTTTTATGGCTTTTGTTTTTGCATTATTAAACAGGTTAAATATTGACATAAATACAAAAACATTATTTCAAAGTAATTTTTTTTGCAAAAGCACATCAAACAATTTTAAATGTGAATGCCAGTATATTAAACATGTGTACGTTCAAAATCTCTCAAATTCTCAAGGAATCTTATGTTAAAGAGAAAGGGTATATTCATGAATGTAAATATATACATTTGACCGTAGTGCCAAAAGAAAAGTAAACAATGTCGATCTTAAAATTCTATATTTTCATAAAGATATGTAAATTA